AAATGAATGTCAAGAAAATTATGTGTACTCCTGGAGTCAATCAAAAATATGTAAAGGTACACCATAAGCTACAACCTTAATTCTCATAGTGTTGTAGTTCTGACTACCAGTCAGGGCATTATAAGAGATGAAAGGGTCCAAGTCTGACACATCCTCTTGCTCCTCCAAATTAACTACAGCACTTTCAACCTCATCCAAACCAGGCACTTCAACAGTAAATAGCTGAGGTTCCTTGAATTGGCACTTATGGTTTCAGTCAAAGGGTGCATCACAGTAATAGCATAAGCCCTTTGCTATTTTCTCAGCCCTGACATCTGCAGGGACATATCTGGATTTAGAAAAAGGTGTTTTGGGAGTTTGTTTGAATTGAGCTGTGGGAGAGGGAAGTGGTTTAATGGGAGGTGTAGGCAGTAAAGGTTGTTTTGAGGTGTTGTATTGGAGTGTGTTTAGGTAAGGCTTAGAAGAGGAAGATTTCCAAGGCTTAGGGGTGTTAGCAGTAATGGATTCAACCTGCAACCTAGCATACTCAACAGCAGCCATAACAGTTTGGGGTTTAAAATCTCTAACAAAGGGCCTAACCCCAGGGTTTAGACCACCAACAAAACTTTCAAGCAGATATTTCTCAGGCAAAACAAAGCTATTCTGCAGCATAATAGCTTTCAAATTCTCAAATTCATCAATATATGCTTCAATACTACCAGTCTGTTGAAGTTTATTAAACTCCTCCACCACATTAACACCAAAATCATTCTTAAAACGACTATTCACATCAATAACAAAGTCATTCCAATCTACAGCAGATCGAGTAGCTAAATAACTAGAAATCCAATTTTCAGCTTTATCAATCATGTTAAGAGATGCTAGATCAACTTTTTGATCATCAGGAATCTTACAAAGAGTGAAATATTTGCAACATTTCTTAATCCAAACACGAGGATTAGAACCATCAAACTTAGGAAACTCGAGTTTAGGTATATACCCCAATTTAGGCTGATTGAATTGTTCCTCTGAGCGAGGTGATCGGGAATCTGTCATCAGCTCCTTCATGGACTGCAACATATGCAACAGATTCTCAAACTTTCGGTTCGAAGCCGCAGACAGATCCTCCATCCTCTGATTAGAAGCTAGAGCTTGAGCATCCAATAGTTTCTCCAACGCCTGCAGCTGAGCTTCCATCTTAGATACCCGAGTTGAGACTGTAGGTGCCAGAATAAAAACAGAGAGCAGCGTTTGCTCTTATACCACTGATATAGGAGAAATTTGAGTATAGATTGAATTTACCAATTTACTCGAGCTAGTTCCAGGAAAACAGAGAAAAGAGAGGAAGAAGAAGAAATTGTAACATAATAGAAGGAGAAAGGATAGATAGATAGATAGATAGATAGATAGATAGATAGATAGATAGAAAAAAAAAAAAATAGATAGAAAAAAAAAAAAAAAAAAAAAAAAAAAAAAAGATAGATAGATAGATAGATAGATAGATAGATAGATAGATAGATAGATAGATAGATAGATAGATAGATAGATAGAAAAATAGAAATAGATAGATAGATAGATAGATAGATAGATAGATAGATAGATAGATAGATAGATAGATAGATAGATAGATAGATAGATAGATAGATAGATAGATAGATAGATAGATAGATAGATAGATAGATAGATAGATAGATAGATAGATAGATAGATAGATAGATAGATAGATAGATAGATAGATAGATAGATAGATAGATAGATAGATAGATAGATAGATAGATAGATAGATAGATAGATAGATAGATAGATAGATAGATAGATAGATAGATAGATAGATAGATAGATAGATAGATAGATAGATAGATAGATAGATAGATAGATAGATAGATAGATAGATAGATAGATAGATAGATAGATAGATAGATAGATAGATAGATAGATAGATAGATAGATAGATAGATAGATAGATAGATAGATAGATAGATAGATAGATAGATAGATAGATAGATAGATAGATAGATAGATAGATAGATAGACAGAGATTAGGAGAGGATTCAATGTATTTCTTAATGAGAAAAATTACATTGTTTCATTGTATTTAGCTCTACTAACAACCAAGCTAAAACAGAATTAGGGAATCTTACAGCTAAGCAACAAATAAGACAAAATAACAAAACAACTTGGCTAAGTGAATTTCCCGCCAAAACTGATCCTTGCCACATACTATTATTTTCAGCTGTAACAAGATGTTCGAGGATGCAATAGCTAAAAAGGGGATGTTTGATGATAGTTTTAAGGAGTTGTGCTTGAAATATGCAAACCTCGAAACGAGCTTAAAAGAGTTGGATCGTGCTCGGGTAATATACGTGTATGGATCCATATTTACGAATCCGGAAACAAGACAGGTGCATGGCAAGTGAAATCCTTTTGTAATAGAGGTTGGGCGAAAAAAAATAAATGGGGCCATGTAGGAGAGATAGAGTGAAATACTGAAACCTATATACTTCGTATATACTACCTCCGTTTCTTATTATGTGCAACAAAGGGTATTATTTGTGAGATATAAAATACTCCTTTGTTGACATTATTTGTGAAACAGAGGAAGTAATAAAACTCAATGGGAAGACATAAGCTCGCCACGTGTCATACTGAATGTCATGTCGTTATAACCCCCAATTTAAGAGGATGTTTAAGGTGATTAATCACCACCATTATTCTCTTGATAAGTAACTCTCACGACCCTCCCATTTAAGAGTATGTATAACTGTATAAGGTGATTATTCACCTCCCTTAATGCTTGTGATTCTTCTTTTATGTTCTTTCATGTTTTTTATAAATATAGAAGAAACCTTTTTTTTTCTTGTCTAAACACATTCTCTATTGGACATGAGTTACTTGACTCAAACCTTCCACCTAAAAGTGTCTTTGTGTGGGAGTGGTGTGTTAACCTTAGGGTTCGTGCCAGCGAATACAATTAAGTACCTTGGTTGCGCCGGAAACTCGTTTTCAAGTCAGTGATTTGCATTACGACGTACCGATATTGTTTCATTTTGTTTGTGAGATTTTTTTTTTATCTTACTTAAATATTTTTATATTTTTTGTACAAGACTACTATTTTTTTTTTTATTATTATTTTTTTTTTTTTTACAATACTACACCTGTATTTACAACAAATGTAACTAATTAGATGAATAGGGGTAGGGGGGAATTCTAAATTAGCAAAATTGGCCTATCATGTAGAAGTTGTTGATAATAGGGGTTTTTGTTTTACACGGTAAGGTCAATGGGCACCCTTCTAATATCCTATTTTAGGTTAGGGGTGAGGATTGAACCCCGTCACTCAGGTTAAGATGTAGAGATTGACCATTCCTCAGTACCTCCACTCGTTGATCCTCATTGATTATAATATCATACTTTCCTTAATTTCGCCTTACTTTTCATAAAGGAAAAGAGTTATCAACTTGTTCGAGTATGCTTCTTTCTATTTAAAAAATTAATTCTTTTCAAAATCTTAATTCAATCATTCAACTCAGATTTTCAGATCCTAAAATTGTCGGTAATAATCTAAATTACATATATATACACGATTATATGTAATCTATTATATAATATTACTAAAGTAACAACTGCTGACATCATTACTTTTTTTAAAATGTACATGTGTCAGCTTCTCATTCATTTTTTTCCCGTCTAAACTTTTTTTTTCATGTTTTGTTTTAAAAATAACAAAATCTAAATACTGATTGCAAAGTTAGTTAATACATTACATTAAACTTTTTAGTTTTCAATACCTTTTAGAAAATCTTAAGGAACACAAATATCAACCTTTTATATGTATGATTACTCCAACTAATTACTAAGTTCGCCAAATTTTATTGTGGACATGGATTTTCTTTTGTTTATATTATTTTAATTTTTGCAATTTGGTTTATGTTAATAATATCGTATGTTATACAAAGATTTTACATATTTTAACTAATATGTCTTTAAAGTTTACACAATTATAAATTCTTTTATTATATCCGTGCATTGCACGGGAGTTAATCTAGTAATAATAATAAGAGTTTCCCCCCACCCCACCCCCCAAGCACCTCTGTAAAGATGTCCATGGGCCGTGCCGTGAAAAAAAAATCTGGAAATTTGGCATGGCACGGTCACGGCGGGTGACACGGTCGGCCCTTGGGTTGGCACGACAGGCGGCCCACCAGATAAGTATTTATTATTATTATTATTATTATTATTATTATTGTTATTATTATTGTTATTATTATTACTTCTATCAATAATAATAGTAATAATAATCATATAACTAATATATAAAGCTAAACTTTTAGTCAGGTCACGAAATAGCGACACTTGGCATTCCAACTTTTCGCCAAGTGTCGTGCCACCTTGGATAGATTTAAATAGACGATTTAAAAGTTAATTTAAAATTCTATTTGAATATAATTTTAGGATAAATATGTTAGTTTATTTGGAGTCTTATTTTCAATAAAATACCAATATTTTAGAGGTACAAATTAAATTATAATTTTGTTAAAAAAATTTCGATAGAATATAGCAAATCGTCATAAAAGCACATCAATTTCTAACTAATTTTGTATCATGATATATTTAAAAATTTGACATATAGATTAAAAAATTTCTTCAATAAACAACGGGACACAAAACTAGTAATAATAATAATAACAATAACAAAAAAATAAATTATATATCGATTTTTTTTTAATATACATATATATTTTTTAAAAAAAAAATCGGGTTGGCCCGCAGCGTAGCACATGCCGGACGTGCCGTGTCGTGGTGTGGGCCGGGGTGTGCCAAAACTTGACACGGCACGCCACTCGCCGGGAATCCGGCATGCCACGGCCCGGCACGAGCCCCCACCCCCCAGGCATGGCCCGTGATGGCACGATGCCCATCTTTAGTTTAGGGGCTGGATTGAAGCATATTATTGGTTTTTTTAATATTTATGATTTTAGTTGGTGTTTTTTTTTTCTTTTTTTTTTTGATAGGGTTTTAAATAATTAATAACATGTGTATAGGATGAATCTCATTATTTATAGACAACATACAATCTCATCATTTATTCAATTACAACCGCTTATATGGATTACAATTAGACCTCCGATCCAGCAGCTAATGTGTTTGTCTTAACACTCATAACACTTGAATTTATATCGCTAATCACGAATAAATCACTCATCTAATTTAATCTTCTCGTATATACACACAAAAGCTGCACTGTTTCTCTAATCTCTTAAAACAAAGGCCTGCTTTAGTTTGTTTGAATGCTGAAGTATACTTGATAAAATAATGACAATTAGCTTAGCTTGTTTCTGAACTTGGGGCTTGAATAGGGAGCTTCTCCTTCTTTTTACTTGCTGGATAGAGTACATAATGTTGAATGATGAATATAATGTCGAAGAAGATCGAAACCTGTGCAGTCACAAATCAGTTAGGTACAAAGAGTAGAAGATAAAATGCACACATATTCTAACAGAATACTTATGTGGGATGTAAATCAGGGTGTAGTGAAATTGAGAAGTAAAATAAAAGAAGTGATCATACCAAAGATAGTAGAGTTTTTCCTATATTTCCATAGAAATTGACCCATGATTCTGCAAGAAAAGATCATAATAAACGTTAATACGAATCCACAGAGATTTTAACAATCAGGACTAATGAGTAATGACAGTACATGGCGCGAAACCAAAACACTCAATGACTTACTCTGATCAATAGATTGCATAGCCATTTGACCATAATTTGTCACACCTCCCAGCAAATCAAGTAAAATATTTCCGATGCTGAAACCATCAGTGCTTTTTAGTCGAAAGTTCATGACAGCCTGCACATAATTGATTAGAATTTACATTAAACTTCAAAAAAACTGAAATTTGAATAGAATTATATTGATATTGTACAAGACAGAGTTTAACAATATCACAAGTCATTAGTAAGTTGATAAACCAACAAAGGATTAACGCGACTTCATGATTAATAGCAAAAGAAGTACATAAATACTGACCTGTGGCACATATTTGATGACTGTCATAGTAACCTGAATAGTACTGCAAATAATAGAATGTGTACATGTTATAACACCATTAAAGGAAAATAAACAAATGTACATGTTGAAAAAATAAAGTTATAAACAAATGAGAGCATAGTAGCTTGTCATCTTACTTGAAAACATTGATTAACCAGAGCCATGAATGTCTGTGAATGCCTACAAATACACAAACCGCGGCAGAAAACCATATGATGCAGACAATCCCAATTGCAATTTTAGAAAATCTCTGATTTTTCCTCTGCATGTAAACCAAATGTTATACCATCAGTAATTTGATTTAAGGGGTAAAAATCAAATATTACAGTTAATTTTTCTGTCATTTACCTCATAGATGAAAATCTGAAAGAGGGTAAATGCAGTCAAGAGGACTGCATGTGAAGAGAATGCAACATCATTTGCAGCAACTGGTATCATCTGTATACAATATTAACAAAGGTTAACATTATTACATAAGATGGGTGTATACATTAAGACCGCGACAAAAGTCAACTCTTATCAATTCCATATTAGGTCCCCTCATGAGTGTCATGACCTAACTCGTCAAGGTCATCAATATAATCCATGTTGATATACTACCTCCGTTACATATTATTTACAACGATTAGACATTATTCCTCTCTACTTTATGTCAAATCGTTGCAAATAATATGTAACAGAAGTAGTAATTCGTTACAGCTTACAGAATGTCACTTAGCTTGTACACCCGTCTTACACAAGAATGCAACTACCTAGAACCTATAAAAATGGCATATCTGATCTAAAATTACAAGTCTATGACTAAATTTACTCTCCACTTGTAAGAAGAATTCTAAAACAGGGCTAAAAGTGAGTGGCCTAAAATGACTTGGAAGACAGTGAAAATTAAAGATAGTGACGACAAAAAAACGGACTGACTAATCTTTTGTAGAACTATGGCTATTTTGAATTTATATTTACCATATATGTAATAAAATAGGATATTATTTTAAGGTCAGATAAATTTATTTACAATAAGTTGTATTAATACGACATAACTACATAGATCTAGGAGTCTTTATGTTTATTGTGTAGCTAGAGTTACGAGTATTGGTTCAGGATCATACAATAAACCCCGCGAACAAAAAAAATTACAGGAGAAAGGAATAAAAAGGAACACGAATACAAACCTCGTTAGACCCATACTTGTGACGATATTGAGCCTGAACAGCCGTGCTAAAGAAGAGTACCGCATTGTATATCAAATACGATGAGTGTTTTGTCAAATTCAATAGCACAAAGTCGAAATTTAGTCCCACCACACTGTCAAATTAACATTCATATAAAAACTTTTAGAGACGAGAGAATATTGTTAGTTAAAGCTTGAATGTAACATACAAATAAAGATCTTGAAAATAAAAAACAAACCTTTTTCGTCGAAAATTCAAGATAACTTGAGGATAAAAACTAATAGACCAAGCAACAAATGCAACCCATCCTAGAACTTCATACAAAACTTTAAGTTGCAAAGAGTGCCACTCTCCCATCTTTTCTTCTTTTCAAAGAAGGTAAGGTTCTTTGGTTATTATTATGTTGAATAGAATAGAATTGAATTTATATTTATATGTAAAAAAAATTGAGGTGACAATAAATGCGAGGTCATAAAAAAACAAGAAATAGGGGGTGTTGGAAAAAAGGTTTCAATGAGGGCAATGTTTATTTATATAAAGATAGATGCTGTTTGTTACCATTATGATCCGTGATTATAACAGAAATATGTTATGCACTCAGACGGTAATATGGGCATATGCAAGTATGCAACCGTCATAAGTTAAGATATTTATTTCACAATTGGTTGATCTCACAAAGTTAGTTATTCACACGAGTCATTGAGCTAGTTTGTAAATTCTTTAAAATTTCTTTAAAATTTCATATTGAAGGAATATTATTTTTTATCATAAAAGTTTAATCTATGGAAGATTATGTCAATATATTCTGTATTAACTTATCGCAAATGTGCAATTACATACAACCCCAAAATAAATAAATAAATTAATTAAATTAAAATTAAAATTAATTTGTTAATTAAACATCATGAAGAGAAAAGTTTCGCTACCCGCTAAGGCCGCTATGTGGTATAATTTTTACATAATACAGAGTCTATCGTATGGATTTTTTGTGGAATAACATTTTTATAAACCTATCAAGATTCGTTTAATTATAAATTGAATTTTTACATAATTAAATTTAAGTAAAGTTTGATGTCAATTACCCATCAATTTCTTATACTACTAAAGCCAATTTGGATAGGATCAAACTTTGCCATCATTTGATGCCCGTATCGGTACTAAACTGGCCTACCCGGTATGTGATTGGCCATATTTTAGAAAAAGTTGGTCATAAACAGATAAACAAGTGGAAAAACTTGTTCAAACTTTTAACAAATTTTGGCAGATGCACTTTAACTTGTTTGATTAGTCAAGTCAACGAAGTCAATCACATAATGCGTATCACAGTACAAGTTACAGGACATCAGCATGTTCGATTGTTCAGCTAGCAAAACATTGGGTCCATAATCTTTTGTAATAATTCATAAAATCATATTACGGGGATAGAACGGTGTGACAACTAATTCTAGATCGAGGGTATCAACACATGAATCAAGGGCGAAATATGTTACAGATGCTGTCAAAAGCTCAAAACATTCAATTGCATAAACTGGTATATATTGCCCTGAAAATTGCAAACTTGCTTTATATTTAGGCTTTGATAATCAGGTGCTGAAGATTCAGTTTAAAAAGGATGCAAAGATACCTCAAAAGGGTTCAACATGTATCGTTTTTCCCCTGTTTTGTCTCTTACATCATCCAGAAAAACATACGACAGCTAGGGTAGAAATCATAGAAAATCATGGCCATGCCACATATATAGAGATTCAACGGTTGATTTATTCATGAGCTGCCAACACACATCGGAGACAACCACCTTCATGCATGAGATCAAAAGCCTTGTTGATGTCTGTGAGGGTCAAGCTATGAGTTATGTACTCATCAACCTTGATCTCCTGCAAATATGCAAATGTGAACAGATATTGAGATATTGGAATAATGAAGCTCTGTCTTTTGATAGGTTTGTGAAAATATAAAGTACTTGGTTAAATTTATTTACTCACCTTCTTTAGGTACTTCTCTACAAGCCAAGGAACTTGAGATCGGCTCTTAAAACCACCAAAAGCTGTTCCCTTCCAAACACGACCAGTGACCAGTTGGAAAGGACGAGTAGAAATCTCCTGACCAGAGGCTGCAACACCCACAATAACAGATGTACCCCAACCCTGCACAAATTTTTCCCAAGCAAATTAGAGAGATCTTCAATCTATATATTTACCTGTGAGTTGATGGCATGGAAAGATAAGACGCAATCAAGCTGCAAACTTACTTTATGACAACACTCCAAGGCAGCCCTCATCACTGAAACATTTCCGATGCATTCAAAGCTGTAGTCAACTCCTCCATCAGTTTGATCCACAATCACTTGTTGTATGGGTTTGTCATAATCCTTTGGATTCACAAACTCTGTAACTCCAAAATTCTTAGCTGCAACATTGAATTTGGGGGGAAAAAAGATGAAGATTTTGAATTAGCGTTATCTAAAAGATGAGCTCAATAATTCTTAACACTGTACAAAGGTTGCAATATAAATCTACACAAGGTAATTTTAAAATGCCAAGTAAAAAAATTTAAGTTAGGTACCACGGGTTGTATAAAAAGGTCAATATACAGAAAACGAATGTGCAAAATGCTATCCATCACAAGGAAAATTAGAAGTCTAAGAAGATCGCAGATACTGCTATAAATCTTTCTGGAAATATAAATTAGCACAGTTTCATTAACAGACAAAAATTAGAAAGAAAGCAAAATACTGGGAGAAATGCATACACTCCATACAAAAATCAATTCAACCTCGTGTACTCTCTTCCAAATTTTCCTTTAACTTAGAAGTAGAAAATAGGCTGGACAACAGCTAAGTATACCTTAAGACCTAAGTCTAAAGCCCACACTCTTGACCAAACAATAGAACGCCAAATCAGCATCAGAACAACAAATTCCAGGAGAGAAGCAAAATTATTTTGTACATTAGCTATTTACATCATCCAAAAATTTAATTGCCGTACCTAGCTTTGCTTCAAGTGTAGTAGAGAAGAGGTCTTACAAAGACAGAACCAACAAAATTTTCTGAAAGATTTAGGATATTTCTTCATGATTCAGACATAAAGTACCAGGCTACCAGCCGATAGACAGATAGATAGAACTCAAATGAGTTGTTTTCAGTGACATGCAATCGCATCAAAAAATTATTGAAAGATTGAAGCTATTGGAATGGAATTATATATCATTAGACCTTCTATGGAATACAATAAAGAAGGCCATAATGAGAGGAATGACACATCCATCGAATTTGTGTAGAAGAAAACATAGGAATGTCACGACACAATGGCAGCAATCAATTGATTTTAGATCATTTCATTTAAGAATGTAATCATTTACCCCTATGCCAGAAAGGAATCTCACTGAGTCAATGTACCACTAGATATGCAACAAGAGTTGATAATGCCAAGCAAATAAAATGGATGAGATATTGACAATCTTCTGGACTAGAGAATGAAGACAATACCTACATCAAACTTCTTGGGATCAATATCAATACCAATGATCCGTGAAGCACCTGCAGCCTTCGCACCCTCTGCAACCTGTCGATGCAGTATCCAGTTAGATCATCACTTCATCAGTAAGACAAGATCACAACTTATTTGAATTAACATAAAGAGGTTCACTGGAAACTTACAGCAAGGCCTACAGTTCCAAGACCAAAAATAGCAACATTGGACCCTGGCTCTACCTTTGCAGTGTTCCAGACAGCTCCAAGACCTGCAGAAATGTCAATAATATTAACAATGATGTTTTCCCTCTAAATGGAACCTAGTCTAGGGAAGAGGAGAAGGGGGGGGAGGGGGGGGGAGAGAGAGAGAGAGAGAGAGATTCGATGCATCAATTACAAAGATAGCAACAAGCATCACAAGAAGATAGAGGGGCAAAAAACAAGGTATAAGCCGTATAACCAATTATTTTCAGCATAAAGTCCTGAAAAATCCATAAAGATAAGGATCAAAAGCACTTTGCCTTGTTCCTAAATGCAACAACCCCTAGTGAATAGAAAAACTAATGGATTAAATAGTCAAATGGTAAAGCTAGCCTAAATCATAAATTCATAACAAATAACAGAACTCCTTAAGATTTAATTGTATCTAATGATGTTCAGTCAAATGAAGGCTAGGATTTGGCTAGACTTGCTAATTGCTATTGTTGGCAACTTTTATATCTAAACAATTTTGTTAAATTCCTACCAAGTGAAACTCGGACTTTCTTGTTATGTCTCTTCAAAATTCAGTCAGGAGATTATGGAATACGTATAGATCATAATCACCATTACAATAAACAAGAATTGTCTTCTAAATTCTGACCTAATATGAAACGGTAAGTTAACATGTTATTTGTATAGTGACAGAGATATATATAATAAGAAGTCAAGGGATACAAAAAAGACTAACTCTCATTAACCAACAGATCAAATTAGAGATGTAACAAGAAAGAGCATGTAATGCTAGTGAATAGTAACTAGCAGATAATAAAAGCATCTTACCAGTAGATACACCACAACCAAGAAGGCAGACTTTGTCCAAAGGAGCTTGTGGATCAATTTTTGCAACACTAACATCATGTACAACAGTGTATTGAGAAAATGTCGAGGTTCCCATGAAGTGGTAAATAGGTTTCCCCTTGACAGAAAAACGACTCTGGCGGTCATTCATCATAACTCCAGCTCCAGTAGCTGTCCGAATTTTTCCACAGAGGTTTGTCTTCCCTGACTTGCAGAATTTACACTCTCTGCACTCAGCTTGATAGCATGGAATAACATGGTCTCCAGGCTTCACTTCTGTTACACCTTCACCAACACTTTCCACAATCCTGCATTGATAAAAATTCAGCCAAAATTGGGTTACAGCCACTTTAGAAAGATTGAGAAAAATCCACAAATTTGTAAAAGCACGTACCCTGCAGCTTCATGACCAAGGATACATGGGAAGAGACCTTCAGGGTCCTGTGACACCATAAATTTATTTAGAATTACCAAACACCATGTTATCACAAATTAAGTTTTATGCACTCTACAAACAACACATGACTCTTCAATAGTGAAAACCATAACTATGCAGCCCAAATTACAATAGTCCAACCTTCAAAAATCCATAAATGTATTTTAACTATCAGACATTTCATATAAGACCCTCATAAGTTACTAAATGTCCTAAATCATGAAATATCAACAAATTGATGCCCATACATCTTATACTTTCAAAACATTTGGTTGCATTGAATTCCATGACTATAATCCAAGTCTTCTTACAAGTAAATACCAAAATACATTGACATCTAATTGCATGCAAAACATCAATTGATATCCCCTACTACTTGGGTTTCAAGTACATTCCAGTGAGAAGTATTAGGACAAAGGGGGTATAAAAGAGGGGAAAACTCCTTAAAGCAGCCATGGGTTATTCTATTAATCCACCTTACAATTAATTTTTGATCTCTAGTGTGAGTAACATAGTTCCTACTATAATTTGATCTACTTTTCCCCTTTAAAGCAAAATTGGCAACCACAACAACAAGGTTTACAGAGGTCAAAATATACATCGTGAATCGCGATACATTACAATTCAGGGAAGGCAGCATATTGGACAAAAGTTTCGAATATTCAAATCAAAAGCCAAGACTTTTCAAACCAACATCGCCAATTTTGAAATAATTAAAAATACCCTAAAAAATTAATCACCAACCATGCAATATTCAATTGGGGAATTCCAAATCCGTTAGCATAATCAATAAACTCATAATCATAATAAATTCAACAACAAAAACCCTAAATTGATGGATGATTAAAATCGATTAAGGAGAGAGAAAATAGACCTTGCCACTCCAAGTGTAAGCATCGGTGTGACAAAGAGCAGTGAAGAGAATTTTGATTCGAACTTCGCCGGCTTGCGGTGGCGCAACCTCGACATCTTCAATTGAGAGAGGTTTGTTGGGTTCCCAGGCCACCGCCGCTGAACAATTGATTTACAGAGATCAACACCATTTTCAGCCATTGAAATGCATGAATTGTGCAGGAATACAAAGAGGAGAGGAGAGAGAAAATACCTTTGCATGTGATGACTTTGCCTTGAGTATCCGCCATTTATGAAGAGTTGATTGAGCTTGGAGTTTTTTTGTGGTGAAAATAAATTTGAGAGTCGTGAGAAATGTGGAGTATATAAATAATGTGGGAGTAGTGTCTAGTGAGTAGTGAGCACTATAAAGCTGTATTTTTATGGTTTATGGTCATTTTTAAATGGATCTTCCTTAAATTATAACCAACGACTTCGTATTTTCGCTCAAAACAATACACATTAGTGGATTTTAAGTTGAAATAGTATGAACTCACAAATTTTATTCCTTGATGAAGTTTTTGATTAAGACGATTGTTTATCAAATTTACGATAATTTAGTTTTAAGGTTATGTACATAACTGCCCACTGACAATTTGGCGACTTTATTGGGAAGGATTCTTGGTTATTTATCGATTTGAGGATTCTTGGTTATTTATCGATTTGGTTACTTGACCCGCCCCACTGACATCCTTATACAAAATTTGAAAACTTTTCGAGATGTTAAATACGTTAACTAACATTAGGAATGTTAAATTAAAATGAACTATAATTGTAGAATTTTTTTTATAAATGGTTATATGAGGTCGTTCATTTTTGTTTTTATAACAAGAAAAGAGATTTCATTAATAAAATATAGTCAAACGACACTTATGTGTACTCTCTCCTTTTTTTTATTTGCATCCCTTGTGGATGCACGGAGTTTTAGGCGAAAGTATGTGAGAAAAAATAAATACTTTTTATTATTTAAGAGGGACCATATAAAAGAAAAAAATAATAAAATATAGCACTTCGTTTAAAGTTATCAAATATAGAAGTGATGCATTTTAAAATATCCATAAAAGAAAGTGATGCAAATAATAAAAAAAATGGAGGGAATAATTCCTAAGAAATCAAGAATTCTAACGCGGCGGATTATGATAGTACTTATTGAGACGAATTCAAAATGGTCCAACATGAATATGTTTTTCCTTACATATTATTCACAAAATACGGTCAAAGAAGGGGTGGTGAATAGTGTAAAAGTCAAAGCGGGTTAAGTAAAAAAGAACAGAGGAAGTAGTTTATAATGCTAACAAGCTAGGTTTAACCACACATGATGCTTGATTCTCCTTTCACAATTCTTGAACTTTTACCAACTTCTTACAAAATGTTTTGCATACATTTGAACATTTTCAATAAATAAGTTTTGATGATGTAATCTATTAATTAACTATGACTAAAACAAAAATCTGCTGACATCATCCTCTCTCTCAAATATATATATGTCACTTTCTCATGAAAAATTTTCCCGCCGAATGCACTTATGATGTCATATATGTTTTTTTTTTTTTGAGGAATTAATTTTTTTTAATCATTTTTATTTCAATCTTTTGACTGTGTCAATAAATAAATAAATAAATTTTATTTTTGGTTGGAATAAATAAATTGATATATTTAATAGTTTCAATCTAATATCATATAACTAATATATAAAGCTAAACTTTTAGCCAGACGATGAGACAGCGACACTTGGTATTCCAACTTTTCGCCAAGTGTCGCGCCACGTTGGAGCAATTTAAATAGACTTCATAAGATTAAAAAAAATAGAATTTTAGGATAAAATTTTAAGTTTAGAATTTTATTTTCGATAAAAAACCAATATTTATGATATACAAATTGAATTATAATTTTATTCAAAAAGATTATTAGATTATAATTCTTAAAAATTATCATGTAAATTTAATTTTTTATGTCATAATTTTTTTTTTGGAGCGAAGGAATCAGTTTAAAGTGTAAAACATCTATTTATAATATATATTAATCGGTTAAAATACTATACTTCACAACTTATAGAATTTTATTACCACATAGACCTGTCAATTAGGATTGAGTCATGAGTCATCTCGGATTGGGTCACTTTGTTACGAGTCAAGAAATGTTCAACCCTTACCCAAAGTTTTGGGTTCGGGTCAACTCAACGGGCTTTGAACATTTATCTTATTTAATTTATTATTTGTTTATTTTTTATGTACTAAATCGAACATTTCCACCAATATAAGTATTAATCATTACATGCCTACTAGATAGCAAATCGTAACAAAGCACATCAATAAACTAATTTTGTACCAATGGTATATTTTAAATTTGACGTATAGATAAAAAAATTTATCTTTAAATTCAATAAACAACCCAGGCATCGCACGAGCACAAAACTAGTATATATATATATATATATATATATATATATATATATATATATATATATATAAAGGGGAGTTTTCCCCGAGTTTTTAGAGAGCCACATAGGATTTATTTTTCTTAGCGCGGCATGTAGGATTATGAATTTAATTTGTAGCCAATTAAATAAGAGATTATTAATTTATTTTACAATTAAATAATTTGAATGCCACGTTAGCAAAATTGACGAATGAAATTTTAAAGTTTAAACTAATTAAATACAAAATATTATCTTTTGAGATTAGAAATTTTATTTAATATTTTAAAGCTAATATAATAACAAAAATCACATAAATATGAAAAATATTTTTTTTAAAAATACTAACAAACCATGCATCGCACGGGTTTCATCTAGTAAATAATATAAGGGTCTAATCTAGTATTACACACATTACGTATGGCCCTAATTACATGTAACACTTTTTAAATAGGCGTAATTTGATAAAACTACCCACCTAATAGGACATTCGAAGTCATAAATGCAAATTAGAGGTTGCATCCCATCTCAACAAATAACAACAGTTCATATATATCGGCAAGAATCCTGCACCATCAACCTCATCATGTATTTAGAAATTTCTTAATCATCTGTCATATTTCCTGCATAATGAACTTAATACCCCTCATTAAACTTAGCGTGCATTTTAAAATCTCTTTATTAGGCTTTCAAACAGTATCTATTACATTATTAGGATCTAAATTATCTTTTTCTTTACAAAATAAAATTAAATATAAGAGGAGTGATAATATTGTATTCAATAATTCAACGACAAACTGAACATCCAATAGTTGGCATTTCCTATTCATTTTTACAGATAATTATTTTATCAAATATTCTAATCTTAAAAATTGGCAATCAAATCTCTCAATTTGATACCAAGTTCTCTTTTTGCCAAGAAACAAATCAAACAACTTTTCAAAAAAAACAAAAAAAAAAGAAACAAATTAAACAATAATTGTATGTGGAATATGAGTATTTTTAATGTCTCACATAAAATACCTTTTTGTTGCAAATAAAAGAAAACAAAGGTAGCAAAAATCTCATTTCTTACTTAGTACAGCAACAGTTTGTGTCAAATTCTCCTAAACTACATTACTATGTATTTTACTAAGATTGAGTAATAAAAAGAGTTTAAGAATAATCCAACTTACAAGAAGACAGACCACATTTCCTTCATTCCTTGTATCTGAGTACCTATGCAATAATAACAAAGGGGTTGAACAAACTGCACTTCTAAACAGGCCCTACATCATGGGTTTCTATATAAACTTTAAATTATGAACATTCACTCTCTATGGTGAGCCCCATGATCATCCAATTGACCGAAAATTCTCAATCATCTGGCAATTTACAGATTTTATAGGTTTTACTGCCTATTTTGCACTCTATACCACTGAATTTAGCAGTGAAAACCCGTTTCTGTAATGAATTCCTGCCTTCAGGATGTTTCTTTGCTTCTTCTACTACTCTTCGCAGTAAATCACTTGTATCACCAGACGCCCATGTTAATGATATATGAGGTCGAGGATCCTGCAATACGTATCCAGCCTCAGTAGCTTATCAAAAGAAAATGAATTAAGAAATAGCCTCAGACTGCACATATCAGTCCTCGTAAACTTAAAATGAACATTGTCTGAGTCAAACCTTGTAAAATTCAGGAAGATTGTGGAGCCTGTAGGCTTCGTTAACAGCTTGAATCTGCTTTGTTATCTGTAACAATGAAGACAAGGTCAACGCTAACTCTATCATGTGAAAAGGCAACTAGCTAATGGAAAATAGTTTACAGATCAATTCCTCGATTGAATTACATCAATATATTTTAGTCTCAACAACCAATAATGTTGTGATAATTAATTCATTGTTTGCAAATCAAGAATGAAAGGACTTGAAGCCACCATATTTGTTTCTTACAGCTCAAACAATGCACAGAAGAACTTGACTTTCAATCACAAAGTACATAGACATATAGATAAGGGTCTAGTTATTGTCCGGGAGATATAATGACAGGAAAAACATGACAGTAAAAACAGGGGAAAAAATTAGAGAAAACCTGAACAAAGGAAAGTAAGTATAGTTTGCAAAACACAAGTTAGGTAAAAGAAAATGTACTCCATATATATCTATAATCATGACATGTCCTCCGCAAAGATTTCCTCCCTTCACGCTACTCTGTCCAACAACAATATTTTCTCAGTCTCCAAAAGGCTCATATCACTTCCGATCACCCTCCTCCAAGTTTTCTTAGGTCTTCCGCTACCCCTCATGATCCCATCAATTTGCCACTCTTCAAGCTTCCTTACCAAAGCCTCACTTGATCTCCATCTTATATAGCCAAACCACCTGGGCGATTCTCCTCATCTTGTTTTCAATAGATTTCACCCTTTTCTTTCTAATATCTCATTCCTCAGCCGATCCTTTCTTTTATGGCCACACATCCAAAGCATCATACGTAGCTCCACCAAACTTCTAACCACAACTCATAATTTTCCTGGCATCCTATTTCTCTGTCAAGAGAAGAAGATTGGCATATAGCATCTCAGACCAGGCTTTTATAGCAATTGATTATCAAAGCTAAAAGCTACAAACTCTGCATAGTTCATAATAGGCACTTTCCCAAATCCTAGAATCCATCACTTGAACTAGATGAAAAAATCCTCATTCATATCATCAGCTACAGGATTCTGGCTTTTCCAATATCCATTGAAATTGTCCTTGAACCATTATTAGTTTTAGGTAAGAAAATTAAGTGATAGATGAAAATGGATCTAACGAGGGGAGCCAGAAGGCCACTGAAATCATGCAAAAAGAACAAAACAGCCTTTAAATAACATGTTAGATTACGGACAGCTCCATGAACAAGAACCAAAATGAAGCTAAGAAAATAAATACCTATCCCACAAAGCAGCTAGACTGGACAAACAACACAAAGCAGCTAGACTGAACAAACAATTTTAGAACACCTTTCCATTCCTTTCCAACCAAACCACCCATAAAACAGCAAAGAAAGCATAATGCCTCAAAATTCTAGCCCTACACAGTAGACACCTCCCAAAACTCACATTAATGACCCTGCAAATCATCTAAACAATAGGCGGACCTGCCCACCTTATCCCAACAAATGCATAAGTCTCTTCCATAGATAAAGTCATCAGTCATTACATCACCACACAAAACCAATTGATTTCACCACAAACGAAAATAAAATTAATATAAATAAAAAAAAAAAAAAAGGTACACATGAGAAAACGCCTGGCAAAGCCTCCAGACCTGTATGTCTCACAAGCATTGAGCTTCCCCAAACTAGACACCAAAAGTCCAACACTCATTCAATAAAGCAGCAAATGATAAAGTGCAATAAATAACACTAAGAAGTCAGCCAAAAGTAACTCCTAATACTAAAACGCAAAAACAAAAGAAATTCCTCACCACTAAATACACAACTGACGAGACAAAACCTAGTAGGACCTCTGAAACTACAACTTGTCACAGGTATTGAACAAAACTAGATAGTCACAACTCACATAAATACTTTCATGCGTTACCTAGACCATCCAACCAAAAGAAGAAAATGAGAAATGCTGCAATTTAAGAGCTTCTACGCGTGGTAACAGATAGAATGACAGTAGAAGCAACCAAAGTATCAATTGACCAAGTCTTCCTGTCCTGAGCCTCAGTCAAGAAGATTCTTTCTAAAATGAATTTTCCATGAAGATATAGTCTACTGCTCCCCACAAGAAAAGGAAGATAGGACGGAAAGTAAACAATCCACAGACTAGGAAGAGTAATCTAAAAGAGCACTCCTTGTTTCCTTTCAGCCCTCTGTCCAAAAATAATATCAAATTACTGAATAGAATACAAAAGTTATGCCAGAGGTAACTTTTAACTGCTGTTTTCTTTTTTCTTTTTTTTTGGCTGTCTTTCTCTAATTTTGTGCATACATTATTCTTTAGGGAGGAATTGGGTATTTGGGTTACAGGATATAAGCATCCATTTAAAAAAAAATATAAAACAGAAGTTAAAAATTACCTCTGGCAAACCTCCTGTAGTGACTTCTAAAGAAAGAAAGGCCCGCGTATGATCGTCATTGACAAATACCTCCCATTTATTGAAATCAATCCAATACCTGACCCAAAAAAATCAGATGCAAATACGCAAGAAGTCAAGAGGACAATTACAATAATGTATGCTCATTGTGCATGAAAAAACACTAAACAAGAAATAAAAGGCTAACCGTTTCTGAATTTGCAACTTTTGTCGAAGCATGGTGACCATTGAATCTATTTGATGCACCCTGATAGGGACAGTTCTTCCTAAACTTATATGAAATTCTCTCCCTAAGGCAATGTGTTCAAGCTTCTGATCATCATTTAAAATATTTTCGAGTGGGATGTCAGCATCAATGACATGTAGACCAGGAACACTTGATGAAACTTTTTTTATGAACTGGGAAGCCTCTTTCCTTGCTGGTTGTGGTATAAAAACTACAAGGAAATTATTCTATATTGAGTGTCAGTAATTACTATCAAAAAAGAAAAGTAGATACAGACTTAAAAAAAAAAAAAAAAAAAAAAAAAAAAAAAAAACAATGAGATGACTCACATGTAGGAGTGTAGGACATCAGACAGCAATAACTCATTTTATGCCTAATTACTAATTTACGAAATCTACCACTGTCTAAGCAGGTAACATAAGCATACTTTCCATTTTATACACCCAGTTAAGAATCATCGACATATGTCTAAGGTGGAAACACAGGGAGCAATGCAAACACTAGGTCAACCTACATGAAGTAAAGTCTGAGAAAACATGAGTTAATGACCTAAAGAGAAAGGGAAGAAGAGAATGAAAGTTTAGCACACTACAAAGACAAACAGATAAGTACAAAACCAAGACATTACTTTGAAGGTTATTTTTAATACTCCCTCCGTTTCATTTTGTTAGTCCCCTTTGGAATCAATCACTTAAAATAAGAAAATGAGGAATCTTAGTAATTTGGAATTTGATTGCAACTTTGTAATTAATGTTTTGTTTTTTCTTGTTTTATTTATGGTTATTGGCTATAATTAATCGCCTATTATAAATTTTGATTGGAAAATTTGACATGTCAGCAATCCACTAGCACATACATTAACCAATCAAAATTATTTGATTCTTTAAACACCCAATTAGATTAATTGTTCATGGATTATGAAAATTATTCACTTTATAATTAATGTTGGGAAATATTCAATATGGGTACATCATTTTGAAACGCCCAAAATAGTATATGGGACTAACAAAATGAAACGGAGGGAGTACAAACAAAACAATAACAGCACAAACCTTTTTGTTCGTTTAGGCAACCATAAAGTTCGCATTACGTACTGAGTATTTTCTAATTGAGTTCAATTAATTTCAAGAACTTAGTTTCCAACTAATCAAGAGTTCAGAAGTGTTGGATACTTGGATTTGTTTACACTTCATGATTAGGTTGCTTTTCTTTTCATGGTCATATCAGTAACCAACTACATGTAACTATCTGATTGAAGATGTTGCATATATGTCCATTAAAAGTATGAAAAGACGATGAGAATTTTGCAGTAATTATGGTAACCACTTAGAGTTATACTAATTTCAAGATCTAAAATAAATCACCTCTTTGCAATTGTAGGCTGACAAGGTTAAGACTAAAAAGATCTTTCAAAAATAGCAAAGGTAAGGTAGCATACATATGATATTGATATAATGATATGTAACACCTCAAATTCCTCTCTTTTAGTATAATAATCATAAATCCTCTTTTGATATAGAGAAGGTCAACCTTAAGTTTAGGGATAGCTCCTTACCCCTTTCCTTCATTACAAAGTTTTATTATGCTCTAAATTCCATTATCATTTAAGATATCCTCATACTTGATAAGCAATACATCATGCCTAGGTAAGGTGGCAAATGAGCGGGCTAGGAGAACCTTCCATTGTTTCCTTTTCATGTCTTCGTGACCAATTTTATTACACAGATGTTCAGCATAGCTCTCAAGTCTCTTTTGCATTTCGTGGATATAAAAAGTTAGCCTTACATGGTCCAAGAAACTCATCATCTGTTTTATAATTCGAACATACATATCAAATCAACCAGCATACTTCATCACACAATTATTCAAATATTCCGCGAAGAATAAATCATATCTCCAAGACTCCAACCACTTCACAATTACGAATAAGTGAATAACTTGTAAATATTTACCCAATATAATCAAGAATGATCATATCCACTCCCTTACAACCCCTCAGAAATAATTATCATGATTAAAAATAAAAAATAAAAAATAAAAGTTTATCCCCCAAAATGGTCTGGATTACCTAACCAGGGTAACCATTCTATGGGATAAATTTGCATTCTTCTGTAGCAATTATGCAGCAAATTTCAACCCCACATAAAAAAAAAAAAAAAATAAATAAATAAATAAATAAAAACAACAACAACAACACAATTATAAAAACATGTAATCTCAAGCAGTAGTTTCAATGTAGTATCAAATATTTAACATACCACTTCACAACCAATCAATCAATACATATAACACACAAAATTAACAAATGTGAATCATATGCAAGGTACCGAGTGTACCTGGGATGTAAACATGTACAGCATAGTTGCCTTCTACATGGGGAAAGCTCCGAACCCTTGCGGGTTGACCCGTTTGCAAGTTATCAATTGTACCTTAAAAAGAACAGCAAACAAAACATCAAACAGTCGGTGGGCATACTTTAAATTCGACCCAAATTGAATTAGCAGCATACATGAAAGAATAGAATGGTTTAGAGAGTGGGAGAAAGGAGGGGTTTTGCTTACCAAGGAGAGAATTTGGTGGGGTGAGGAGAGATAGTGGAGGCGGAGGAAGCGGCGATGGCGACGGAGATTGCGACGGCGGCGGATTCTGAGGCGGAATTGAGACTGGTGTTGACGAGTTCGAGTTCGAGTCCGAGTCCGAGTCTGAGTCTGAATCGCCGTAAGATGCTAAAAGAGCATCCATGGTTGGTTGCCAGTTTTCAGTTCTTCTCACTGACGAGAACTAGAAATGGAGGAAAGTTATGCATTTACTAATGCATAACATTGAATAAAATATTATAAAAACACATGGTGAAGAAGAGAGAAAAAAGGAGAGAGAGGCATGTAGGCGGACCACACCTATTTCTTAGTCGGATTATATCACGTAATGGGGACCACATGCATTGTTCCACTGAAAGTTTATATAGTACCATTAAATCCTCAGTGGTACTATTTATGCATAAATTTAGTACAACTAAATGCATATATAATATCATTATGTGCACATATAGTATCACTGTATATTCAATGGTACCATTTGATCATCCAATGATATCAGAATATTTATTCATTTGTACATATGCATAATTACATGAATACCCTTTGTTATGCATTTCTAAATGCCTAACATTCCTCCCTTTAAAATTCCTCTTGAAATGACCTTTCTTTCTCCAAAAACCGTTGATGTTTAAGGAGAGGTTATATTTGTCTTTTTATTCTATAAATTGGGGTTAAATTGTAATTTGTAGGTTATCAAAATTGTGTTGATAGTTTGATATTCCATTGTGGCTTGTCATAATGTCATTTGACACACTTATTACATTGATCACATTATTCATATAGACATATCAGTAGATGATAAATTTAGGGTTGTCTTGCCCTAATTGGTATCCAATTAATCAAAACTCGAGTCTCAAAGCCTCAAAGGGCTGCCTTGTTTTTTTTTTTTTTTGGGGGGGGGGGGGGTTATGGAAAGCCTCGATTAATCTTTTTGATAAACAAGATTTATTTATCATATGACAGCTTTGTCAATATTTGTTTAGGGTTTGTTTGGCATCACTGTGATTTTCTGTTTTTTGGTTTTTTGATTTTTAAAATCATATGATATATGTCATATAATGAATTAAAAATTAGTCAAACTTATTAAAATCATGATAATTTTGAAAACTTACAACAGAAAAATGAAAACACCTTTTTCTTGTTTCCTGTTTTTAGTTTTTAGTTTTCAAAAAAAACATAAAACAAAAAACAAAAAACGATGTCAAACACGCCTTTAGTTATTTGTGTTCTATTGTTTTTGTTTTCAGGGGTTTTACACTTTTACTTTCCTCCTCTATTAATAAACATATTAAAAAAATGACAAAATAGGAGCATGGTGAAACCCAAGAGGAAGGGTTTGTTGGAAATAAATTGGAAAAATAATTTGGAAACTTAGGTGGGTGAGTCACATATAACCTTCCACTCATCTTAAAACGATTTACGCCCTCCAATACAAATGATAAGGAGTTAACGGCGTGTCATTCCCATATAAAACCCCAACTTATACACTCTCTAAACTGCATAATAAGGATTTAAGGAGTAGAATCGTTTCATTAATACAACCAAAATATCTGACTTTGTATATTATCCAAGCATGTAAAATATAATACGTGAATAGTGCAAAAATTAAAGAACACTTAAAAAACACACAGAAGGAATATAATAACTTTTCATCTCAAATTCGTAATCAATTTAGCTTAATAATCCTTTTTTTTTTTTCTTTGGTCGGAAACTTAAGAATATCTTAAAACCAAATTACCAATTAGGTGCCCTAAAAAAAAAATAAACATAAAAAATAAACAAATCTAGCAATTGGGTAATTCTACAAAAAAAAATTACCAAAATCAAAAAAAGTTTTTTTTTTTTTTTTGACGGGCAGTTCCATAAAGTTAAAAACTCCACTCTTTACAAAATAAATAAATAAAAATAAAAAAAGAAAAATAAAAATAAAAATAAAAAGCCTCCACTACCCTTATAAATTGCAAAACCCATCTAACATCTTCTTCCCTCTCTCAAACCCCAGAAAATCTCCCTCTTTTTCCACAAATCTACAATGTCAGGAGAAGAAGAAGAGAATGCATCAGAGCTTAAATTGGGCGAAGATTTCGTCAAAGAAAAGTGTTTGATGAATGGAGAAGTAGCCATGATTCTAGAACACAGATTAGAACAATTACAGCAAGTTTCAGATGATCCCTTGAATCAGATGCCTCAAGTTTTCGAGAAATCTCTGCAATATGTTAAGCGATTCAGTCGATACAAAAACCCAGATGCTGTTCGACAGGTTAGAGAGATTCTTAGTCGTCATCAATTAGCCGAATTCGAGCTCGCTGTTCTTGGTAATCTTTGCCCAGAAACTGTTGAAGAAGCCATTGCTATGGTACCTTCGCTTAAAGATAAAGGAAGGGATCTTGATGATGAAGCTATTGAGAAGATGCTTACTGATCTTGCTATGGTTAAGAAGTTTGAGTGATTTTGGTTTCTGGGTTGTTTGGATTTTAGGGTTAGGGTTTCTGGGTACCGCGAATTTATCATCAGTTTTTAGAATTTGGTGTTGTTAGGATTGTTAATTGAGAATTCTAATGCTATGTATTGTTCAATTTGATGAGAATTTGATGGTAGTAAATTGGTAATTGGAATGTTTGTTATGTGCATATCAAGTGTTATTGAACTGGAATTGGAAAGTATGGTTATATGATCGATCAAACTTGTGATTGACTGTCATTGATCATTCCTATGTTGTGATACCTTTGTGTTTGTTCGTTCATACTTGCTTGCCGGATGTTTAAAACACGATTTTCGGCATTGCCTTCTGTATGATACTTACATTCATGTATGCAAAATTTTATGGTCATTAATATAATGAGGAATTTTGAGATGGTTATTATGAAGATAATCAATAAAGGGCACAATACTTTTCGGTATTAAGACGATGTTATTGCCAAGAAATACAATCATTGATCATGTATTTACTAGAAGCTAGTTTAGTCATTCTGCTTGTTAGAAGTTAAGGTTTTTACTTTGCACTATGGAAGCCTTGTAGTCTGCATAAAGAGAAGCAACACCTTGTATGGTTTTACCTTGCAAGATTCAGTCCAAATTTCCGAATGCAATTTGTTTGGCTTGGATGTAGAATGAATGTTTGCTAGTTTCGTTATGTTGCCTAAATGTTTATAAATCTTATATGGCACTAGGGATCTCAATGCAGAATTAAAGGGCCTAATGGATGACTTATATTCTGAATAAAAATCAATTGCGGCATAGCTTCTAGTTATTCTTACTCCATCTGCAAATGGTGTTGAATCCATCATTAATCCATATACTTTTGCTACAATGCTTCCATTTTATTGCAAACTTAAATATCTGAATCATTGCTCAACATCTGTTAATCTGTTTTCATACTTCAATTATCATTACTTGGATGGGAAAATTCACTTCTGAATTGGTAAAAGTAATTGCACCACTTTCCTGTGGATGAGACTTGGCATCTTATGATCTATGGAGCAAATTTTTACTTGATGGTATAAATCCCTCAATTTATTACTACTCCGGTTAATTGAGTTACTAGTTTTCTGCCTTTGCTTGAATCCGTCTGGAAACTCTTGCTGAGATCTAGTGAGTAATGTACCGATGCCTTCTACAAGCACTGCATTATTTTGCATCCCTGTATCAAATTGGACTGTTGAACTACCCATAGATGATCATGTTTACAATTATCTTAACTACTACACGAGTTGGTCTGCCTGTAATAATAATAAGGGCTGCAAAATGTATGCTACTTCCCATTACTTATCTCACTGATGGGCAAATAACCCCCTCAAAGTGTATAGAGCATAGCATTTGAACCAGTTAAATGAAGTGAACAAAGTGTGAGCCCAAAATTTTTCTCAATTTTAAAAATACTCAACTTCATATGTAATTTTCATGCACTAAAAGTCTGAATTCCCCTCAATGGACTCAGCAGGAAGACAAATGCTCCCTTCTCATGTTAGTATAAATAAGTAAAACAACTCAATTATCCTACATCACTGAAAATGACTATCTAGTACAATCATACAGCTAACTGAAAGGAGAGAACAAAAGAAGAAATGTCTCTGCCAGTCTTGCTAAATCAGAGGAAAGCAAACACCTTAAACTCACTTAGTACCTAGGAACATAAGACCTTCATGCTTGAGTAGTTGATACCTTTTGAGCAACCAATTGGATCTCTTTTACCCTCTCATCAACTATTTGAAGCAGCTGCTGCTCTTGCTGTTTCTTTTGATCCTCATCAAGGACATCAACGTCAACATGACCATCTTCACAATCTTGAGGCTTGTACATAACAAATGCATCTTCTCCAAAGTCATTTGGGGTATCGATTACCTGCTTCCCTTTAGTCCCTGTATCCTTACCAATCACACTAGCTTTCACTTGATCTGTGATGAAGATCCTGTAGTTCTCCATGTATTTGTCAACTGGATTAAGGGCAATATACAGAAGAATCTCCCAGCATTTCAAAAATTGCTTCTTATTGATTTTTAAGCTCTTCCTCACTTCATTAACAGCTGTTAATGGTGGAAAGAGCTGAGAAGACTGTGTTCTCTTTGACAAATTGGCTTCTTTAAGATGTGTAGCAGCAGTATCAACTGCAGACTGCACAGCACTGCAAGTGAGCAGGCGTGGTACATCGATGTAGTACCGAATACGTTGTAAGGAATCCACTGGTTCTTCAACTGTCAAGTCATAGACACTCTCAGACATAGCAGCATTGTTGAGTATCTCCAAGAGGCGACGTCCATACCCTTTCTGTTGATAAGGAGGCAACACAAGTATCTGGGACAATAATATAACACGTTGAGTCAGTATTGGCAGAATTGAGTTAGTCTAGCCAGTTAATGATGTACAAAATTAAAGGGAAACCTGACTAAGTCGAAGCCGTAAAGTATCAGGGTAATGGTAAAAACGATAAGCAGCTGCAAAACCTAGCAATCTACTCTGGTCTCCCTCTGGGTCAGCTATCTTCTGAACAATGACATACATCTCCCAACATGAATCAGTAACATCAATAGGATTGCTACCTGTTGCCCATACAAACATAACAGATTATACTCCAACAAAAGAAAACGAATCAATAAAATTCACAAAGACAGCAAAACAAGACCAAAGATGAAATTACCATCGACAAGTAGAAGAACAAGAGGCACTAATCGGCTATAAAGAAGCCCAGCAGACATGTCACCCATGACAAAGCGAATAACCTAAGAGAAGGTAAATTATTATATTAATATAACATTGAGAAGGCTGTTAGGGCAGGATAAAGGAAATGCACGTCAACTACAACGAGACATAGGATCTGACTGGAGACAAGTGGGGGAATCCAATAGGTGTTAAACAAACATGGGGTTGACAGAGAGCTACACGAAAAAACCAAAAAACTTTAAGAAGATACTAAGATAAATTACCCTAGTTACATTGTAAAAATGAAGTCCTACCTACCAAGGCCTAGTTTGGAAACTCAGTATACATTACCAACTCCCCTGTGCTTTTACCATTTATTAGTCACATACATTGCCTTTCAAAACAAAAAAAAAAGAAAAAAAGTCACATACATTGTGAACAGCATTGAGACTACTCTAGCCCTTATTTATGGTTATATGTTCAAAACATTCTGCTGAGAATCGCTAAATGCAAAAAGTATACCAAACCAATCCTTTATGCAAACATAGGGAAATTTGATCAAGAACCTGTGTATCAGTAGTATCTGCATGGGAATGACCATTGCCATCAGCGGCATTTTGAACCAGTAATTCTCCCTTGGTGACAACTGAACTGAGATCATAACAACATGAGATGATAGACCATTATATAACTGTATTTGCCAATCAAATAATAGAAAACAGTCTTGGAGAAGATTTCCATATTTCAACGCAAATGAATAGTGCTGCTTAATAGATACCTGATGTAATGCTTTTCTGTTGTGAAAGTTTGAAAAAAGTCATCCTTTTTCTCAACAATATTTTCAGCAAACATATCCTGTGAAAAAAAATCAACTTATTAAACCAAATAGTTACAAAGTGCCATTGCTTATTATTTGCTTCTCAATAAATACAGTGAATAATACCTGAAGAGCAGCTTTTAGGTCTGTGATGCCTTTCCCTCTCTATGAGCAAAGAAACAGCAAACCAAGATACATAAGAGAGTATAAAATTTCACATGTGCTACAACAAAAGAGTTTCAAAGCCTAGTTTAACTAAAAAGATTTTACAGGACTTACATCAGATGAGCTCTCAAAAGTGATATCTGTATACACATGAAATGACACACTGCTAACCCAAATTGTAATCTGCAATAAAAGGTTGTACAAAAATTTATCAGAAAAAATGCAAAACATTGCCAATAATGCTAAACAAAGTGAAGGTTAAAAGTTCTCACCTTTAAACCTTGGTAGCCATAAATTTTCCCATCATCATCAAAAAAGTGATTCAGATCAAGCGGATCAATCTGATAGCCAGTCCCAGCTTCTGCCTCGTCTTTGCTGCCAACTAGATTTCACAAAATAAAGGAAACAGCCAGTTCAATCAAAGCATGTCATAGACTCACAAGTCCTGAATAAGAGAGTGTACGTATTCATAATAAAAAGTCCCAAATTCTAAAAATGTAACCAATCTCACCATTAATAACTAATTGGTGTTTTAAACTTTTTATAGTCCAACATAGTACATCAAAATATCCAGTTAAATATGATGAAAAGTTCCAAAGCTTTGTTAAATTACAGTAGCCCAGCTTCTCATTAGTTTTTCAAAATCTCATTCTTTCAGTGAGTGATAATGAAGATACAATAAATGTAAGTAATCACAGCTGTGATTTCATCAAAGTTTTCCAAAGAAACTGCAGGCAAAGACGGTTGTTGACAATATGTTTTTAGTTAGACAATTGAAATACTTGGCAATTTTTACGTCTGAGGATTCCTCATTTGCAGACTTATTTCTGGCCTAACATTCTAGAAGTTTGTTCTCTTATTGCTTCCATTTCCTAATCAAAACTAAGATACAGCTATAGTCGAAAATATAAAGGGTATATGATTTGCTTTTTGAATAATGACCTATCATGCTCCAAATCTCCAATCTTTAAAAGATAATAGTCAGTACATACATATCCAGTGAATCTGGTTTTAAATTTAGGGTTAAACAAGTAATGTAACTAAGGCATTCTTCCAAATAAAAAATAAGCTAAAGTGCTTCTGAAATTTATCAATAGATTCTTCTTTATTACAGAAAGAAAGAGATCCAGTTAAACTCTGTACAAAACTCCAGTGAATATCATTAACAAAAGTCTTCCAATCATTCTTTCTACACTCCTCTTTACACACTCTACGACTATATTACATGTGACCCTTTCTGCAAAACCAGAAAAGAGGCCTCAAGTTGACTACTTTACACCTAGTTGTGCTATATGCCTATATGTAAGACAAAAGTATCAAAAGAATCTAATTCACTTAGGAAGACATAGTATGTAAAGCTAACTAAAGGGCATAAGAGAGATTGGCACCTAAATGAAGAAGCATAAGAAAGGTCAACCAATTATACAACAGTTATTAAAGCATACTAGTAAACAGTCAGTGAAAATATCACTCATTTAAAAAGGACAAAAGAGGCACAGAGAGCCTAAGTAGAAGGGGGAAAGGAAGAAAATTGAACTCCTTTTCCAAACCCTTTTCATCAGGGTAAAAGCAGTCTACAGATTGATTCCAATGTATTCGATTTGCAGATAAAAACTTCAATAGATTAAGGGCATATACAAGAGAAGAGGAAAATCACTGTAAATTAAAAATAGCATCTTCTAAAAGTCATGCCTTCCAAATCTAATTTTTAAATAAGTTAATTTGCATAAATAAAGAGATATGGCAAGCTCTTCTTACTAAAGGAGTTTGGATCTAGTTAGATTTAAGATATGTGGATGTTCCCTACTCAAAAAAAGGAGGAAGACAATTACAATTTACCCATCTAGGTGAAAGGCATAGGAAACCAGCACCCATGTCTGACATTTTTAAAATTTTGTAATCTTGAGAGCAAAAATAGGGAATCTAGAGCAAAGGGCATAATGGAACAAGAAGACACAATCAATCTGTTCATATCATTAACACTTAGAGTGACAGAATAGTTTGTAAAAATTAGAAAGAAAGATTTGGTCAACCTTTTGACTTCTTTAATAAGTATGCATATGAGCCAAAATCCATTCAGGAAGTTTTAAAATACGCATTCTCCAGACAACATTTCAGCCCATACAAATACAAAGAAGAAGAAAAAAACAGAGATAACCATACAATACAAGCTAAGTCACATCTAAAAACACTCAACATTCTTCTAAATAGAGTTGGCACTCTCTTTTTTTAGCCTCGTGTCATTTTGGTAGCAGCCTACACAATCAAATGTGCTTTTGATTTCTCAAGTCTGAAATATCTTTTTGAGTTATTTAAATCAGTTCTTATTAGTAGCATGATCAAGCAATTGTCACTATAATTATTTTGGTACGATAGCCATAGGCCATAAAAGTGCTGATTTCACTCCCACAATTGATAAAAATTGTGTACTCAGACTCAATAAGTTTTTTAACTAAGACTTATCTCTAATATGAAACCAAGTACATATACGGAGACGGAGATTTAAAATCCCTAGCCTAAAAGCAAAGTAAATAGTTCAAGTTTCTGGAGGCTATAACCACGAGGCTTAGGTCCACCAACTAGTCCCAAATAATAGGCAACTAGATGAAGCCCGTGCGATGCACGGGTCGATCTATTTTTTTCTAAAAAATATTTTTTATATTTATGTGATTACATTTGTTATTTTTTTAGTTGTACGTAATATATCATTTTCTCCGTATTTGTTTTAAAATATTAGATAAAATTCCTAATCTCAAAAGATAATATTTCGTATTTAATTAATGTAACCATTAAAATCTCATTGGTTAATTATGCTTATGTGGCACTTGAATTATTTATTGGATATAACTATAATTTATAATCTTACGTGGCACGTTAACTAAATTTAGATGGCATAATCCTATTGTAGCGTTTTAAAAATATTAATCATATGTAGCGCTCTAATAATTTTTTAAAAATAAAAATCCTACATGGCGCTCTAAAAAAACTCCTCTTTATATATATACTAGTTTTGTGCCCGTGCGATGCCCGAGTTGTTTTTTGAATTTTAAGATATATTTTTAATTTATATGTCAAATTTTAAAACATATTATTAATACAAAATTAGTCAGGAATTGATGTGTTTTTGTGGCGATTTAAACTTGTAGACATGCAATGACTAATAATAATAATATTGGTGAAAAATATTTCTTGATCCGTAACCTGAAATAATGACCATGCCTAAAACGATTCGTAACCCGACCTGATTTAGAGGCAGTATTAAAATTATATTAGATTGTGAAGTATATTATTTTAATTGATTAGAATATATTATAAACAATGGATGTGGTACATTTTGAACTAATTCCTTCGCTCCAGAAAAATATTATGATACAAAAAATAAATTTATATGATAATTTATGAGTTATAATCTAATTATTTTTTCAATAAAATTATAATTCAATTTGTACTTTATTAAAAAATAAAATTCTATGATAAAAATATTGGTACTTTATCAAAAATAAAACTCTAAATTAACAATTTTATCCTAAAATTCTATCCAAATCTAATTGAAATAAAATTCTAAACTAACTTTTTTATCCTACAAATTGAATTTTATATAACTCTATCCTACGTGGCACGACACTTGACGAAAAGTTAGAACGCCAAGTGTCACTACATCGTCGCCTGGCTAAAAGTTTAGCTTTATATATTAGTTATATAATATTAGATTAGATTGTAGAATACACATCATAGAGTCTCTCTTATCATCAACTGTTGATACGAAAGCCCAACAATGAAGATCAGAGTGCATATCCAACCCTCTTTCTCAGTCAAAAGTTCCGACCTAAGGGGTACGCCCACAAATTAGACGATAACTTCTCATTTCACTCCAACACTCCTTAAAAGTGACTAACACATCACAATGGCGTAAAGATATCAGGAAGATTACCCGTAACTAACAGACACTGTTCTCTAAAACCCTAAAAAAACCTCCAAAGCCTAAAATTACTCATAAGCAAAAACACAATTCCAAGCCCTAACTAGGTAAATAACACAACTAATTCCTTAAAATTCGTCAAAATAACTCAATTTCAAGCCACTGTAGCAGCCGTATTACAGTTCCACTCAACTCCTCGCACAATTTATTTCCATAAAATTGACTGAAAAACCCAGTTCAAAAAAATTAAAAAGGAGCTAAATTTATCAAAAAGGAGACAAATTAAACATACCCATGTAGATTTGAATGCACTCATTTGCTTCAACGCCAGTATCTTGAATAAAAAAAAAAATAGAGAAAAAATTAGTAAAAATTACCAAAAAAAAATGGTATCGGAAAAAAGAGGGGAAATTAAGGAGACGGAAATGCGATTAAGCTTACCGATTGGAGCGATTGCAACTCGGCGTTTCTTCTTGGAATCGGAAGTTGAATCGGTGGATTGTTGGTGTTTTTGCCCCATTTTTTAGGGTTTCTGAGGTTTTTGGAGAATAGCGGGAAAAATGGAAGTGATAATCTTTAGGTAGGCGGGAAATTATAGAGCAGACACTGGGATCAGCTTACTTATATTGTGTGTGCGTTGCACGTGACTTCAAATACAGTTTTTTATTTTTCCTTCTAAATTCCAATTATTATTTTTTTAACAAAAATTCCGGTAGAAAATTTTAGTTGTTGAATTAAGTGTGTTTTATAAAAGCAACCTACTACGTATATTAACTTTGAGAAATAAAATTGATAAATATGTGTCAATCACTAGCTTTAGTTGATTAAAGCAACGAGGCATTTGCGTGTTTAAATAATAATAATAAAAATATTCAATGTAAATACCTCGTTATGAATGTTTAAATCAACATTGTTGAGTTTCAAAACTGACCTAAATGGACACGCAAAATGAGACATTTGCTTTATTTGTTTCAATTCCAATCTCAATTTAGACTCATAATAATTAAAATGACTCATAAAACCTTACCTGGGCAAATCTCATGGCAAAAAAATAGTTGTACGCAAATCGATACATTTTTTGATACACAAAACGAGACACTTACGTTATTTTTTTGTCAATTCTAAGCTCAATTTGAAAACTTAAGGCTAAAACGACCTCCTAAAACCTTAACAAATTAATTTTCGACACACAAATCGAGGTAAAAAAATTATTAGATGACCACTATGGGCATGTTCTCTTCAGCTTAATTTCAATTCAGTTCTTAATTTCCTTCTCTTATAAATAGTTCAGTTCAGTTAATCAGAACATGCCTAAGTCACTAACGAAACCCTAACTGAATCCGTTAAGTGATAGCAAATTTTTTTCTTTCTTTTTTTTTTCCTTTTTTTTTTTGTGCCTTGGTGGTAGTAAAATAAAATAAATTTTAGATAGGTAGCAAAATTAAAGTGATGTTTTTTAATGGTAGTAAATGCCAAATTTTTCATAAATAAATGGCATATATAATTGTTATTGAGGGCATATATGGATATCATCAAACCTATTTGATTAAGGTGTTGGTCTTCAAGACATAAGATTGAATCTCATTTACATTATTTGTCCTTCATGTCTTTAAAGCTAAAGTACAATTTTTTAAAAATGGATTCATGGCCTAGAATTTTTTTTTTTTTTTGAAACAAGCCTAGAAATTGTTTATCATGATTAAATTATGGAAAAATATATATACAACTCTTAGAGTTGTATATAAAAAACTAAAAATGGAAATAATTGTCAATAAATAAATATTTATTACACTGATTTACTCGCCTGATTTACTAGTGAATTGTCTATAAATTCTCAACTTAATACTAAAAAAAAGGAAGTAAATTAAATACTTATATGCAACTCTTAAGACTGCATAAAATATTACCTGTAATTTGGTAGAGTATCAATTCCACTATAAGAATGGTCAAAGGACATATTATAACGCTTTATCATTAATTACATAATTGTGAAATAATGTCACCCTTAATTATAGGGTCATAACTCAGAATCATGTGATATCTAATTTGATTTGATATTCAAAGAAATAATAAACCTTTTTTCTATATAATTTTTTAATTTTTATATAATAACACACTAAATAGTCAAGATTTGACCAAATATAAATGGCATAGATATTTATAAAATGGGCAATAATATATTCTAGAATTTGATTTACGTGTCGATATCATTCATCAATGTTCAAAAACTAGGTGCAAATTATTATTCATGGTCAAAGATTAATAATCCTCCATGTGAAAAAGGACAAAAGTAGGATGTAACAACTACCAAGTCAAGCATATATTAATGGTGTGACTATTACACCTCTTTTACACCCACTTACACCATCACTCCTCTTCTTTCTTCTTCAATCTTATCTCAACCAAATAAGCTTTCTTCTCAAACAAAAATCAAAACTTTAATCTAAGTTGGATTTATTATGGCTGCTAATCAGTCCAAATCAGATGATTCCCTAGAAAACTTTGGAATTATTGTTGAAAAAAATCCGTCAGAATCAAAATTATCTGAGTTAGGCATTAAATCTTGGCCCAAGTAAGTTTTTGTCTCTTTTATCCTTTGATCTCATCTCTTTTAAATAAGTTTTGTACTTGTATATATTCTCGGAAATTTATGACAAAATCACACGTTATTCTGCTTGTAGTTTCTAGTCACCACATTTAAACGCACTAAGATAGATATTGTTTATTTTATTTATTTACCTAAGTTAGGTTTCAGTCTCGAGAGAAAATTGTCTTAACTTCGGCACAACTAATTACTTTTTGTTCATCGTTTATACAAGATGGGCATCTTCGCCGGGAAAGTATCAGCTGAAATTTGATGCAGAAGAGACATGTTATATGGTGAAAGGCAAAGTTAGAGTATACAAAAAAGGGTCAACAACAGAAGATTATGTTGAATTTGGAGCAGGAGATCTTGTTACTATTCCTAAAGGACTTAGTTGCACTTGGGATGTACTTCTTTCTGTCGATAAATATTACAAATTTGATTCTTCTTAATTAGTCATTTAATTTGTTCTTAGAATTAGTTATAATGTGTCCTTTAAAGGTTAAAACAATTGTTATATATTTAAGCAACAAAAACGTGCTGATATTGAGAATCCATTGTCAATTCATACTTGATTTCCTTAAATTGTCTATTAATCTATTATTAATATTATGGTTAAAATGTTTGATTTTAACGCTTGCTCTCTCAAATTTCAATAATTATACCCCTTTTAGGCTATTAATATAATTCTTGATTTATTGTCCGCGTCATCAAGATAAATTAACATATCACGTCATCGAGATATATTATCACGTCTAGCGGTTCTAATTAAGGTAAATGCTAATTCAATTAGCGGGTTAGTAAAAAGTCCAATGCCAATTTTTGGTTGAATGGTTGGTTTTATCTTGGACAAAATTATTAACTAAGGGTTCGTTTAACCTGATCCGGTCGAGACAGTTTTCGTTTCCCAGCGCGTAAGTAGTCTAAGTTCCTATGACCGAGTCTTTCTAGCCCCATCACTAGTGGTTTCTTGTTTTTACTCGTAGTTTTTTTTTTTTTTTTTTTTTTTTTTTTTTTTTTTTTTTTTTTTTACAAACTCACATTGTATTAAATGATGATAATTTTAAAAACTGATATAAAAAAAGTGGAAAAACTACTTTTTTTTTTAATTTTTTTTTATTAATGTCAAACAAGCCCTCAATTGTTCGTTTTATCTTGGACAAACCACCAAGTGATGAGCTAGCAAACTAGCAATTTGGTCCAAAGTAAAAGTATTATTTCAATTAGTGGCTTTAAACTAAACCGGTAAATAGATTTCAATCTTTGTAATATTTTCTCTATTTTTTTAGTTGACACCTTTCTATTATTAACTTTAAAAATAACTGTGCACTTTTTTTTTTGGAAAATTTGATTCTAATAATTCAACCTTTCACCGGTAAGGGTCTGTTCATATTTACTAAACTAAGCTGAATTGAACTGAACTGAACTGATTGGAGCTGAGCTGAACTGCTTGAAGCTGAAATGAATATTTTATGAGAGAGGGAAATTAGGAGCTGAATTGAACTGAATTGAACTAAACTGATTGGAGCTGAATTGAACTGAAATTAAGTAAATGTGAACATGCCCTTATTCTATTAATCCCACCTTTTCATTATATATAATTACTCCCACTTTTACACCCCATACTATTTCATTAGGCCAAGGTGACCAGTAACCTTTTCTTCAGGTTTTTTTTTTTTCCTTTAACACTTTTTAACAAAAATAATGGATTAAAAATAAATAAAAAAATAAAAACATCCACTGCTACAGTGCCACCCCCTTCCCCGACCACCCTCGCCCTCTGCCGTCCCTCTCCGTCCCTATCCAGTTTCCGACCACTCCCTCTTCTTCCTGCGCCCTTCCCCCTTCTATGGTAGCATGTACTTTCACACCTACCTCTCCTATTTTCTTGGTTTTCTTCGAGAGGGGGTGAGGGATTCTTGGTTAGGGATCGGTTTGGGGGTTTCTCTGGCTTATGGGTTGGGATTTTCGGGTTAATTGGGGTTTTCAGATTGATTGGGATTTTCGAGTTGGGGTTTATGGGATTATGTGGTTTTTGGGTTGGGGATTCAAGAAAATGGAAGGTAGCTGGAGAGGGATAAGAAGGGGTAGGGATGGCCGGAAAATCGATCTAAGGGTGGTCGAAAAAAGTTGGGGACGGGGGTGGGGAAGAGGGAGGAAGGCGGGCAGCCATTGATGAAGGTGAAGGGAAAGGATGGAGGTGGAAGGAAGGGGAAAACTAAAAAATAAAATAAAAAAGTTATTAATTAAAAATAATTTGAAAAAAAATTTAAAATTTAATATTTTGGACGAATCATAGCATGACATGTGGCAAGATAACTTACTATTGGAGGTCGATTTGGCCTAATGAAATAGAATGGGGTGTAAAGGTGGGAGTAATCATGTATAATCAAAAGGTGAGATTAATAGAATAAGACCGATGAAAGGTTGGATTATTAGAATAAAATTTTCCTTTTTTTTTAGTTGACACCTTCCTCTAATAATAATCACAAAATGATAATACTAATTAAAATAGCTTTAAAAATAACCGTGCACATATGACACGGGGCCTAAACTAGTTAATATATATTGGACAAACCATTGTTAAAGATATATGAATATGAAAATATCTATGTAGTTTTTTTTTCATATATATTTTCTATTTCCTTTATGTATTAAATTTGATAAAAACTTTGGTCTTATATCAACCCTACCCAGGTCTTCTCCATTAAAGGCTATCTCCATTAAGGGTCCTTTAAGCTTGGCCCCGTTCCTATTATCATCGGGCTACCCTACTTAATATCCAGGTGTCCAGGTTTTGCGTCATGTGGTCGACTTGGCAAAGTCACATTTGTGGCTAGGGAGATGCCAGTGGAGTTCTTCCCCCCTATAAAACTTTATTCTGTATACAGTGAACACTCCATTGACAATAACATAATAATAAATGGGTTGTTTGGGCCGAAATGAAGTCCAAGCTTGAGGTCCACTGTTTTCGTTCTATGAACAATAGGTTGAATTCGAATTTTCAATAAGGGGCCCGAAAATGTCCAAATTGTACATCAAAGATCAGGAAATGTCCTAAAAGTTCTAGGCTTTCTAGGAAACTCTTGTACTGTTGTACATAGCCTAAGTGCTAGATTGTGTAGAACTTTTCGAAATATTGTATATATATGAGTCTTGTACATAAGAATTGTATAAAAGTTTCTAGGAGGGTGTAGGCCCCTCCATTTGAAAAGGTTAAGAACTCTCTAAAATGTGAAAGTATTTGGGAGGCTTATAAATAGCGAACCTCCCTCATTAGCAAACCATCCAAGCATTTTGTAAAATGTAAACACACCCTCTCAAGTAATATAATATTCACTTATTAACCTTAAACACTTGTGCATACATTTTTACCTTCATACTTAGCTTTCGTTGCATAATTTGCTTAAAATAATCATCAGTTAGCCTTGACTAGCATCTTATAGGAAGTTATCAAAAATATTCACCCACAACAAATGAGATATATTAGGCTCTAGACTAAATGCGTTAATAAGTTGTACATACTCATGTTGTATATATGTAACCTTACATATTGGTAAATTCTATAAATAATATGATTTTTTCATGAGATAGTAAAGATATCATTAAGTGAATTACCATTACATAGTGTATTACCCTTACATCGTTTTTTTGGTGAATTTATGGAGTAGGTAAATTTCAATGTACTAAAACGGTATCTAATAGTATCAATAAAACTCCAATGCTACTATATAATTTGTATGTTTCTAATAGTACACAAAATATGTCGGAATGACCTACATAGCTGGTGGAATATACCCATATCTACTCACCCATATAAGGCTCTTGATATTGATAAAAAACAAGCTTTACTCTATATAAAATTTGGTAGTATATATGAAATCATATATAGTAGCATTGTTAGATGGTAGATTTCTAAGATTGAATATCCGGTTAATTCTAATAACTGTGTAGATAAAATACATCTTACAATAGACATTTAAAGATGTTTTCATCATATTACTTCATGTTTCTCATTAACAAACTCTTCTTACCAAACTAGGAATGGTCAATTCTATTCCCACTCCTAGTTTGAGGGGGTGTTGGTTTATACTCTCAGCACTCAAACCAAAGTACGACAAACAACCAACAAAATCTTCAACAGAAGTTTGTTAGAAGAATTGCACAGCAAAAAAATTTGTTAAAAATCTTCCACCTAATCAAGAGATTATTTGATAAATTTCTAGAAAATGATTAACTTTTCTATAAATACATGTAATTTGTAAATTATCAATACAATTTCATTGCATTTGATTTATTTTTCACCAATGTATTATACAATTTTTAGAAGATTTATTTTTCACCAATGTATTTATAATTTTTTTAAAAATAGAGTATAAAATAATTTATATTGTATACAATTTTTAGAAGTAGTATATAGTACATTAGTAAAATTTATAAAAATACATATTATAGTACACTAGGTGTATAATAAATCCTTGAATTTTTTTTCCCTAAAAAAAAAAACCATTTATTTAATTTAGAAGTTTGTTTAAAGGAATTATTGTGATGATTTAAGGCTATTCACATTTACTGAACTGAACTGAATGAAGCTGAAATGAATATTTTATGGAGAAGGAAATTATGAGCTAAACTGAACTGAACTGGTTGGAGCTGAACTAAATTGAAATGGAGCTAAAGTGAACAGGTCCTTAGGCCGTAATTTAAGGCTATTCACATTTATTGAACTGAACTGAATGAAGCTGAAATGAATACTTTATGAGAGAAGCAAATTATGAGCTAAACTGAGCTGAACTGGTTGGAGCTGAACTAACTGAAATGGAGCTAAAGTGAACATGCCCTTAGGCCGTAATTTAAGGCTATTCACATTTACTGAACTGAATGAAGCTGAAATGAATATTTTATGAGAGAAGGAAATTATGAGCTAAACTGAACTGAACTGGTTGGAGTTGAACTAAACTGAAATGGAGCTAAAGTGAACAGGCCTTAGAGCACTCTCACCAATGGGGAGAAAAATGCCCATGGGGAGTTTTTGGGTTTTAATCTAAAAATAAAAGTCCCCATCAATGGGCTAAATAAAAAATGCCCATGGGCAAAACATTTTTTTATCAAAGTTTGGGCAAAATTAAAATCAGACCAAGAATGAGTGGGCCCTACGTGCGACGCTGGCAATAGCGTTTTTTTTCTCACCACGCCTCAAAACGCAGCGTTTTAAGGAAGCGTGTGCTGCGTTTTGAGGAAAGGAAAAGCAAAAAAAAAATATTAAATGCACCCCTGACAGGCGCGTCAGCACGCCCAATCAGGCGCTGACATGTGTCCTGTCAGGGAGCTTGGACCAATCAGGAAATTCCTGATTATTGCAACGGTTATATTTTTGTAACCGTTATTTTGTGCTTTTAAAATTAAAAAAAAAAAAAATTACCAACGGCTAGAAAAAAAAATCCCTACAAATAGAGACCCATTTTGCCTATATTTTCATATTTCCAAAATTCACATAAATTTGTTGTATTTACATTTTCTCTCAATTTCTCCCTCATAATTAGTCATCCTTTTAATATTATTATTATTATTATTAATATTATTATTATTATAATTATTATAATTATTATTATTAAAATAAATATTATTATTATTATTGGAAGTATAATTATTATTGTTATTATTTTAGTAGTATTGTTATTAATATTATTATTGTTGTTATTATTATTTTTGTTATTATTATTATTATTATTATTATTTGTGTTATTATTATTATTATTATTATTATTGTGTTAGTTTTTGAAATTAATCAAAAAAAAAATAGATATGGATCCCAATAACCCCTTTTACTCACTACTTTCTCAAAATTGTAATGATTTAGATGAGAATTTCATGAATCAACCTCAATTTCAACTTTTCCTACAAAGAATGAGCAACACCTCTCTGCAAAATCCTCCACAACAACAAATACCTCCACAAATTCCAACTGAAAACACTGATTACGAGCAATCACCTCCTGTCTACCAAGGAAGTAACTCTCAGTACGATGATAGCCAAGAAGAAAATGTGCCTAAGACACCTCAATACCCTCCGTCGACTCAAAGAATGCCGATGGGTTCCAACCAACGAGTCGCTAAAGCTAGTCGTATTTGGTCAGTCGCAGAAGATGAAGCTCTTATTGGGCTATATTTAAAATACAGTGAAAATGCGATAGTGGGTACGAGCATGAAAGCAACTGAACTTCTGCGACAAATATCTATGGCGTACGACATGGTTCAAGCTAGGCAGCCAGAAATACTACCACCCAGAAATGCGAAGAGTTTGGAGAACCGTTGGAGAAAGATGGCGGGTGATGAACTGTTATGGATAAGTTGTTACGATGAAGCGGGTCCGTTAACTGGAAGTGGATTCAACGAAGTTGATCGAATTCAAAAGGCCTCGAAGTTGTTCCATATAATTAATATTGTACTCATAAATAATTTAATCAATAAAAAAATTTAGTTAAGAATAAATATTATTATTTTATTAAAAAATAAATTTCACATAAATTAATAATAAAAATAATTAATATAGTACTCATAAATAATTTAATCAATACAAAATTTTGTTAACAATAAAATTAAGAAATACTAAGTTACAAATTTAATGATGTGTAGGAGAGATAAATATTGGTGGGGTATAGGGTTAAAAATAGGAGAGAGAATGGTGGGGATTATAATTTTTGACTATTGGTGTAGAAAAAAAATGACCAAGAAAATGCCCATGGGGAGGAGGAGTGAGAAAGTGGTTAGAGAGAGATTGGGCAACCAAAAAAATGCCCATTAATGGCAATGCTCTTAGGCCGTAGATTTAAAATTTTACTTTCCCTCTTTTGTTTTCATTTCGAGTTCACTATTTTGTAATACCCTAATTCACATCAAAATAGTCTGTAAAACTTTGATTATTTACACTCACATTCAGAACATGGACACTGAACAACATAAGCGTCAGGGAGACAAAAACAGCCTGAGAAAGTAACTACTGAACAAAAAGAGTACAGAAGCAAGAGTAGGGTATACAGCTTGAATTAGCTTGTGCACACACATTGAAGACAAACTCAAAAATTCATAAACGTCTAAACAATATCTTCATATTATCAATAGAAAACCAAATAGGACTCGAGCAAATCTGAATCGTCTCTAACTGTCATTCCCTTCAAAAACTGCTAGGGTGTAACAGGAACCCTGATGGAAGACTTGTAATAATATATATACAAAACAGTAACAGCAAAATTGAGGGTAATTCCTACGTACACAAATGAATAGAAATAATATCCGATTGAAAGAAAGTAAAAACTACCATGTGGTTATATACATTGGGCAGGGATGCCGCTGCAGGATCTCTTATTCAAAAACTTTCATTTACCAAAGCTTTGTCTGCTTTAGATTTGGCAGGTCCCCATACACGAACGGTGTGATCATCACTTGCCGAAGCCAACATATGAGGATTTTTAGGGTTCCAGCTTACACTGTTTACAGTCATTAAATGCCCAGATAAAATTGCAATTGGTTCAGGCTCCCGGCGATTCCATATGTAGACCTGCAAATCAGAAAATAAACCTAAGATTTCATGTCTGGTTCTTTCACAGAAAGGAAAATTAGGATTAGACCATTCTACATGGCAAGTAGAACCCAAACTCTGTTGAGCGCACAAAGTAAAAGGAGGAAAAATCTGGATGTGCTGTTCTACTGATATATGATGTATGGAAGTTCTCACGAAGGACACGTTTCCGGTTTCAGTAACCTTGAAAACTCAGAAGGAAACCCTCTTTAAAAAGCTCAGTAAGTTCAACCCTTCAGTATAGTTATATTTTATAAACACAAAAACCTTTTCTTTCTAAATTATCTTTAGAACACAACTATACTTTTATTTCCCCAAGTATTTGCATTTTCACAATACTTGTCGGTGTCTTCAAATTTATTACCTGACAGCCAATTACCGAGGTTACTATGACAATTTTGGTCCAAATCACGAACTATTGACATATAGAGTAACACTAGGTCAAATCTTATATAATGTCCTTTATCCACTAATATAACTCGAACAATTACTAATCTTGGGTTCAATTTTCCTAATAAATTGCTAAATTCTAGAAAATCCATTCAAGAAAAACAAAACATAAAGGGGTAATATCACCTACTTCAAAGATAGGGTAAGGAAGACGGAAAAGGAACTTAAGGGCCAGGAAAAGAATGCAATACCTCGGAATTCTCACTACCACTGGCAATAAATGAACTGTTGAAACCACCAAAACAGGACCTTATCACATACTGGTTTTGCTTGTGACCTGTGTATTTCAATGGTTTCCTCCATTTTCCTTCTACATCCCATAAATGGATCTCTTGACTATTAAGGTTAACAATGAAAAACTTGCCATCTGCTGAAACTGAAAGTGATGTAATTGGATGCTCTTCTGATATCACATGCTCAGCATTTGTTACCACATTCAGTACCCGAATATCCTTGTCCGAGAAAACAGTGATGAGATGGTTTCCATCTGAGGTTACTGCAAGATCTAGCACCTTGGGCATCCTCGCTCCTCGCCATGCCCTTAACTCATTCCCCTCACAGTCCCACATGCAGATTCCCTTTTCAGGATCAGAACTTCCGCACACAAGCTTTTTCGAGTCAGGAAACCATGCACATGAGCTTACTATGAAACCATGATCGCCAAATGTGCGCTTACACACACCAGTTTCTACATCCCATAGCTTAACAACTTCTACATTGCCACATGTAAGTAACATAGTGTCATCTGGGCTCCATGCTACAAAAGATATTGCCTTTTGGTGGCTCTGCAATGCATGTTTTACTGTGAATTTACCATCATCAACCACCTACAAAAGTTGGATAATCATCTATAAACTACTTAGAAAATAAAGATCCCTTACAAGCAGAAAAGAAAAGTTTTTCATTTCAGGTGAGGCAGCATTGCATCTTCCTCCCACTTATAGTTAGAAGAGGCATGCCCTAGCATCAACTGATAATTGGTCATCGGATTCACTTGGAAAGTCTCAGATCTATGCACGAAAAGAAATCAAAATAAATGGAACTTCAAGTTACCATCTAACCATATATTAGATGTAATGAAGTTACAAATGAAAGCAAGATACCTTCCATATAATAGCAGTACAGTCCCTAGATGATGAAGCCAAGTACTCCCCACTATAAGAAAATTGCACAAACCATACTTCATTCTCGTGGGCGGTAAGAATCTGCAAAATCATTTTAAAAGATTCACTGCTTGTTAGTAATTATGTGATAATAAACTAACAATAGATGATTATACTTCCATATTTTTCATATATGAAAAGGCTTGTAGGGTCACACAAGGCACTTAATGCGCACGTGTCATAGATTTAGAAAGCTAGTAGCTGACTGGCAGCACTTGTCAGAAAGAAGCCAAGCATGGGTTTAATGATCACCAATGTCTTTGTCTCTATGTTAATGATCCACTAAGAGCATTAACTCCATCATGCACTTCTAATGGTTAGATTCAACATGAAAAAGGAAGTCAACAGCTCTTACGCTTAACAGTAAGGGAATGCCAATATTGCCAATTCACTTATTTAAGGATGAAAAACAGATTCATTAAGATATCTATTTAAGAAAATTCAGAAGCTTGGAGAGATACAAATTCTTTCTTTTACCCGGCTCAAAAAATTAATAAGATTTTACATAAAGTTAACTCAGAAAATGAATTACCATACCTTTGGGCCTCTTCCAAGCAGAAAGGTCAAATTCCTAAAGACCTTCAAGGAAAAAATTTAAGAGAATAGCCTAATTGAAAGTTTTAACTTCTATTATCCTATTGAATTATTTTAATGTCATATAGAATAGCACATGGACTCCCATTAATTATAGTATAGCATCAAATGCTTTCCTACAGAGCAAACACATCAATTAATCAAGGACAACCTCTCGGAGTTTACAATCTTTTTTTTACAGCTATTCGTACTTTCGTAGTAGTCACTCTGGTCAGCGGAAACAATTCGGAATAAATCAGGTAAAAAGACTGAGAAATACATCCTTATAAGGTGGGTGGAAAAGTAATAATATTAGAAGAAAGCAGTACTTAAATCTGCACCAAATGTATCTAGACAAGTTCAGACTTACAGAAATATAATTTCCAGATAAGACGTAAATCTATCCTATATAGTAATTTCACAATAGATTTAATGACCCAGAAAGATCCAATTCAAGCAGTTTCCAAGATTTCAATCCAGAGCTACAATCTGTAAATAATAATTCAGCTGTGTCTTTTATACAAACCAAGTTGTCATCGGCATTTGGCAACAATTTCACAGCAATGCAACAGGAAGTTCAGCTGGTTATCATCAATCATATACAAAGAAACTAGATACCATGCGCAAGTGCATTAAACAAAAATTATAACTTGAAATTGAATATGGATTCATCCCTCGATTAATATGATCAAGTCCAAAGTCAACAATACAAAAAAATAGCATCACATATTGACATGCATAAAAAATAATATACTCCTATAACCCACCTACACAGAGGAAGTAGAGCTTCAGAAAATAAACAAGCAAAAGTAACACAATGGGAATCAAACAGTAAAGAAAGAAGACCCCTGAAGGATTGCATAAAGAGACAATGAACGAGAGAAAATAGAGCAAGACTTGGTCAATGGTCATAAAAGATACTAGAAAAAGGGTATAGGCAAATTTTGATCTCATTAGGGGGCAGAAATTGGCAATTTATATGCATCAGCTTAAGTTATTCCCACTAGCATTCAAAACAACATACCATCTAGAATAATAAGCCATTGGACCTCTCTGTCAAAATAACTGTCACTAGTTCAATATAAAGATCATTTGCTCAAATATTTACCAGTTACACAATCAGTTTCTAAAAAACGTATTTTAATTGATCTCTTCCACAGCAGAACAAATGAAAATTCAAAAAGCACCAGTGACTGATGATTTATGACAAAGATAAGGCAGCAAGAGCACTTTGTATATTGACAATGGTCAATTGGTCGGAATTTTGGTCCATATGTAATGGTCAAACTTTATCTTTGCCTTTCCCAGAGAATAACCAAACTAAGAACAATCAACAGCATCACTTTAAATAATTATAACCAAGTAATCAGCAATAGTTTTTCAAGTAAGAACACCAATACCAGGTCTCATAAAATATAGATAAAAAGTAAACAATCTGAAGCTGTATGATTATGCATACAATCAAAAGAATTGTTTAAAACATATTTCAAATGTACGACTATAAAAGCATTCTTATGTTCTCTTTTACAACTTAAAAAAGGAAAGGTAGGGTTTCATCCACCTTCAAACTGAAAATAATTAACTTATAGTTATAAATGAAAAGCATTTGAGGATCCATGGGTAGAATTTAAAGTTTTTTCATAAGAGAGAGCCAAACCATCAAAGGTATACTTCAGCTATGACGGACAGTCATAACTTAAAACCCTTCTTCCTCCCAATTTACTAACAAGAAAATGGGGCCTGCATGGAATTATCAAAGAGGTCACGTCTATCCTTATGATGTCACGTCTAATAGCAAGATCATGATATTACCACATGCTCACTGTATCTACAGTACGAATATTATATCTGACATGTTAATCGGTAAAAGAAAAAAAAAAAAGATTATCTAATACAAAAGTCATCTAAAATTTGTTCAATCAAAATATCAACGACCAATATGAGGAATCAGACATTCATAAATGACTCCAGTCTCCATATTACTTCACTAAGTACACTCCAACAAAGGTTCACTGAATCACTGTTAGTCCAAAAGAATTAAAGAAATACCAAAATCTTTATTAAAAGAAAAAAAAAAGCATAAACTAAAACTAGTAAGTAGTAACTGATCATATATTGTAATATTGCACAAAAAAACAATTTAGAACATCACACAGAAAGAAAATCAATAGTCAATTTACAAAATGCTTTAACTAATTGCCTATTATATAGCTCACAAACAAGATATGCAGCTCAACATTAAATGCACCACTTGACCATTGGGAAGTAGGCACTATCAAAATTCCCCGACTTGGAAACTATCAATACGTAGAGAGAGAGAGAGAGAGAGAGAGAGAGAGAGAGAGAGAGAGAGAGTATAACTCCATATAACGATAGATGAATATAAATACCCCCTTTCATACCTCATGGACAATATGTCAATGCCTCACGGATTGTGGTGCTCATACAGGATCTGGAATAAAATAGGCCAAAAACCGCAGAAAACTACCTTTTATACACTCAATAGTGCTGATAACTAAATTTAAGACACGACTACCTTTATAGTCTAAAATAAGAGAGACTGCTTCCACTTAACCAATTAATTAATCATCCCATAACGCCCATTTCTTTTTACTCCCAATTTAACCTAACTACTCCCAAATCACAACATCATTTGTGTTATCCCTTTCTCTAGTGACCTCATCCGCCTCTTTCCAAGTTCTTCTCGGTTCTTTAATTTGGTTTTTACTTCTTTAGCCATTAAAATTGAATCAACAAACCCACTTGATGGAAGGGAGAAAAGGAAAAAAAAAAGGATAAAATCTTGCAATGATTTCAGTTTTTTTTCCCTAATAATTAGGATGATCTAGTTACATTTATTTGAATTGGATTAATGATAACTTGAGATTGAAGATACAGTTGCATGAAAAGCTACAAAAAAGACAACTTTTGGTATGATTGTATGAAAAAGGCAAATAAATATATAAATATAAAAAGAACTTATGGGGTAGACAGTGAGTCAAAGTCTTGCATATCTAGATTAGAAATGCTATGAACTTGGGTCTTATTCAATTGGATTGCAAAAATGTTTATGGCATGTAAGATTGGGGACGACTACTGGAGCAAAGGCACTAGGGGGGAGGTCAAAAGATGGGAAAGGAAAAATCTAGAAAGTCAGCCAGTGAAAATAGGATATGTGGCCACATCACGAAGCTTTTGACAAATCTTGTACGTAGCAGCAATTTCTTGTTGTTTTGGACTAAAGAGGAAGCTAATTAAGTAAAAAAATATATATATATAAAAGTTAGTTGATTAAAAATTAAATGTATAAATAAATATAAGGAAGTTTATGGCATTCATTTATAGGATTAACTGTACTTTCTCACACCCCATATAAATGGATTCTAGTAGTGAACCTTCTATAGCTCCCATGATTCTTCCTCCATCTTCCTTGTCCCTACTCAAATACATAAATTCTGTCAAAAGCAAGGGTTGAAACTCATGTATTTGTTGTATTGTTTCCTTTTAACATTTCTCAATAACAAAAAAAAAAAAAAAGGGTAAGCCACACCTTATCCATAAAGCTGAATATAAACTAAAATTCAAGAAAAGAGATGTATACTGTGTATACATAGTTGATTATTAGATTGCTCATGTCCAAAATCATTTAGCTCAGCCTAGCTTGCAGCTTGATCTCATAATCAACCTTGAGCTAGGTCAAAATCAAGCCTCTGAGCTCAAGAGATTTCTCAAGCTCAGCGTGAGATGGATGTATGACTAGAATTGTTATTCATCAGAGCTCATACACAAATAAATTTCACTCATACTAGTCAAGGTCATCTATATTAGCATTGAATCAACTGAGATGATTATAAGTCTACCTAAGACAACAACTTTGAACTTTTTTCTTACCTCATACATGTCCCTGTATTATCAGATCAAAAGGTTTATATACATTTGATTGACAACAGCCCAACAATTGGACAAAAATTTTTAGGAGGTCTTAAGTAAGACCACAAAAATGAGCCACATAGTAATATCAAAAGATCTTTTTAATGATTATGGACCAGCTCGTCATCCAGCTAATTGATAAGAACAATTGAGCATAAATGAAGGTGACCACTACGTACAAGTGAAAGGTTGCTCATAAGCTTCAAAATTGTTTATGCCCAATTCCTTTATCAAATAAACAAACACAAATGACTTCCAGACGCCTGAGACATTCAGGCACTGATTGTCCAAGGAGCAAACTAATCCACTATACACCTAATAACAGTTCCATTATATTGCCCAATCCAATTCAGAAGCATTACATAGCCACACGACAATAAAAATTATACCTTCAAGTATACAACCAGCTATGCTCAAGCTTGAAAAGTAAACAAAAAGAATTTAAAAATCTTTCATTTTTCACCTTAAGAAATAATCTGAATTTTTCAGAGTAAGAATAACTAATCAAAACAGCAGCTAGAGCCACACCTGGAGAGTCTCGTTTGGTATTTGATCTCTACCACAGCAATGGTCCTCGTAGATGGAAACTGCACCTGAGACATTGTGGTACAAGCAAGAGTCTATCTGGGAAGAAACAGTAGTTTCAACCAGATGCTCCAATCTTTTTTCAGGCAGTGTAATTGGAGGGGGTAACAAATTCTCCAACTCAACCAATAATTTTTTCCGCAACTCATAAACATCACCATTCGTCTCAATGAAACTTGTGTCTTTATAAATAAGCATATCAAGAGCAAGGTTATGAACCTTTTCTGTGCCCAATTTTAAGGCAGAAACTCGTTTTTGTAGAAAAGCCAATGCTGTTGAGTCATCCCCATGACTTAAACATTCCATGATATACTGTCTAATTACAAGAAACAAGGCAGAAGATCGCGTCTCATCACTCAATTCCTTAATCCCATTAAGAAACTTTATACATTCATCCCACTTAGAATTCAAAATCTCCGACTCTATAACTTCAAACTCTTTCGATTTACACGAAATACCAGATTCCGACTCTAAACAAGAAGCAGACTTGGCAAACCCCAATGACAGCAAACACTGAATAATAATCCTCACAAACTCATGCTTCCTTATCAGACCTTTCGAACCAAGCACCCTAGAAGATGTATCAATTTCCGTTTTCATTGAATTCTTGCAAATCTTTCGTCTTTTCGGCGAACTTTCCCTTGTCCTACACTCAAAGATACCCATTTCCACACCTGGCCATCAGTTTCCTAATTCTCCAAAATCACTTCTACCCAATTGCTCATACTCTTAGGTATCAAAGAAACTACTCGGCTACTCCTACCATAAAATTAACAAATCCAAATGCCCAAACAATAAAAACTCAAACTCTTCACCCGATCAAATTGCAATAAATAAAACCCAGAAATATGATGAATATTAGAACAACCCAAATCAAGGAATGCCCAGAATACTATCAAACCAACAATTAATCAACAAAATTCATAACAATTACCAAAAATCTCAAATACCCAGATACAATCAACCCGGAAAGATTACAGCTTTCAATCCTGAAACACAAACAAAAACAGAATTAAACATACACCTAATTCAATACTCCAATTATATACCATAATTATAATCACGTGAAGATAGGAGACCTTTCTTACCGTGTAAAAGAGTCAAGAAAGAAGGTCAAACTTATAGGAAGGTGGGGCCCACGTGATTCACCAACGCGTATCTAATTTGATTGTACTGGAATAATTTGGTGGATATATTACATAATATTGCCAAATATATTTTCAAGATATAGTATAAAACAAAATTCAAGTACTACTAAACTCATTTTATTATTGTTTGTCTTCTATGTTAAAGCATATTTTGTCAAATTATTTGATGCATTTTTTGTTTTTTAGTTATGTGATGGTTGTGTTATTCAATTGGAATTGTTAGTTGCACATTATTAGATTAATTACTATTCTTATGCATTATTGTTCATTTACAAAACAATCAATAATACAATTGGTTAACGAGGTAAGTTGTTATTACGTACTATACATGTTTTTAAAAAAGATATACTAAAATAATGTAAACCGTGTATTGGAATATTGGATTATGTAATGCATGATGAGCTATATGTAAACAATGTACATTTAAAGGTCTTAATTAATTGGTTACAATGGTTGGTGGGAAAAAATAATAGGAAGTGATTATGAAAGAAGTTGTAAAAATTTAATAAGAAGTTAAAATGAAGGTGCTTTCATATTTTAAACTTTAAAATACGGTGTAGTGAAAAAGAAGGGGAAAAAAAGCCAAATAATTATGAAATGATTGATGGATATACAAGTGAAAAAAAAAAGTTTTAAGTATAGTATTACAAGTATGGAAATAATTAAGATGCAAGAATCACATTGAAGTTTGTTTGTAATAATGTACTTTGTAATATACACAGATTAGAACTCGTCTAATTGCCTTGGCTTGGTATATGGGTTATTATTTGAAGTTTGTGAGCCATTGCTTATTGTTATCCATAGTTAGTTTCATGAGGATTACCAAGCTAAGCTATGGTAAACCAACCAAATAGATAAGTTTCCATTGGAAAATTTGGGTTCAAGCTATTACAAAAATTAAAATATGTTGCATAGATAGCATCCAACTTTTCTTGTTCAAATTTTGTGCATATGTACAACATTTAGACCCAACTGTTTTGTTCACCTTTTTTTTTTTATTATTTATATTTATGATATGAACTTATTTTTCTGATTAGCTAGATTTGATTGTTATTATTTGACCAAACTTTGACCTTTAATGATATGGTATTATTAGATTCGTAATAATGTATATTTTACTAATATTTGTAGCTTTCATATTTTATTATTATGATATATACTTAGAGAGAAAAATAACATATAAAATGATAAATTATGTTAAAAAACAGAGATCGAAACTTATTTTTTCTGATGTGATATGGTCTAAATTTTTTCATTATTTGAAAAATTAAGGTCTTGAAATAAGATGACCTAAACATGGCATTAGACTGGCCTAATGATGAGTTAATGATAATCAAGACTTTCTTTTGTATATGTTGTTGAATGTGATTTATATTTAGCATGCACCATAAGAAAGTATGAAAAAAATAAATGTTTCAAATAGCTCAGTACGTAAGCCACAATAACAATGGTCGTTCAAGCAATTTGAGTTATAGGGATCAGGGATGTCACACATTCACGCGAGCTATCATTTGACTGCCACTCGAGGGAACCTGGGTGATTTATCCATGACCAGGATGAAGCTTACATGGGATGAAACTACGAGAAGATCCGAAACAACCTAAAAAATAAGACATCCCTTGTCATAGATGAGTTTGTATGATGAGTTTTATTACACATTTATCGAGAACTCAATGACTCACATTTAATGCAATATAAGTATCTTCTTATTTCTACGATAGAATTGACGGAAAAACATTGAAAGTTTGGAACAACAATCTAAAACCAATATGCGATTTCTCCAACGCACTATGCTAGAGTATTCAGGTCTCTATGATTGATAGCCTTTTCTGTTTAACCACTTAAAATTTTCCAAATGCAATCTAGCAACATGATTGTTTGGCCATTATCAGAGGGATGAAACCACAACCACTAACTTACTCAAAATGTTCATTAAAATTAATAGGGCTTAAAGGACAAACCACAATTGGTCTAGGATCCCATAAACCAACATGATGGATGTCTTTTCTACTCCTCAGTCCTCACAGATATATATAGCATGTATACCTTGTATGTGGTGACTAACATGACAAACACCCAACCTTTTATTCACTACATGATATCTCCTAACAATCCTAAAAACAAACATGAGCTTTAACTTCCAAGAAATAAAAAAAAACATCTCTATATCAATTACTACAATCATGCGTCATCTTCATACTTTGAAAGTGACACTTTGCTAAATTTTGCATATGTGTATGTCGAAGTAAGGAGTTAAGGGTGAATGTGGGTACTAAACTTTGCCTAAAGTTGTAAATTAGGTACTCAAGTATCAGTTGTTGCACTTTGAGTACTGAAGTATGGCTGAGTACTTACCGGAGGGAATATTCCGTCCCGGTGACCTTTTTTTTACCCTTTTTAACCGGTTTGATTTTAAAAAAAAATTGTAATAAAAATCGAATCTTGAGTAATCATGACAATGCCTTTGATACAGAGCAACGAGTTGGAGTTCTTTCCCCAATTCAATCTCTGCTCTCATCAGTTACACACGATGCGGGTGAGGGTGTGGCGATGGCGGAGGCGGCAATGGTGGTGGTGGAGGAGGAGGAGGCACTCGAGGAGGCGGAGGAGACGAAGGAGGTGGGGAAATTGGAGGAGGAGGCGGAGGAGGCAGTCGAGGCGGTGGCGAAGGCGAAGGCAATGGTGGTAGTGGAGGAGAGAGCATGAATGGTAGCTGTGTTTGTGGTGGTGGTGGTTGTCGATCATTGATTGTATCTTGCACAGCCTGTGATTGTTGAGATTGTTGTTGGGATGATTGTTGAGTTTGTTGTTAAAAGCCTCAATTTCAGCAGCTTCATTAATGGTGGTCTTGGCTCCATTGCAAGATCTTTTAAGAATAAATTCTCAAAATTTCATAAATTTCAACAGCTGCAAAAAAAAAAATAATAAAAAAAATTGTATTTACTGATCTCTATTACCGGCTACAACAGGTTAATCAGGTAGAGTACATAGTTTAGTACTCTAACTGCAACAACTGATACTTGAGTACCTAATTTGCAACTTTAGGCAAAGTTTAGTACCCACATTCACCCTTAACTCGTCGAAGTAAGTGTTTTTGCGACATTCACAAATTATTATGATATTCTTCGGTTAGACAAATTTGGAATATAACTCCAAAAAGGAATGTTGGTATCTCCCAAATAGTTCTACAAGTATGACGGAGTAATTTTTTGAGTTTAGTGTTTTTTTAAAAGAGAATGATATAAATCATAATTTGAAAAGTATTATTGCCGTATAGAAAATAAAATCTTTAATAATTTTAAATGGATTTTTATTAGACAATGTAAAAGGTAATAATTAAAAAAACAATTGTGAAAGTAAAACAAAATTGCCATGTTTGTAGATTTTTAATTTCGAGGGGCTATAATTTCTTAAAATGCACATTTATAAGGAATTTCCAAAGAATGAAGAAAGATCTTAAATTGTAATCATGAAAAAAAAAAAAAACACAGCATGGAAATAATTCTCCTTAAAAAGTCATTACCAAATGCATCATTTATATTAGACAAGGGCCATATATAAGCTTGTAATATTCTTAGAAGGAATCAAAACTAAACTTAACATATAGCAAAATCCATCAATTCTAAACACAAAATTTTCCACTATCCAAATACGCCGTAATATTCTTACAAGGAACTAAAACTAAGAGGGGTGTTAAATACCGCCATCTAAAATGATCAAAACTGCCAATATTTAATGTGAATGGACAACCATACCCCTAATACTTCACCACTATATTCTCTCTCGCCACCAATCACTAATACCTTGACACCACTACCCCAGTTGACGACTAACACCACCGCCACCACATTGACCGGCGACGACGACCACCACTACTGCCCTGACTGGCGACTCACCACATCCCCCTCAAAGACAACCCACCTCCTTTCCTCTTTGGTGGAAAGGTGGTGGGTTTTTCGGGCAACCGTGCGCGGTAACCGGAGGTGGGTTGGGCTCCGGTTACCGCGCATGATAACTGGTTTTGTGCTTCGGTCACAACGATTGCTTGAAATAAAAAAAATTTAAACCGCCACCTTCTCGCGCAGCGAGGGGAGGTGGTGGGTCGTCATAGATGAGGGTGTGATGAGTCGCCGATCAAGGTGGCGGTGGTCATTGCTGATCGGAAGAGGTTGTGGGTTGCTGGGAGGATAAGGGTGGTGAATTAGTAAGGGTACGATCGTCCATTTACACCAAATGTTGGCGGCGATAATCATTTTTGTTGACGGTGTTTAACAATCCACAAAACTAATCCTACCATATATCGAAATCCACTAAAGCATGAGCTAACCTATACCTATCCATCAATCACCTCTCAATCTAATCTAATACTAACACCATCACAAAACAAAACAAAACCCTATTCAAAATCTTAAAAACAAACCCCTTAAAATAAAAACAAAAGCGGTGTAGCACTCACAATCCATAACAGCGCGTGGCTAAAAAATGAAGTAGACTACTGTGAGACTAACTGACAGAGTGAGTGACCTTGCAGCAGCCACCCATCAGCAATAAATACCTTCACTCACCTCACTCCTTCACTTCTTCTTCTCTCCTTTTTACTCTACTCCATTACCAGATCCTCCACTTTCTCTCTCCTCAACTTTCTCTCTCTTCCGCCATTGCTGCGATTTCGGTGTTCTTCATTTCCGGATTTCCAGGCGCATTTTGTGGATCTGCTGGAGGAGTTTTCGTTTTGGTGTTTGTTTTTGCTTTGGGTTTTATTCAATTGCGCCGAAATCGAAGTTAGGGTTTTTTTGAATTTGGATTTCGGTAAAATGTGGTGAGATAAACCCTAATTTCAATGGCGTTGTTGTGTTTTCGTCGTTGTCGGTGTTGGAATTTTGGATGTTTAGTTCAGACATTGCTGGAATTTTTGAGATGACTGTTGTTTTGAATTTTGGACTGGAATTGAGTGTTACTTCTGGTGGTGGAAGATGCAACTTTCAGTGATGTTGTTCCTCTTTGTTTCGATGTTCTACCTTGCTGATTTTTCTCAAGGTAATTTGTTTTGATTTTTTTGAGTTATTTTTATGACTTTTGATTTGGAATTTGTTTGAATTTGGTGTTATCTTTTGTTTGTTTGTTGGATTGGATGGATTATGGATGTTGACTTAATCTTAGGATTTGTCATTTGTGCTGAATTTTGTTGTTTTGTACTAATTGTGCTCTATTAGAAGTAATAGTAGGTTGTTTGTATTATTAATTTGGTGATGCTAAATTAGTTTCTTTTGGATTTTGATGGTTAATTTGATAAAGACGGCGATTGTATGTAAGTATTGAAGTGGAATTGTGATGAGTGTCCCGCGAAAGGATGTAATTTGTAATTCCATTATGGAGGGAATGCTAATTCACTTATGAGGGCTGTTTGATGACTAAACTACTTGTCAATAAAGTAAGTAGGTAGATTTGCTGCTGTAGTAAGCTTCCATTTTGTAAGAATTGCTCTTGTAAAAAAGTGTTGTAGGCTTTTTGTTCTTCCGATTTTAGGAATCTTGGATTGTGTGTAGAATGCAATTTGTAGCAGATAGATGGCCCATTTGAGTAGGGGAAATGAACCGAAGTACAAAATTAACTAGATCATTGGCTAGGATGGTTTTTTTTTTTTTTTTTTATTTTATTTTTTTTAATTTAATTTAATTTATTTTATTATTTAACCACATAATTTTTGCGATGTAAATTGGTATGAGTTTGGTTTTAAGGGTGAGCTTCAACATTTGTAATGTCTCTACTTGAAATAGGTGGTTAAAGGTTGAAGTTATATCCCGATTAGCAAACAGAGAAATGATTAATTTCTTACCCAATTGACATGGGGAAGTTATAGTGTAACAAAATTTTCTTCACCGATCTTATGCAGATCTTGACTGCCCTTGTTAAAAACCAGTTCAGGGAAATATTAAACACACACATTCTCTAAAATACTAAAAAAAACCCAATGGAGCATATGTATGTAGTTCCCCTGAAACTACTCTATTTGCATGCATTTTATTTTAGAATCTAAATATAGAATTATGGATGTCAACGAAAATAGAAAGCCTAAATCTACCGAATCTCTTTCTAGCCAACCCAATTATACTTTTTTATGCCAATAATCAACTACATTTTACTAAATATTGCAAATGACCTGTTCGTTCCTTACCAAAAAAAAAAAAAAAAAAAAAACCTTGAGAACTTTTAATTCTCTTATGAGTATTTCTTAAAATATATTTCTATTTCTTATGATTTTAAATGTTATATGACTAATATCTCGTGCATTGCATGGATATACTCTAGTTATAAAAGTAATTATTTTCTGTCCTAATAATATGTTGATCTTTAAGTTTCATCATTTACGAACACATTGAAAGTTTGGCTTCACTATTACTTATATTCAGCTATTCTCAATTCAAGTTGTCTACCCTCTTTCTTAGAGTGAACCAATTAATTTTCAAAGATGATCTTTGAGGATTGGATTGTTAATAGACAGTCGCACACCTAACAAAAATAAGAGCCTAACTAATCCCCCTAATTATGTAGTAGGGTAAGTTTAGGGCTGATTTCACAAAAAAGGCTGGACTATATATTGGAGTTCTTTGAATCAGAAATTTTACAATTAGTTTAATTAATCAATAATTGGGTCAAATAAATATGAGCAAACTAATAAATCTATAATAAAGAGTTAAAACTCTAAAGTTAAGTATTCCCATTAGTAGGAATTAACATAAGATAATCTCTACCCCACATAAACATGCTATTATATAAAAAAAAAAAAATAAGAAAAAGAAAAACAAGAAGAATGCGCAAGCGCCCTATATAATATCATGATTTGATTTCGATCAATTAATGAATTCTATAATAATGCAATTCTACCTTTTTTCATGGGTTCATCATTCATGTATATTATAGACATTAAGCACGTATTGTAAATTCCTAATAATTTGTTCTACTTATTTTCATAGGGAATTTCATGTCCTTACAGATCAATTACAACCATCTAAGTCTAGTTTGCTTTTATAAATTGATCTTAGGTTCAAGTCAACAAATATGTCTAAACTAGTACCGATTAAATAGCACAATTAATGATTCGTTTATGCAAGAATATATGATATAATTTAATTAGGCATTTAAGAGGAATAATTATATATTAATTCATGATAAGGCTCAACCAATAATAAAAGAAACCACATTTAAATGAATAAATATAGGAGAGTATACGATAAATAGCGAATTAGGATGTCATTTAAACTTATTGTGCTATAAATTGTCCTTATAATGCCCAAAAAGGAAGCTCTAATTATTTAACATGTTTATATCTGAAATCTGAATGAGATCTTTATTTTAGTTACGGTTCCATTAGATATCTGTTACCATAATGCCTTTTTTTTTCTTCTCCCCTTCAATGATCCATATGTGGTTTATCTATACACATTTTAGTATTTGGTAGGAGATTTGTTAGACCTATCTACATCGTTCTTCATCAAATTAACTAGAAATATTTATGCGGTGAACTGGTAAAGTAAGGGTTTGATAGTGAGAAAATTCTATATCATCTGACACCAACTTCTTTTCTTGATCTTCATTAGTTATCCTAATGTTCTTACTTTTTGCTTATTTGGACTTTGTCCTTGTTTGGTTGATTGCAAGTAGCCCTAGAATTTTGGAATTCCATCAAAGAAACGAAAGTCACATTGTTTGGCAACTTAGGTTGTCCAAACTCTATAAAGTGTTGTTCTTTTAGTGATCAAAGCATATTGACGATTGTCCAACCAAGCTGTTATTTTTCCCTACTTGGTAACACATTGATTTTGGAAAAGCTTTTTACCCTATAATTTTTGTAGAGGGGACTGATAATGAGTTTGCAAACACAACATTTCAAATTCTAAAAATTAAAAGCTTTATGTTATTTTGTACCTATTATAAGACATCTGCTAATTGCTACTGGATAATTTTACAAAACAAGCTTTATGTAACCGCTATTGCAATCAGGCAATCAACTTTACAAAAAGCTAGTCAAATCAATTTATATAATCTGCCCTTCCTAACAAGTAAAAACTAGTATCCAAACATGACCCTTTCATAATAACTTGTTATGTATCTCCATGTAAGTTATATCCTTGTTATGTTCTACAAATTTTAACTTCATCTAAAAGTTATTATCTAGGACAGTCAAATTTTAAACAAGGCATCAATTCTAAAAAAGTAGCACTCCCTCCATTTCTTAAATTTTTAGAAACGTACCCAAATACACTAGTCTCGATTAAAGAGCTCTGGTCGTGAATTTGCACTAATATACAAGAAAAATCACCTTCATATTTCATGTAGGGCCTTTTCAAAATCGTATCAGTTCGTAATTTCCAAGAAGTATATTTTTTCCTAAATTTTTTGATGATACGGAGTTAAAGATATTCACGATTAAAAAAGCGCATTTAAAAGTTTGGAAATGCAGATGGTACATTGTAGGAAAACAGAGGGAATATTGTTTTGTTTATAATGTCATCCTGTTATAAAAGAACTTCACATACCTAACTTGGATAATTTTTATGTTTCAGTTCTCTACTTACACACAATTTGAGGTATAAGTTTGTCCCACCATACAACTGGCTTAAATTGAATATAATACATTTGTTGGGCAAACCTTAACTTTGCTTTTGGACTAAAATTATTAACATACCTTTTCTTAATACATTAATTGCAACTTGTAAGCAAGATCAGTCCTGATATGAGTTATTTTATTCAAATTTAAGCTATTGTTCCCTTAGTTTTCACCACGAAAGTAATTTTATTTGTTTTTCTTATTATATTTGTTTTATTTATTTATATTAATTTGTATATTTGAGCTAATTTTATGGCCTGTAGTTGGGGGCTTACTTGCGGTAAAATATTTCATTGTATGTATGAGACTATGAGTTTTGTTTGGTTGTCTTACTTCCATAGATAGTTGGACTCATTAATTAAACTAGCGTTTTCAGATTTGTGTTGCTAAATCCAGTGCATTAATGTTGATTGTCACTTTCTCTCTCTTGCCTTCATCCAGGATTCAAGTTCGCACACATATACTTATCTCCTCTTGCGCTGCCTAGCCAATTTTTATTTAACAGAGAAGTCTCACTGTCTGAAGGTGATCTCTTTAGCTATTTATGTCATTATCATGTTTAAACATTGCTGTCTTTGATATTTGTTATGAAAAATTTCATCTGCATTCACCGCCGAGTTTTGCAATCGAAGTTGTTGCTACTCTTTAATGCCTCCCTTGATAGTTTTTATGAGTTTCCTAGTTTCTATTATGTTTATGGAAATAATTTATCATACTATAAAAAGCCACAACTCAGAGTTGATTAAGGTTAAATTTGGGTTGGCTTTGACTCATATCACATTTCCGAAGAATAATTTTGAGCTAAATGTTTCAATATGATATACTTTGTTTTCTAGAATAGTTCCTAATCCACTAGAAATCACAAGTTGAGAATAATTAAATGAAAGTGTTTAATTCTGTAAATTACACTATTACAAATCGCAACTAAAAATATAGATGGCTATTTTAAATTTGTCTAGTTTGGTAATTTTTTTATTTGATTAAAGCCTTTCTTAAAGCTTCTTATAATTATTAAATGCATACTAGCTTAGTTTCTTAATGTTAACATTTTGTTTTTTGTTTTGACTATATTAACAAACTCTACTTTGATCATCATTTGTAAAATTTATAAGTTAGTCATGTGGGATCTTGTTAGATTTGTCTGAATATGTATTTTCGAAACATGAATTTTTTTTTTTGCTTTTTTTTTTTTTTTTTTTTTTTTTTTTTTTAATTTTTAAAATTTTACAAGCACCCTTCTAATAGAGAGAGGAATTAGGTTCTTCCTGTCCTTAATTTGATTCTGGATGGTTATTGTGTTATTTTCAATATGTTAGGGAGAAATTAGTAAGAAGGAGAGAATATGCAATACACACATGCACACACACACATAAAGGAGAAATTAAGGAGTGAATATGCAACACACATGCTCTCACATGCGCACACACACACGCGCGCGCGCTCGCACACACACACACACAACCTTACCTTTCTAGCAGAGGGAGGTTGTTCCTGTTACTTAATTTGCTGCATGGTGGCTAAAGTGTCATTTCCAATTTGTTAAGGAGGATAAGAAGGGAAGAATATGTTTGCTTCTGGTATTTGCGTTCGTTATGTTTCAATAACTTGATATCGTTAGGGGTGTTTGTTTTTGTCATAAAAACTCAAACATCTTTATTTAATAGATATTTACTATAGACTGTGGTAGATTATTTAGCTTTTGATTATACGAATATTTCTTGTACAGAAGTTTCTTTGAAATAATTACTGCTATCTAATATTGATTGCAGCCTATTCTGGTGATATATTATCATCTCCAAGAGCGAAGAGATCAACACGGAAGACTAAGCCACCTGAAGGGCCTTCAGCTTCACCCTCACCCTCGCCATCTCCAGCATATCAAGGTCTTAATACTGAATCTTATACTTAAACATACTTATGCTATATCAAAGTGACTCGGGAGTGAGTTATTACTATGCTATTGTGGATTTGTGACCCTTACTCCTTTTCCAGGACCTTTTGCCGCTCCTCATCATAGACCCACCCCAAGACGTCGCGGGCATCATCATAAACCTAGGCCCTACCTCCCCTCTCCACCCCCTGCGGCTGCACCAGGTAATTTATTAGCCATCAAGTATTGTAAGGCTGTAAGCTAATGGAGTAATCTGTATTTAAGTTTTCTTCAGTATGGTTGATAAATTTGTTCCTATATGACCAGTCAAAAGCATTTAGCAAAGTGCTGCTATGGATCAGAAGATTAGTGACTTTTAACTTATAACTGCCACATGCCACCATTGTCATGTTGCATCTGCTATATGTAGAAGGCAGATGTTTAATTTATATGTTCTAGTAAAGATATAAAGATCTCAGCCACAATGAAACCATATATGGCGGTTATGTTTGCTTCCAGGGGAAAAGAGCTGATATGTTGAGATTTTTTGGGACAATTCTAATTTTTACACTCTCTACGTTTCCACAAACTGCTTCCCTTTTCCTATAGATCCCCATACCAAGGAAAATGATTGAACTATTGCAAGTGGGTACTTTCTGGTTACTCTTTGACAAAATTTGGAATTTAGAAAAAGTAAGAACTTTTATTGACTTTAGAGAGTAAATGTTTGTCGACTCTATCCTAGACTGTCAAGGTGTCAGATAAAAAGTGATTTCATGACTGGCTACATGAACTGGAGACGTATAAATTCTCGATTCTTTTGGCCTTTTGGGTTATACTCCGTACTATACTTCTTCCGTTCATTTTACTTGACCCGTTTCATTTATCATGTATGCCAATGCATAATTGTAATCATCAATAACCTCAAATCTTGATAAGTAAAAATTCTAAAATATTAGATATTATAATAGTATTTTTTTTGAGACGATTCTAATAAGATCCCACATGAATATGTTTTTCCTTGCATAAAACACACAAAAGATTTTAAAAGGAGGGATTGTGAATAATGTAAAAGTCAAAGTACGTCAAGTAAAAAATAATGGAGGAAGTATGTTGACTGTTTTACCTTGTCAATGTGTAAGCTGTGTAGTCACTGCATGTTTTTTCGCCTTTTAGTTAGTGACGAACTGTTGTTGCTGTTTGGACTTGCTATAATGAAATACTCCGTTATTAGATAATAAGGACATGATGATGGAACTATGGTGCATGACAGGCTGTACACTTTATTTCCAGTTAAATGTCATTGTGGTTGCTTTCTCCTTCGTTGTTGGATTGAATACCGGTTAAGTGTTTCTACCACATGTTATGTTGCAGATTGTGGACAAACATGCTCTGATCCATATACAACTACTCCCATTGGAACTCCTTGTGGGTGTGTGGTGCCAATGAAAGTCAGGCTTTTGCTTAGTGTAGCTGTTTATGCTCTCTTTTCGGAAGTAAATGAGCTAGCAAATGAGATTGCATCTGGCACATATCTCAATAACTGTCAAGTCATTATAGTAGGTGCAACTGCTGATTCGCAGAATCAGGAAAGGACAGTAGTTGATATTAACTTGGTTCCATTGGGCGAAAAATTTGATAACACCACCGCTGTATTGACTTCTGATAGATTTAAGCATAAGAAGGTTCATATAAATAGAACTCTTTTTGGTACCTATGACGTGGTATATGTGAACTATCCAGGTACTTTTCCCTTACTAAGAGCCATATTAGTGTTATATATTCTGCAGTGATGATTTCTGAGGAAACTGTTTTAACAGGGATTCCTTCTCCTCCGATGGGAAGTCCAAGTGAAATTCTTGGGGATGGACCTCCACAATATCCAATTACTGCTGAAGTTATGAAGAAAAGGCGGAATTTAAGTTCCAGAGTTGTGTTTGTTATTGTTTTTTCTGCATTGGTTCTGTTGGTGGCTTGCTTCGCAGCAATTGCTGTGTTCATCAAATGGAGAAAAGCTAAGTCATTCAATGCAATTGGTCCTGTATTCACACCTTCTATCAATAAGAAATCTGGTAATTTTTGTAGAATGATTTTTCAATGTATATAGTTCTACTTGTATCTCTATTCTTTTTCTTTTCATGGTTTCACAGCTGTTTACAACCTTTATGTTTACAAGTGATTAATCTATCTACTCTAGTGAGACTAATAATATACTACCTCCGTTTCATATTATTTGCAACGATTTGACATAAAGTAGAGAGGAGAAATGTCTAATCGTTGCAAATAATATGTAACGGAGGTAGTATACTTTCCACTGGCAATCACTGCTACCTGTGTAATTTTCATGAAGGGCTTATTGCTACTTGCTTATTGACTAGCCTCTTTCTCCTACTGGAGTACTGGTTTATCGTTATTGTTTACACACAGGGTTTATTTTCTTACATTTACTTCATCTGTTTCTGAAAGCTCTTAACATTTACTATTTGCATGCAAATTAATGTGATTGGAGAGAGAGTGTTGGTGTGGTGACTTGTTGTATGAAAAAAGTGGATAAAGAGAGTGTAAAAAGGTAGGTAGGTATAATAAAAAAAGGCAGATAGAGTAAAGAGAGATTGAGAGAGATGGAAAGGTTTAAATATTGTGGGAGATGAGGGTCAAGTGGTAAGAAATTTCCCAAAAGTGAAAAAAAAGTGGAAGTTAAGAACTTTTTTAGAAAGATGTATTTATCAATATTTGAGAGGAGTTAACAGCTAAAGTTTTTGACTCGAACAGAGGAGTACATGCATATTCAATATACTGAGTTTGTGAGGCTTTAGCAATTGATATTGAGATTGTAGATGGTCAATCTGTTTTAGCTTAATCATCACCTTGAATGTCCATTATACAGTGAACAAATTATATATTGGAATGTTTTTCAACAATTTAGAACTGATTGTGGCAAATGCTATTGTTTACCTGGAGTCATTATAACTCAATTGCTATTGCTTCCCAATATTTTTAGCTTCTCTGCTTGTTTATATGCAGGTGTTGGCTCAACTTTATCGAGCAGCATTGCAAGCTCGACGTCCATGTCACTGTTTGCATCAATTCCGACTTGTGCTCTCTCTGTAAAAGCTTTTTCACTTATTGAACTTGAGAAGGCTACAGATAAATTTAGTTCAAGGAGAATTCTGGGTGAAGGAGGTTTTGGACGCGTCTATCATGGCATCCTAGAAGATGGCACTGAGGTTGCAGTTAAGTTGCTTACTAGGGATAATCAGAATGGAGATCGTGAATTTATTGCAGAAGTTGAGATGCTGAGCCGATTGCATCACAGAAATCTTGTGAAACTTATCGGTATTTGCATTGAAGGACACAGACGCTGTTTGGTGTATGAGGTTGTTCATAATGGCAGTGTTGAGTCTCACTTGCATGGTACGGTTTCTTTTATCAGCATTCAAGTTTATGTCTATTCTCTTCCCACTAAGGGTTAAGGTTTCTGTCTCTTACAAAGGAAATGGCCAACCTAACCCTTGTGTTGGATTGCTTCCTGAGCTATATGTGTTTAGGTTGTGATTCCTATTTTTAAACAAAAAATTTGCAGGTGTTGATAAGTTAAAGGGGCCTCTAGATTGGGATGCGAGGTTGAAAATTGCTTTGGGTGCTGCAAGAGGATTGGCATATCTGCACGAGGATTCTAATCCTCGAGTTATTCACCGGGATTTTAAGGCTAGCAATGTTCTACTTGAAGATGACTACACTCCAAAGGTGTCAGATTTTGGATTAGCAAGAGAAGCAACAGAAGGAAGTCAGCATGTATCTACCCGTGTTATGGGAACTTTTGGGTATGCACTATTTTCCTTGTGTAATTAGTGTTCTAAAACTCTGGATCAGCTTTTCCTTATTCCTGAGCCGCAATTTTGAGGATAAGATTATTCAACCAAAAAAAAAGAAAAGGAAGATTTGATGTCGTAGTCTTACCACTTATGTAAAGCCACTACTCTGACATCTCTCTGTGTGAAAATTGATTCTGAAATGCCATAATTCTGCACTTGAATCATTATGTTTCATATTTGGATGCTCTCATACACATTATGAAAGTACTCTAATACCTGGCCCTGTTGGTGTTGTATCGAATACTGTTAGGTCCCTCATTTCATGAATTTGTTGTATATTCTGATTTTCTTCCTGACGCTCATGAGGTTTGATATTTTATTTTAACTGTATATTTGCAGGTATGTTGCTCCTGAATATGCAATGACTGGGCATTTGCTTGTGAAGAGTGATGTTTACAGTTATGGGGTTGTTCTGTTGGAGCTTCTTACTGGAAGAATGCCTGTGGATATGTCCCAGCCTCAGGGACAAGAGAATCTAGTGACATGGGCACGGCCTCTTTTGACCAGCAGAGAAGGCGTGGAGCAGTTGGTGGACCCTGCCTTGGCTGGAAACTATAATTTTGACGATATGGCCAAGGTTGCAGCAATAGCTTCCATGTGTGTCCATCCTGAAGTTACTCATAGGCCCTTCATGGGTGAAGTCGTACAGGCTCTTAAACTGATCTACAATGACAATGATGAGACCTGTGAAGATTGTGGTAGTCTAAAGGATTCTTCTGTTCCAGATTTGGATTCCAAGAGTGATATTGGACAGTCAGACAGCGGCTGGTGGAATGCAGGTGGTGGTACACCACGTTTGATTTATGGACAGGCTTCATCATTCATAACCATGGACTATAGTTCTGGTCCTCTTGACGAGATAGATAACAGACCATTATCAACTTCAAGTTTGGGTGGAGAACGGGTATCTTTGCCCATAACTCATGGTAATAGATCTGGTCCTTTAAGAACAATTAGAAGCAAGCCATCATTCTACCGATTGAAAGGTAGTATGAGTGAACATGCAGGTTTCCTCTCTAGACGAGGCCGGAGTGATGGCTTTTGGGTTTGAGGGTTTTATAATGCAAAAGAAAAGGTTTTTCCTAAATGTACAGTTTGGAGGACCTGATTGTCGCAGAAAATGGTATTTCAGGTTTAGCTAGGATAGGAATCTGGTGTTATTGTGTAAACCATATTTTGAGGAAAACCATGGTTTTCAACTTGGAAATCAATTCATTACCATACAGAGCTGGCATTTGTAAGTCGATTGAACCCTCTTTGAAGTATATAAATTTCCATCTTAATTTCTTGATGATGTTGATGTCCCTAATCAGTGCTTGGTGGTTGTTTGTATGCTTGGATTTTTGCAAGAAAGTCTGAATTGCTTTGTTTTATTTGCTTTATTGTTGAGTCGTTTAGCCTAGGTGTGGAAATTTCTGCAGCAATTTGACAAGTATTTACCAGCATCAACAGGGCCTAACTTTAGTAGGAATTTTTTTTGGCTTTATTATGAATAATCAATCCTGTGATGCAACAATGTTTTGGACCCTGCTTAATTAGGTGATTGCAGGAACTTCTGATCATCTTGCCCTGCATAGATTCATATTATTATCACTGCTAAACTCTGTAACTCTTGGCCGCTCTGGCGGCTACCTTCAGACTTTGTATAGCTGTGTTGTATTGTTTTAAAACGTGAAGTAGCTACTAAAAATTTAAAATTTCTATAATCATTCACTTCAGAGTCCAGCCTTCCTTTTTTTAGTATCTTCCTTCCTCTGTTCTCAAAGCTCCAATACTGCACCCTTATTTCTTCTACACACCAGACATCCACTGCCTGCACAAGAAAGCACCAACCCCTGTAAACTCGAAAGTTTACCTCTGGTAGCATATTTTTCTCTCAACTGTTACCAATCACTAATGAATCACAGTACGTTAAAGATGGCTATATGAACCAAGGTGTCGTGCCAAGGAGTCACTCACATAAATCCTTCTCCGGTTCTCCTCTACTCCAATGCTATTCGATAATGGAGACTTGTTTCTTTCATGTCCTCGCACATGATTTATAGGACGTTTATAGAGAAAAAAATACAGCAAATGAATTGAAGACGAGTTAATATCAAATTAGTCGTAATCTTAATTGCTTTTCTAGGTATAGTTGACACTTTTTTCTCCTATGTATATCAAAATATTTATTACAACTTGAGGAGAGTTTGATCATCAATTAACACTCTCGAGTCTCAAATAGACCATCTCAAGTCGAGTTAGTTTTGACAGCTATACTCCCAAGGAGTACTCAAATTGAGCATTAGTAAAAGTCTCCCTAAACCATAGGGAAACCAACATTTTCTAAATTTTTGTTCCATAACAATCAAAAATCTAGTTGTAGAGATAATGAAAGCAAAGAAAAACACCAAAATATGGACCACAACGTAGAAAAAGATTGCCAAAAGAGACATTATTTTCACCATTAAAACAAAAGCCATAATCCAAAAGCAACCAAAAAGTCCCAGCTTTCATTGATAGTTTCACTAGTAATTAAGCTTGGAACTAAAAAAAAAAAATCTAACGGCTAAAAAGGCGTTTACAAGCTCTCACAACCTTGGACCCCACATGTCTTCTTCCATAACTATCTTGGTTTTTCTTCATAGATCTTGTTTCTAATGATCCAATTCTCTCAAAGTCATAATCTTGATTATCATAATCATTATCATGATTATTATTATCATAATCATCAACATTTATTGAAATGGGTTGATCATAAATCCTGCTGTACTTGTCAGAATTAACAGATGAAGATCTATTAATTGAAAATGCTCTTTTCACTGCTGCTTGTATTGCTCTTGTACTACTCTGCCTTTCAAGACTAATATTCTTATGATTACTATTACTATGATCAACATTGTTGTTCTTCTTTTGGTATGAAACTGAGCTATTTCGCTTCAAAACACCGCCATTCGATTTCGATTTTTCACCTTGATCATTCCCATCTTCATAATCCTCTGTTTTCCCTAAGAAGAAAGATTCATTCTTCTTATGATGCAAACTATCATCTTCATGAACAATAATTCTGGGTTGTTTTTCTTGTTGTTCATGAATTTGGGATTTTTTTGTAGATAATAATTCAAAATCTGTATCAATAAAAAGAAACTCTTTGTTGGATTTTGATCTTGAGATGAATGGATGATTTCCCTTGATTTTTGAGTACCCTTTCATTATTTTTTTCCTTTTCTTTTTTTTTTTGGATTGTGGGGTTTTTGATTTTTGGATATGATTTTTTTTTTTTTTTTTTGGGTGATGAAGAAATGTAGGGTGGACCTAAATTTGTGGGAAATATGAAGATGGTGGAGCAAGTGAAACTGTGCAACAGCTGTATTTTTGAGGGTGGACTGAAACAAAGATGCTGCAGGAAAAAAAATTATATATATACTGAATTTCAGGGGATGGAAATGAGGGTGTTAATGGTAAAGACATGGGAAATTTAAATAAGTTGAAAGGGGGGACATATTGAGTCATTGACAAGTGACCACAATTACAACAACGGTAGGAATGGGATGGTGAGAATTTGTGTAAACGGAAAACTACACGTCTTAGATAAGGTGGACTTATAAAAACTTATCATAGGTAAAAAAAAAAAAAATAACTAAAAATTGTATGAGTGAGGTATTTGCTCCTTGCAATTTGAGTAGTGATCAATTAGTGTAACTCCGTCTCATACAAGATTATAGGAAGTTTATTTGCATATCGAGGAGAGGAGATCACATCGAATTAATCTAATACACATGTCTTGTCTGAGATCTTTATGTACTCCTTGACTTGTCCTAGTATAATAATTCAATAGATGGAGATCGACTCATCCAACTTGGGATATCTGTCCATACGATATTTGTTTTACTTATAAATTATAATACAGATTATATTACTATGATTACTCATTGAATTCCACTCTCTGTTTAGAATATTATAGGCATGTCGACTGCTTTGGGACCTTTGGAATATTTTTTCATAATCGCTATTATTAAAACAAGTAGAGAGTATATGTAGGCTGATCAATGGCAAAAGGTTAAAATCAAGGGATGAGATTAATTCAATTGGAGATGTTTATTTTCGAATATTAGATAATATGACAACTAATTCTAAACGAAATAAAATTGTATTCACTAACTTTTTCACAGACAAGGAGTGATCTTATCTTAGAATAGGTCAAACCAACAGGCTTTAAAAAATAAAAGGATAAAATTACATATGAAAGAAATTACAAGAAAAACAGTAATTGACAACTAACAAAATGTAGGGATTGATGTAGATGTAGATGTAGATGTAGCACCACTACAACCTTACATTATAGATTTTTGATTATTAATTACTCATAATTATTTTAAAAGTCTCAATTACTCATAAGTCATAACTACATAATGTAAGTATTATTTTAGGTTTTACGTGCACTTGATTTTGGATGCAACACCTGTTGTTACCATTTTGGACTGCTACTCATAATTTCATATTGTATTTACCAAATAGTGGTTCTTAATTGCTTTTTACACTTGTCAATGTATAATTTCTATGATGAATATATCTAATTATTAATACTACCTCTGTTAACTTTTATTTGCAACTTTGGGGTATTATTTGTGAGACATAAAATATTTCAAAGTTGTCAATAAAAGTTAACGGAGGAAATATATATATATATATATATATATATATATATATATTTTATTGAAATAAATTAATATGTTAAAATAACAAAAATAATACTCTTGAATTTTTTTCTTAGAAAAATACTATACATATAGATGAAGTTAAATCGCCAAATACAGGGAAAGTAAAATCGCCAAATGTAAATTGTGCAAAAATCAAAACATAACAAATAAAATAAACAGAGCAAGTATATGCATTGTATATTTGTATGTATCCAACAAACAAATTATGCATTTGTCATCAAAGGCCTGTTCACGGATCGGATATCCAATCCGAATGTGATTTCGGATTGGATATCTGATCCGAATGTGATTTCGAAACGGATATCCGAAGACTCGGATATCAAAAATTGATATCCAAATTTGATTTGAAAAATTCGAATATCCGATATTCGGATATCCAAAATTTTCGGATCGGATGCTTTTAATATCCATTATCCAATATTAAGTAAAATTGTTATGATTACTTTCTAAATTTCACTAATTTTACCGTTTTTTTATCGCTAAGTTGTACAAAATATTATAACAAAAATAGTAGTCCTTTTGCAATTAATATTATCATCAAATATATTAAGAATACTATAATAAGTTAATAATACAGGGTTAGTTTTATATGAACAATTTAAAAAATTTATATATATTTCACTATTTTAGGCTTTATATTTTGGATATCTTTCGAATATCGTATATCCGAAATTTTCCAAATCCGCATTTGATATCCGCTTTTTCGAATCGGATATCCGATCCGAAATGAAAACTCAAATCGGATATCCAAAATTCAAATCGGTTGCGGATCGGATTATCGGATTCTCGGATAGTTTTGTACAGGCCTTACCATCAAGTTAACAATGACATAATAACACAAATATGTTCACAATTACTTGTAGGTAATCTTTCCTTTTTATTTTTAAAGGTAAGAAGAAAGAGAATCAGTTGTGGTGTAAGATAAAAGAAAATCCCTCAAATGACTCGCACCAGATTTAATTCTATACCACGAGGTGAGGAAAATACCTCAACCTCAACCTCAACCTCAACCTCAACCTCAACCTCAACCTCAACCTCAACCTCAACCTCAACCTCAACCTCAACCTCAACCTCGGGTATCTAACTAAATATACGACAACATTATAGGCATAAATAATAATTAAAAGGATTCATTTCCCTCTAAAGGGTACAAGGACAAACTAGCCATTTATACATAAACTCTCAATTTTGTTGCTACACTTCAATAATTTCCAAGTTGAGCAAAATTATTGACTACCAAAGTCAAACAATTTGACTAAAATGGATCAAACAACTGTACATACATCACACATGCAAGAGGTGGCAATCGCAGAAAAGAGTAGCACGCAAATTCATGCATCCGTACACATCATACACGAATCCCAAAGTCACATGTGCACAGAGTTACTCCAAATGTTCCCTGCATCTCAACGTGGAGTTAGATCTGTGTGCTTCAACTATTCACACACGAGAATGTACATACAGTAACACTCAGGAATGTCGTCTACTCGCTAGTCACAACTCCCTCTGTTCGAAACTAGTTGTCATGTGATCGGTGAAATTTAATCAAACTAGCAACGTGACAATTAAATCCTTTGGAAGAAGTAACTGAGGTTTATGTAAATCAACATCTAAGATTCAGATGGCATAAAATGGGAAATCAGTACACAAGAGCACATGCAGAAATTGTGGTGTTCAGCCACTAAGAGAAATAAAAAGAGAGACAGCTATAGGGGCAGAATCAGTTAGCTGTCATGACAGCCATGTTCAAGCCACCCGAAAGACGTAAATTCCTCTTACAATCTCCGAAGATGGCTCACAACTCCCTCAAGCGTAAAGGTGTCTGGTTACATCCCCCCCCCCCCTTATCCCAATAGTCCCAAATGTGTCACATAAATTTTTGAGAGGATGTAAAATTACATCCAGATGTACTATGGACACCTGATAAAAAAAACCTCGCATTTATAAATTACCTCGCATTTATAAATTGATAATTGAGAGGAAAAAAATGTTACCAAGATGGAAAAACCTAGGGGAGTGAAAATTAAGATTGGCATTCATTAATGAACTCCAAAACTATTATGAGAGGCAAAAAATTCAATTCCACTGATCAATTTCATGTCAATTTTTTTTCTTAGGGGTGGGGGGAAGAAGGTGAAAGAGTGACCAGGACATATTAAAGGGCATTTATCATCCTTTTCATCTCGGCAGATCTGCGGGGATCCGGATCTTCGATGGCCCTCTCTGTCAGCACATGTTTGATCCGACACATGGACTTTTTTACCTGCACTCAAATGAAGGTTAAATTATTAGTGACAAGTAAAATGCAGAAATTGCAATCTTGTGAATGTAATGTTGTATGGTGGGTGTTTAACGATTAAAATACAGAAAAGGAAAGTTCCACATACAGACACTAGTACAGCACATAAATAAGGACATACTGAAAGTAAAAACACTATGGTGAAAAGGATAGACCAAGAGGCCCTAGAAAAGAATCCCAGGTAAAGATTTTAAAGTCTCAAATAAAAATTATAGACAACAGAATAGCAATCTAACAATAATTAGGTTTTTCATATCACATGAGATGTCTTGCATACATCAATAGAGCACAAAGCTAAATAGGTGACAATATTCAAGGAGCACACATTGAATGGCTTCAACAATATAATTACACCATTCTTGCAAAAGATGCAATGACAATTAAAACAATAGTCCCCTGTCCAGAAATAATGGTCATGTATATTTATTAAAAATTCACATTTTATCTAATATGGAACTAGATTCTATGGAGTGATGGAGATAGGAATATAGGATGGAGAGGAGGCAACTACTATAAAGGGTATTTACTATTTAGTGAATTCAAGAAGAAATTCAACCATGTAAAAAGCACAAAGAAATATTAAAATATTGTCACGTTTAAAAATCCCCTCCTACTCTCCTAGGCAGCAAAGAAAATGTAGAAATAACAAAATGTTGCAAAGCAATAAATAGCCTAAGGCTAATGATATTAATGGTAACATTCTATGCTAATCCATGTGAGGTATAAAAGCTTACTGTGAAGCATTGAGCAGATTATTCTCACCTTTTTCTTAGGAGGATTTTAAAAAAATGAGAAAATTAGAAGCTTCGATACTGTCGGGTGGATTAACATTAAATGTGGCTGCTAGCAACTAACTGAACGTATGCCCAGCCCCTAATTAACATTTTCCTTCAATGGCCTCAAGAGCCACTGAGTGTGTAAGCCATACACATGCTCTCAGTGCTCATCAATTTATGTTATGTACAAACCCAATTTTATGCAATTTAAAACTTTCTTCTATGGCCTAAGAAGAGTACAGGACTGAACCTAATTTTAAAATACAAATCACAACTGGTTAGCGTCTGCAACCCTGCACAGCTGATCCCTACAACTGAAAACCCACCACACTATCATGAAAGAATTCACACTAAAAGACAACAGGTTTTAACACTAAAACAGTGGGATAAAGGAAGAACATGACAGATAGTTTATACACTTAAGTGTAATTGTAACCTTAGTAGCGCCATGCCATCATGTGATATTAAAAATCAAGAAATAAAAAATAAATTAAAAAAAAAAAAAAAAAAAAAAAAAAACCGTACAAAGCCCAAAAGTCCAAAAACAGAATGGAACCATGCAGATCTTCCCAATACATTAAGCAGTGATACTTTAAAATGCTGGTAGCTTACAAGGTTATTTTGACATTTAATGGTACTCAAGTCGTTAGGAGACGGTCTCCCTACAGTTAAGACTAGTTAGGCATCTTAATTATAAAAAGCACGCTTTGCACTAGGATGTCTAGCCGCGGGACAAAATGCATTAGCCTTGAAAGGCAAAGCACATTCTAGAAGGCAAACGCCTCACAACATCAAGAAATTAAAAATAAAAAAAAGACCAAAATTAATTAAAATTAAATCCCAAGTAGCCTTCAAGAGGCAAATTCAAGTAAAAGCCTTCAATTTATTGCATGAATATACTATTAAATGCCTTATTAAAAAAAAATAAACAAATAAAAAAAATCAGTAATGTAGCACAAGTTGGGAAGTGATAGGCAAATTTTTGAAGAAGTTACCGGCTAGACTTCTCTAGATTTTGTTGTTGGCACTATCTGCCCCAGTGGCCATCTCCTGTTAAACGTATTTAAATTAGTTCATTTTACATTTGTACTCTTCTGATAGTCATCTCTCTCTTGTTCTTCGATCTCCTCCTGTACCCTCTTACCCATCACCAAATTATGTAGAAAAAAAACAACCACGTACAAAGCCTAAAAGTCCAAAACAGAATGTACCTATAATTTTTATTTTTTAAAAAAAAATAAGGAAAGAAAAAGGGTGCCTCAAATGCGAAAGGGTTAGCCTCACTACGACGTGTGGCTTTTAAATCTAATGACTATATATTTAGAATTTAGATTCCTGTGAGCTCTAACACCCAACCACCACAGGATCTATACTACATTTTAATTATGGTTGCATTAACAGCTCACTTACACACAACCAGATATAGTGGCTGATTCCACTTAATCAAACCTATGAAAATTCTCGTGTATATTTCTTTCTTAAAATAATCCTTGGCAGAAACAGGACAACAAAACCAGTCACACATCAGTAAAAGCATATTGCCAGATGTAAGTTCAGAAAAATACCCAAAATAGCATTGTCTTTGACTCTTAGTTTCCAAACTAGTAACATCAGATTAAGTAGGAGAATTTCTTAGCTTAAACTAGGAAGTCACTTTCACATTAAGATTATCAAAAGAGTTTGGCCATAATTACCTTTGATATACGTTCAGGATTAGGAAATCGCAGGTTTTGAGCATTGAGCATCTGCCTCTGTGTCATTAGCATATTTCTCTCCTTCAACAGTACATACCAAAGCTTATGGAGATCATCCCAAGACTTGAGGCGCAATTCAGAAGCTTTCCAACCACGTCCTAAGATCCATTCATGATTTACCTCAGTCAGATATCATCCAAGTAAGCACTATTTACTCCACAAATATAATTTAAATACATATACAGATCACTTTGTAACTCACAAAGTTTGAATAATACCAAGACGATAAGCAAGTAAAAAGTTCTGTAGAGAAACATTACGGTGGCATATGGTTGCAGTCTATTCAGTGCCAGATAGGTGAGAAACCATAATTTCCTAACCATCTATCAATTATAAAAGTTTGTACTTTTGTTATCCATGGAGAACTCTATTCCCCTTGATTAGAACCCTACTCAAACCTCACCACCAATCTCCCACCCTCGGCACATAGAAAGAGGGAGAACACGGAATTGCTGGTTTGATTGAGCCAACACTTAGTACCAACTTTTGATCTCAGCCATCAACCATGAAGCCCAGCTATTTCCAGGACTTATACTACAAAAACCATCTCATCAACATAGTCCAAAAGCTAAGGAGGTGTCAAATATAGTATTTCTGTGGATAGATGAAATCACAGAGGGCTAGAGGAGCCAATTTCAATTCAGCTGGCATTGGAGGAGAGGTGGGGAAAGTTTGCACTTATCTTGTAAGAAGAAGTGAGGAACAGGGCCATGGAAATTACATTGGGGCACCAACAAGGATAAACAAGCTTGCTGATGGTGGGTGAATCCTCCATTAAGACCATTCTTAACTGTCAATATGTCATTAAGCTCCACAACATTACTTCTTTCATTACTTCATCTTTCTTTATCTTTGTCGAAAATTAACTTTGTCTAAAGTTTCAATGTCATGCATGGAATACTGATTAGGGCATACAAAATAATGATTTGTTTCCAAAATAATTGAAGCCAAGGTTGTACAAAGCAGGATTACACACTAATTGAAATTATTGAATATGTATTACTTCCTCTGTCACTAAATAGTTGTACCATTATAATGCGTTCAAGCCTAAGCAAGTAAGGGCCAAACCCCTATACACTAGCAAAATCCTACAAACCTAATCTTGGCAGTTGTATAAGCAGACCAAATTCCATGAAGAGCAACTTAATAAAAGTAACTTTATCTCACCCCACAGCAGACAAACTGCAAGTGAATTAAATTATAAAATGGGAACCAACCATTACCCCGTATTAGAGATGACTACATCATGAATTAACTTTCTCTGGCCTCAACTAGGATCAGTCAGCTACATTGAAGTGCTTTTTTATTCTTAACAGAATCACAAATGGGGGAGAGGTTGCTTTTTATACATTTTTTTTTTGCACAATTTAGGAGGTGATCAACAGGTATAGTACTTCTTGAGATCTGAAGGAGTCAAATCTAGTACTTCAGTGTTGTTTCACATTCTTAAACGGTTGCATAGAACAAGCTAGCTTTAAAAAACACCTCTTAAAGTCTAAAATTGAGAGGTTCTCATTTTGAGACGAGATAATAGTTAGCAAAAATCATTAGTCTAATGAAGCTAAGTGAAGTGCCAATGGACAGCTTTAAATAGTCTGGGATGCTGTATCACTTCTACAGTTCTACCCACAAAAAAAAAAATCGCTTGTTTTACAACTTATAAGGAAATATTCTCATATGAATATTCTGAGATAGATCACTTCTCTAGTAAACGCTGTATGAGATACAAGTTCACATATCTAAATGGATTAAATCTCTAATGTCATTTCACAATAAAACATCATTTCAATAACAGCAATTCAAGCTCATAAACAGAGTCTCCCCATCCCCACCCGGACAAAAAAGCAAGAGCATTATACGTTCATGATTCAAAACAAATGCAGATACAAGCATACCAGCACACTCTCATCTATCTATCAAGGAAGAATAAATAAAAACCATTAAACACAGACCAATGTATTTGTCAACTGTAGAGTTTTTACGGATTCAACTGCGAAAATTGCATGTCATGCCATACCCTCCTCACAAATTCAAGCAATTTTCCATTTATCCAAACATACTAATGACATACATCACCAAATTAACAAACCCATTTAGTATTTTGTACAAACAATAATCAACTAGTAAACAACAAACAAAGTTCCAAATTCAACAATCAATAACAAAATACCAATGTCAACATAGTTAACCAAACCCTCAAATTACAAAAAACCAACTTTGTCAAAAACCAATTGGGTCATCTTCACATTATCATATATCATAATACAATCAAAAGTACAAGAAATTAATTAAAATAATTAAAAGGGGGAAAAATTAAACGCACCATAAACAACACGTTTATCATCATCAGTTGATCTATCAACCTCAAAGAACTGCTCAAGAGGATTACGCACTGATGTTGAAGCAGCAGCTGCTCCACCTGCACTTGTGTGTTCGTATCTTGCAGCTGCCGAAAAAATTCTCCCACCAATTTTTCGCAGAAACATTTTTGAAGATAAACCCTAATTACAAATTGTAATGCAACAAATTCAGCAACTTTTTTGAATTGGAAAAAAATTGAGGAAATGAAGATAATTAGAAGAAAATATGAAGAACGTTCGAATATGTGAGAGAGAGAAAACGAGAAGTTTACCGACGGACGGCGGCGTTGACGGCGGGAAGTGAGAGTGAAAAGAGGAGTTTTAGTGAGGGAGTGGGAAATTAACACGATAGCGGCTTCATATTTTTATTTCATGTCTTGTTTTTTCTTTTCTTTTTTTTTTTTCCTTTTGTTTTGGGAAATTGATAAAATAAATTTTTGAAAATGGTGATAATTCTGATAAAGCAATGTAAAGAAGGCAAAAATACACTATTGACACCAACTTTAGATCATGTTGCAAATATTAACACTAACTTGTATTCCTCATTGAATTGACACTAAGGTCCTGTTTTCAGTTCAGCTTCAATCAATTTAGTTTAATTCGGTTCAGTTCAAGTTCAATCAGTCCAGTTCAGTTCGTTAATTTCCTTCTCTCATTAACAATTCATTTCAGCTCAGTTTAGTTCAGAACAGGCCCTAACTTCTCGTTAAAAAAAATGACACTAACTTGCTAAAAAAATAACTAAAATTGACATAAAGACATTAAACACTCGGGTATACTCCATATCAATCATTTGTATAATTTTTTTTCCAATACAATAAAAAATATTTGCAAGCAAATGAATGTTGAAAAGGAGTTTTATGCTTGTATGCGGGTTTAAAGTTAAGTAGAATGGTTATATTGATGTCATTTATGTTAATCTTATTATTTTTGTAACAAGTTGGTGTCAATCCAACAAGTAATATAAGTTGGTGTTAATAATTATAAAATACCACAAAGTTGGTGTCAATTAGAGTGGCCTTGTTTGGTAGTAAGCTTATTGGGGGTATATTAGCTTATTTGACTAACTTTAGCTGATTGACTAGTCAAACAAGCTAATATAAGGCCCTGTTTGGGAGAAAGCTGAAAGCTGAAGCTGATTGAGTTAGCTGATTTTGACTAACTGATTTTATTAACTGATTTGAATAACTTATTGTATTAACTGATTATATAAAAGTGTTTGGTAAATAGCTGATAGCTTAAAAGTGATTGAGTATGCGAAATGACCAATAAGCTAATTGTGGGGTAGGTAGTTTAGATAGGATTTTAAATTAAATGAGGTTATAAATGTCATTTCACAATAATTAATGAATAAGCTAATTGAAAAAGCTCCTAAAATGAGTTTTTTCAAAAAGAGCTTATTTAGTGGAATAAACTCTTTCAATAAGCTAATACAAGCTCCTAAAACACTTGTATTAGCTTGTTTGACTAGTCAATCAGCTAAAGTTAGTTAAATAAGCTAATATACCCACAATAAGCTTACTACCAAACAGTACCTAAGTGTTTGGTAGAAAGCTTATTGAAAGAGCTTATTACACTAAATAAGCTAACTCAATCAGCTTCAGATTTCAGCTTTCTCCCAAACAGAGAAAGTCATAATATCACCTCATGTTAATTTTTTTTTTGAGAAGGCACCCCATGTTAATTATCCTCTATCTTAATTTCAATTTGGTGGTATGCTCCCCGAAAAATTGACTCATTTAATATACTACGTACTTGTAATTCAAGATACTCCGTATTAATTTGGTATAAAATACTCCTTACTCTTTAAGGTGCTATAAAGTTCAAGTAACTCACAAACTCTGGCAAAATATTGTCCAAAAGCATATATTTACGAATTTAGCAAGACTCTACAAGATCTGAGGCAGAATGTTAGGTGGGCATCCGGACCCGTAAAAACAAATAGGAGTCAACTGGGCATCATCCTCATTCACAGAATCACAGTCAATCAACTACACTCTGTCTGTAAACTAAAAATAGCCAAAAATGCTGTCAACTTCCATTTTCATCTCTCTTCGACAATGTCCAACTCCATTCCCATCTTCTTCTCCTTCATTTCTTCGCTTCCATTTATCTCTTCCTTCAAAATTTACCAGGTTTTTTTTTAAAATTATTTTCCCCCCTTTTGCATTTATCTCAACTTATATCATTAATCACTGAATTTGTTTATTTATTATTTTGGCAGGATTATGATGTCTGCTCATTCTTCAAATTCTCCGCTTCCTGATGATCGCATCGTAGTGAGACCCTTTTGTTATTTTCCTATTGTTTATTAAAAATTTGATTTTTTTATTTTTTATCTAATGGTTGAGGCTCAATATTACTAACTCATACCGGTAACTGTTGATAATTGCTAGTATACTCTATTCGGATTTAGTTGTCACATTATTAATTCAACTTGAGTTATTACAAATAGTGGTGCAATTTCATCAATGACTCAAAATTAATCCTAAATCATTTTGAAAAATATTTTAATAACAATTGTCACCTCGCTTATGATTTTGGAAATTCTCTTTGTTTTGTAAGTTAGATGTGATGATATGGAGTCTAAATCTAAAATAACAAACTAAGGTTGCTTTCTTCTCTAAAGGATTGATTGTATAACTAGTAGGCTCATGCAATGGATTGACATATAAAAAAACTAGTTAGTGGGAGTAGAAGGCAAACTTAAGTTCGTAGCTAGGTTGGGAATTGGTGGATTTTTCTAGATGATTTTGAGTCAATGATGGGGTTGTTTCAATCTTTGCATACACATCGTTAAAATTCATAGTAGTTAGTTTCCAATATTTAAATGAAAACCAACTATTTGAGGTTTTGATTTGTTTTGGTTGAATTAAAAGGGTTTCTCAAAAAATTTGAAAATTTTTAATCAAAAGGTACTGTTGTACAAGGAGCCATAGGAGGTGAAAAGGAAAATATCACAAATAAAAGGCTATAGATTAGTGAATTTTCACATTAATGGAATATGAATCAATGGCTATTATTAAAAATGATGTAATTGCGTGCGGCTGATGGCAGGTGGGTTGTGGGGGTGCAACAATGGATTATCTGTTAATGGTGGATGGCTTCCCTAAGCCTGATGAAAAGATCAGAGGCACTTCCTCCAAGGTACATTGTTGTGTATGAGCCAAATGATTTTTTATTTATTCTCAGTATACTAATTTAGATCATTAAAACTTATATATTTCAAAGTTCAATGACTACTGTTTAATTACATCTGTGCAAGTTCTATTTTTAATGATGAAGGAGAGGATGTATTTATAATGTTTGGATGATGTATAATGAGATATGGACGATTAAATGATGATATGAACACATTGAATTAATTAGATTAAGTTGTTGAAGGAAGTTGGGAGATAATATTGGAAGTGGGATAAGTAGTAAAATTGAAGGTGGAGGAGGGGTTGGGAATGGAAGAGCTGAAGATGTTGACATGTTGGATAACTCTATCATGCATATGAAACACCATGTAACTAGCTACTGGCCATCTTTAGAACACATTGCCTTTAAAAGTAGTTTTTAAGACACACAAACATGCAAGTGGACATGAGACAGTGGTCATTGCTTCAAACTAGTATTCGACAGTAGATTGTCATTTTGTGGGTCTATTGCGCTAGACTATTTCATGATACGAGAAATGTGGACTTTAGACTTGGGGAGGGGGATCTAACTCTATTTTCAGGAGAAAAAAAAGGGAAAGTAGAAAAAATTTATTCCTCAAAGTTTATGGTTCTTCATTTATGTCAAGTCAGCCATCTTATAAATATATTCTGCATTGAAATTTGGTATAGTTATCAGTAGACCTTATAATATTACCCTGATAACCTGATTGATGATTTCTGTAGGTTCAAGGGGGCGGCAATGTTGGCAATGCTTTGACTTGTGCTGCTCGTTTGGGGCTACGACCTAGAATAATTGCCAAGGTCAAGGTCTTCCTGTGTTGTAGCTAAAAACTTCTTCTTCTTTTGTGACTTTTCAATAAAAATTGGGAATCTAGAACTCTAGACATATATTATACTAATGAAGAACTCCAGAAAATTTGTTGGTTCACATATCTTTAGTGCTTTAGGTTGCTGAAGATGTTGAGGGAAGAGGCATACTAGAAGAGCTTGAAGCTGATGGTGTGGATACTTCTTTTATTGTGGTGATTACTTGCTTTTTGTAACTGTAGATGCTCCTGTTTAGATATTAGGAGATAAAAAGTATGAGTTAGGGAGTTTGTAAGCAAGTGCTATATTACTTGCAAATGTGATTATGCTAGCTTCAGTCGGAACTCCATTTGAAAGGTATGTGAATTCATTTAGGCCTCAAGAGATGTGTCTTTATCCTTAAGATAGTTATCTCTTACTGCTATTATCTTAAACTAAATAGTAACCCTGTAGATAAATTTGCATCCTTTGTTGGATATTAGGCAATTCCCACAAGGAATCTGCTATGAATTGATGTTAGGAAAGAGGGAAATTTAGGGACTAGAGTTATAATAAAGTTGTGTGTAGCCTCAAAGAGAAGTTAGTTAGTTTGTTAGGGAAATGCTCTATAAATAGAGCTAATTAGACAGATAGGATGTGGAATACTGTTGAAAGTTATGGGTTAGTTTTAGACAGCTACATTGGGAGAGAATCCATCTCTCGAAAGTGGAATTATCATAGTTCTGCAATTCAGTTTATTAATCAGAAATAAACATCATTATCCTAATTTTTGCTATTTACGATGCTCAACTGCTCAATCTATGATAATTCATAGCAGAATCAACAACAGCTATCTGACAATTGTATCACCTGTAGTCTACGTTCAAAAGCATTTCTATTCCTTTACTCTCTATCATCATTGTTACTCCGTACATTTTTCTATGTGTCAAAGGGTCGTATTTTAAGAAATTTCAATTCACCTATGCAGGTTTCCGAGGAAGGTCGTTCAATGTACAGCTATGTGATTGTTGACAGTAAGATGTGAGTTTCCTGTTTAATATTTGCATCATTATAATTATTCGATTTCTCATGAGCTATGACCATTAATATTACTTTTGATTATTCATTCACTTTTTTCTATTTCCCTCTAAATTTATTGCCATCCTCATTTTCTCTTTCAAATGCACAATTTAATTTGAATCTCAGTTTTTTGCTTTTGTTTTTCTCATAATTCCACCTAGACTCATGATTAAACTTTTTAGCTTTTGCATATGTGTTGAACTTAAACTTATTGTGATGCTTCTAGGAAAACCCGGACTGCTATATACTATCCAGGATATCCTCCCATGACACCTACTGACTTTTCCGGCTCTAGTTTATCTTCTGCTTTAGATGGTGCCAACCTTGTTTATTTTGATGGACTCTCATTAAAAACGGCTTTAGCTGTTGCAAGAGAGGTAAATATCTTGTATTTTTCTTTAATTTTGTTTTTGCTTAGTTTCCTCTCATTTGTCTGGTTAGTATATGTGCTTAATCCAGAGATATACAGTCATTCTCACCCTTACATTTCCTATAATACTTTTGGCTATTGCAGCACTTCCATAGTCCATAGAGGTTGGTATTGTAAACCTAGATACTCTGGACATTCTTTTGCCTAATTTCTCGGTGTAGGTTCTGTGGCTACCCATGTTATCTTTTGCTCTGGTTGCTAGACTTCAATATATTGCTAAGAGACCACCTACTATTACTACTACTTACGCTTATGTTAGGCTTGAGTTTTAGAAATTCTTTTATCTGAGTCAAAGATAATCCTTATTTTTGTAAGGCACTTATATGAAGATACTGTGGGTTCACCAGCTGCTCATTTTTAATGACTCAAAGCAGATACATCTTTGTTCTAGCAATGATAATACATATGGGTTGGACACTTGGTGATGGTAGGTTTGTAGCAATGAAAATGTTCCTAACATATATGTATACAGATACAGAGATGCCTGCATATTTGGATACATGTTTCTGTTCATACATAACTTGTTGTCAGATTGATTTGCTGTAAACATCTTGTCTTATTTTCAGTTTTGTTTTTCATGTGGTGCCGTGATCTCTCTTTCTCTCTCTCTTTAACACACACACACATACTAGCTTGCTCTCTCTCATGATTCCTCCTGAAGGTTCTGGCAATGAGGTGGACTGAATTACTGACGTTGCTGTGAGCTTCTGTTGCAGGCACGTCGTAGAGGTATTCCAATTCTGGTTGATGCAGAAATGGGAGAAGAAGGGTTTGATAATCTTTTAAATATGTCAGACTATGCTGTTTGCTCAGCAAAATATCCTCAGGTAAGAGTGAAAGACTAGCTTTACCACTTACCACAGTTGCAGCTTCTCTACTTTGTCCTGCTGAAGATGAACTCCTTTTTACCTTTCTTAGAATTGTACGTAACAAACGACTAACTGAGAGAACTAGAGTGAGTGATGTAATAGATAATATTGAAACTAGTTACAAGGGCCGACATTCCTGTGTGTTACACATGGAATGCTAAAAAAGGTCTTGAATAATCTGGATCCGTTTGCGAGAGTTAAGATATTTTTGTTTCCTTTAGTTGGAAAGAGAGAATTGGGATTAAATTAGAGACCAGAGCATAATTTCTCCCCTTTTATTGTTAATGTGGGCCGAGGAGTACGAACTTTACCCATTGCTGCATATTTAATTGGATTCAGTAATTATTTGCTGCTTTAAGGATTTGATGCTTTACATAGATCAGGTTTATTGGCACCTCTCATTGCCGCTTTGATATGTGAAGAAATAAGGGTACTTGTAGAGCTTGAATAGTGTTCTGTTCTTGTAATTTGCACATTGTACAGAACTATATTATATTATTTGAGGTCTTTTTGGTTACGTTTCCTCCTAAATATCCTCATTCTTCTCCAAAATGTTGATGCTTTTTTGCATCTACCGTAAAACAATCTGACCATCAATGTCTCGCTGGAAGTTTTCACTCTCTTTTATGAAACATTATCATTCGTAAACTCTATCTTGACACTATATGAATTACACACTGCTTTGCTGCTCTTGCTGTGATAGGCATGGACAAATGCACCATCTATGGCAACTGCACTTGTTGCTATGCTAATAAGATTGCCATCATTGAAATATGTGATTGTTACCCTTGGTGAAGAGGGGTGCATAATGCTACAGAGAAGTCATAAAGGTGAGGAATACAATAAGTCATTTGCTACTGTTTCCCTTCATAGAATTACAAAAAATATATATGTTGGTATCCATATGTGTGTTTACAATCTTGATCTAATCACCATCTAGATGCATGAGCTGTATGCTGTGTTTAAGAAGTATATTTTTGCTTGCAAATGTGTTGATTAAATTGAATATGCATATGGTGTCATGGATATCTCATTGAATTTCTCTCTGCAGCAGATGATGCTCAGTTAGAAGAAATGAATGCGGACCAATGTTTAGCATCACTATACAAGAAAAAAGATAGCCATAAAACTTATCCAACATGTATTTCATCGGTTAGTTTTTGTCTTCTGATATATGTTTACATCGTACTTCTTATTGATAATTTACTAGACCAATATATTTTTTACATCATCAAAGGGGTTGGATAATACTAACTAGGTTTTTTTATGGACCATGGTTTTAGGGTTGTCTATATCTGGACAATCATATATTGATGATGTCATTAATTGCCATGTTTTGTCTGTTAAGTTTATTCAGCGTTTGATTTACTGTTATTGTCGCGCCCATGCTTTGTTGAGATTGGTGGATAGCATTGATTGTGGTGTAAATTATCATCTTCATCTTTACCTTTTGAGTGATTTTGAAGCTAATCTTGAACTGAAGAGCTGTATATTGAACAGAGAACCTGATGGTATTGCCATGAAATTGTTCTTTTCCCTAGAGAGCTACAGTGTACTGCTTTACCCTCATGTTTGATACTTATTTTTTCTTTTACTGTTTGTATGTATTCTGCATCGCCTCCCAGCCGGTTTTAAAGCTGGAAGCACCTGGACTTGGAACACTGAGTGGAAGGTTGCTAGTGGGAACAGCTGAGAGAATACCACACTTGGAGCTAGTTGATACAACGGGAGCTGGTGACGCTTTCATTGGAGCAGTTCTTTATGGTATGTAAAATAATAGATCTCATGCGTAGTATTTGAGAAGCTTATATGCTGATTGATATGTCATTTGCTAAATTAGGTTTCAATATGAATTATTGTGTATCGAATTTTAGTGTTATATAAGGCTAGTCATCATTAGAAAATGAAAGGCAACTTCTAGAGCGGCCCCAAGAAACAAGACAGTAGATATGAGAGAAGAGTTGGAGGAGAGCAGATGCTTTGAAAGACTGAAACTGACAAATTAGAGAGAAATAGAATAGAATGACTTGATTATTATTCATCAATGGCTTGAGTATTTATACAAAACCTAAGCTCATAAGATAGAAAACAATCTTCCTAAAAGATATACGTCTAACCATAAACGTTAAAGATATATTATCAAAATAATATCTTAACATAAATATCCTAATTAAATATATTATTCTCTTAAATGATATCTACGGAAAATATATCACACATATATTTTCCGATATCTCTAACACCCTCCCGCAATCGTAACGGCAGTAACACGAACGTTGCGATTGGAAATTCTTCACTTTGTTGAAGTCGAGATGCACACTCTTGTGATGCCCCCTTCAAAAAAAAAAAAATCTTCAATGATGAGAACGTTCATCTTTTCGAACTCATCAGTCTTCAATCAAACAGGAACGTCATTCTTTTCGAACCTGTAAATATAACAATTTTTGGTTTTTCTAGAGCAAAACCGAGCTCCAATCAAATATTGGTTTTTCAAGAGTAAACCACCCTCAAATCTTTTATTGGTTTTTCAGAGTAAACCAACTCAAATCTTTTATTGGTTTTTCGGAGTAAACCACACTCAAATCTTGGTTTTTCAGAGTAAACCACACTCAAATATTTTATTGGTCTTTCAGAGTAAACCACACTCAATTCTCTTATTGGTCTTTTAGAGTAAAACCAAACTCATATCCAAAAGAGCAAAATCATGCTCGAATCAACTCACAAAAAAATAAATTTGCACAGCGGAATTTTTTCGGGTGAGTATAATTTTCTAACCCACCGGCAGGGGGGAAATTTTTTTTGAGCGGTCCCAAGATTTAACCTGCTCTTGATACCATGACAAATTAAAGAGAAATAGAATAGAATGACTTGATTATTATTCATCAATGGCTTGAGTATTTATACAAAACCTAAGCTCATAAGATAGAAAACAATCTTCCTAAAAGATATACGTCTAACCATAAACCTTAAAGATATATTCTCAAAATAATATCTTAACATAAATATCCTAATTAAATATATTATTCTCTTAAATGATATCTACGGAAAATATATCACACATATATTTTCCGATATCTCTAACAGAAACTCTTGAAAAATTGTTCAAAACTGCTTGAAAAGCTATGCAACTTCCTTTGCTTTTGTGATCATTTTTTTTTTTTTTTTTTCAATTATAAAAGTAATATCCTGGCCTATGAAAATGTTTTATTAGTAGGGTAAACCAGTATGCCACATTGGCTCTTACTTCCTAGTTAAAACAAAATGGTGCAGAAGAAGGCAATCCGTATCCTTCTTCTTGTATTGATCCTAAGAAACAGACTGACAAATATTTGGAAGTCCTTGTGACTGCTAAATAAGTGCGTATGTGAATAATGCTCAAGATTCTTGTATCAATTTTCTTCGTATAAAAAATCTGAAGGCATTTGAGAATATGTTGCATTAGGCGTTTTTGTCGTAAGGAGGGCCTCCTAATGTTTTTTTTTTTTCCTCGCATTAAAAAAAAAGGTGTTGTTGGCTGCAAGCTTGTCAGCCTTGAAATCTGAACAACATTCCTCACCTCATTTTTGTAGATATGCTGCAACCTAAAATTTTCTATTTTACCCTTGAGAGGGGGAGAAAGTCCTATTTGCGATTAGTCAACTACATTTAACTCTTCCCTTGCTTAGTGCCATCAAGTTAAGGCAAACTTTACATAGACCACTGGATTAATACTGTTGAAGAAGGTTTTATTGGGTTTTGCATATACATGTTAAATGGCTTGATCGATCTTAGAAACTTGACGATTAAGGTAAACTGCCTGATATGGTCTTTTCCTTGAAAATCTGATACCAAAATCACTTGCTTTGGACTAGTTAAACTAAATATCCATAGCTATTTATTTAGTTTGGAGTAGGATTGCACTATCAAACACCCATCTTGCTTTATGTTAATGTGTCTCTATAGTATGATTATCAGTGTGTTTTTTTTAGGTTAATGTATCTTAAACACCTAATGGAAACACGTCTGTTAAATGTCTCACCCCAAGTACAATCAAGTTACTAAATTGTTTTTGTTTATAGCTCTGTGTACAGATATGCTTCCCGAGAAAATGCTGCCATTTGCTGCTCAAGTGGTGAGTAGCACTTTAATCGGTCCATACATAAATTTGTAGTCAGGATTTACTAAGTTGGGTTTGTCATTATATTTTTGTTGAGAAGAAAAGTATATGTTATGACTCTGCTTGAGTGGTCTCATCACAGGCAGCTGGTTGTTGCCGAGCATTTGGAGCTCGGACAGGTCTTCCACATATTACAGAGCCACGCTTGCAACCCTTCCTAGATCAAAATCCAAGTACATCATCAGCACAATGAAGTATAACTTCAGGCCTTCAGCCAATTCCCTAAATGGTTTGTATATTTTGCTTGCTAAAGCTAAGCACGGTTAGTATGTATGTATGTACATTCCTCCCAAATCATCCTGGCTAGGTTGTAAATTGTTCAAGACTATGTATTTGATACGTTGTAATGTTGTATATTAATATGATCAATAGGGTCATGTTCATTTTAAAGGAAAATACATCAGGGTTTGTTGTTTTTATGCTCCGGCGAATTCATAAGAAGTCACTTTGTACTGTTTTTCTTGTATGTTTGTAGACATTATACTAGTGATTTTTTTGGTTCCATTGAAGCCTTTCCATATTATGATTTACTTGCTTATCTAGATGCATTATAAATAAACCAATTGGTTGTTGGTGTAGTGATGATTGGGACTACACTTGGTAGGGAAGGACTCGTGTTTGATCCCCCGCAACAACAATCGGGAGGTGACTGGAACCTAACTACTCAGAATTGATCATTAGCCCAAAGGGTGAACCGGGTGGAACACCAAAAAAAAAAAAAAAAAAAAAAGATGCATTATAAATAGGGTTAATTAAAGAGATTATTAATTCGGTTATTTTAGGGGTCGTAGTGTTTTGCTTGAATCAACCATCTGATGCGGGTCTTGTATTTGGGCTAACTACTAACTTTAACCAGGTCCTTTATAATTAATGTGGCTGACCAAAGGGTAGTAGGCTAGTGCAAATAGGATTCTTCCATAACCTATTTATCTTTTTCTTTTATTTTTTTATTTTTTTAAAACCTATTTATCTAACAATTACATAGGTTTTAAGGTTATGTTTAGACTCGATTAGTATTATTGTTACAATGTTTCTTAAGAGCAATTCTACCTTTGGAGACACAATTGAGGTTCTTGATTTTCGAGGAACTACGAAACATACGCTTAAGGGAGAACACGCATCAAAGGTATTACATCTTCATTAGACGTTACAAAATTTGTTTCTAGAAATTCCGTCTATTGTATCTATAAGTCTCTACACATATATAATATTTATGCTTTGATCAAGTTCGCAAATTTTCGTCAAAAAAAAAAAACAAAAAAAAAAAAGTTTGCAAATTATATTGCTAGTACAATTTATGGCGGACAATTATGTTGTGCACATAATTTTTTTTTTTTTTTTTTGAAAGATGTTGTGCACATAATTTAGTTGTACTGAAATTTTAAAAATTCTAATGTAATTTATATGGGGTTTTACGGGGTATGGTAAATTTGTACTTCGTATATATCAGCTGCAAAATATTAGTCTAATCAAGTTCTTGTTTAACTTAAAATCTGTAATATAGTTTCAAAAAAAAAAAAAAAAAACTGCAATATAGTTTTCTGAAGTCAGATGCTACTGAAAATTGATTTATACTGTATGATTCAATTTGATTGATAATTTAAACAAACATGCAAAATTAATATAGCAAGGTTTAATTAATTACTGATATTAATTTCAGGAGATGTGTTTTGCTAGATTTGTATTTCTAAATAGTCTTATGTTGTATATTAGAGAAAGATTTGTTAGAAAGATTTCTTGATCATAATCCTATTAATATTTATAATTTGTTACTAACAGCAGCCAATTTTCATGGCAATTCCAAAATGGGAACTTCCATTAGACGTGCTCATCATAATCGCCGAAAAATTAAGATACTATGAAGATGTTGAGGCCTTTGCAGGGGTTTGTACTAGTTGGAGACGTGCAGCAAAGCTTAGTAAACGATCATCATCGACGACTCAAACCCCATGGTTGATGCTAGCACAACCACCTTATACTGCTAAGCGTTTGTTCTATAGTCTCTACAATGGCAAGATTCGTCGTGTGGATTTGCCCACACCACCTACACCACCACCATATAGTATCTTGTACAATCAATACTTATTGAGGCAACTTTATCCACCCAAGGAGTGCAAAAAAATTAGAAAGAGTGATTGGAGGTACTTCTCTTCGCGTGGATGGTTGATTTGTGTAACTCAAATCGGTCTAAATATCAGTCTGATGCATCCCTTGTCAGGGGAAATAGTTCAAACCCCTATAATAAGAGGAAACATCTTGCGTTCAATGGATCTTTTATGGCATGATCGGAAGTATTTACATATGTTCTACAAATTCGCGCTGTCAGAAAGTCCATCAGTAACTCAGGACTATACTGTTGCAATGGTTATCACTAATACTCTGGCTTTCTGGCATAGCAGTGATTGTAAGTGGACTGCAGTCAACACTGTCGACAGTAGACATTATCTTGGTGCATACAGGGATGTCACATTTTATAACAAGGAATTATATGCTGTTGTTCATCCTGATGTATGTGATTCTAAACATATTAGTCATGTTCAGGTAATGGCTTGTGGGAAAACTTGTCCTTGGACTCCAAGGTTAGTTTCAGAGCTCAGAACTGCAAAAAACGGTTATGCTAAGAAATTCTACTTGGTGGAATCAGATGGCATGTTGCTACTTGTGTGTCGTTACACGAATGTGGTATTCGATTCGAAACAGATAAGATACACATACAAGACTAAATACTTTGATGTGTGGAAGGTGAATGTCATGAATGGGTTGCTAACAAAGGTGAATGACTTGGGTAATAGAGCACTTTTTGTAGGGTTTAACTCTTCTTTTTGTAGGGTAATAGAACAGTCTCCAGTATCAAATTTGTTTAGGAACAAATTGCCTTATTGTGAGGGTAATTGCATTTACTTCACCGATGATTGGCTGGAATATTATTATCTAAATGAAGGTGGGCATGATATAGGAGTTTATAGTTTATCTACCAAACATATCTTTTATTGTTACGAAGGTCATTTGCGTTTCAGTGTATCTACACCGTCCTTATGGGTCGAGACCCCTGAGGTTGTTCATTGGTCTAGTCTTAAAACTTGATAATCAAATTGTGTTCAATATTGCAATTCATATTATTGTTATTATATTAGCAAATGATATTGTGTTTCTTTAATTTTTTTTTTTTTTCTTCTCAAAATTGTTAGAAATAGGTTGAAGTATAACATCATTTTATATTTTCTAATACTAAATTTTATTTATTTACAATTTGTATATTTAAAGTGATATCTTAATCTCTATGACTTGAAGATTAAGGAGTGAAGGGACAGTTAGTCCCTCCATCCAGTGGCGGATCCAGGATTTTGTGGGTAACGGGTCACTATTGTGCCTTGATAGCATACCAATCATCAATAATGCATTGTTTAAAAAGATAAAAAAAATAAAAGTACTTCATAGTAAATATTACTCCCTCTGTTATTTTTGTTATTTACATTTGGTATTATTCGTGATGATTAAGAAAGAATTATAGCGAAGAGTGGATCTGTTCTTTTCAGCTTAATTTTTATTTCATTTCATTTCAATTCAGTTGAGCTCCAATCAGTTTATTTCAACTCCAATCAGTTCAGTTCAGTTTAATTCATTTTCAATTCAGTTCCTAATTTCCTTCTCTCATAAAATATTCAGTTCAATTTAGCTCCAATCAGCTTATTTCAGCTCAGTAAATGAGAACAGGACGCCCTAAATACGAAGTATCACTTTTATGATTACCTTCTTGTAAAAAAAAAAAAAAAAAAGGTAAAGTGTGGGATATATAACTAGATGAATATATGTAAAATAATAATGACATTTTTTAGGGAAAGTATGAATGCGTAAGGTTGGAGTATTATGTAAAGTTTTATAAAAGGATTAATAAAATTAAAAAATGCTCAAAACCGAATACGTAAAAGGAACCAAAAATGTACATATTACAACCAATTTAATAGATTGAACAATCCAATTTATCATATTAATAGATACTATACTCCATAGTAACAATTTGAATTAGATTAAATAATCAAGTTTATAGTGATTAATGATGATCACATCTACTTATATAGTATTAGATTACCTATTTCAAAAAAAAAATAAAAAAATCAAAAATGTATACGTAGTATTTTTTTTTTAAATGGTGACCCACCATGACCAAGCTTGCATCTGCCAATGCCTCCATCTCACCTCGATGTAACCAGGTTTCGATCCTCAGCTCCAATAACTAGGTATTAGCTTACTATTTAAATAAACTTCATCTCCTTAATTAACTTTTTTTTTAATATTTATTTTTTTATTCCATTTTTTTTTTCCTGTAAGTACTCTGTAGCCGTTACGGAGTAACAATATTTCACAACAAATTTCGATAATTGACAACAACAAAAAAATGTGGCTAAACTAGCATTTTCTCCCTTGGCTCTTTTCATTGCAATCTTCTTGCACAATAATTTATTGCAACTGGCAGAAAAATTCTCTCTTTTTCTCTGCCTGTCTAACAACTCCCAAAACAAAAAATCCAGCAAAAATGTTAACTTATTTCACAAATTCAGTTCCCAACACTTCACTCAGAATCCCCCACTTTCTCTCTCCTCAAGCTCCCACCTCCAATCCCAGGTCAAATTTCTTCCATTTATGTCAATAATCCAATTATTCTCTTTTAATTTCTTTATTCCAATCAATTTTGTGAATACCCATTTGTTAATTCAGCAAAAATTGCTTAAAAAATTCAAACTTTGTTGTTTATGCAGGGCAAAAATGATGTCTTCTTCTTTACCAGAGAATCGCATTGTTGTATGTTTTTCACCTTTTTTTCTTTCCCTATTTTTTGGGTGTGTATGTTAGCAAAATTAATCTGGAAATGATATAGTGTGACTAAGACTGATGCTCATGTTAGCAGCTGGGTTGTGGAGGTGTAGTTGTGGACTTGTTAGCTGCTGTTGCAAGCTATCCTAAGCCAGATGACAAGATTAGAAGCACCAGTTTTCAGGTAATTATTGACTTTTTTTATTCAATTTTTGATGACTTGTATATTTATGAATGCTAAAATGCTCCCATTATTTAGATTGTGAATTTGTGATCATGATTTTTGGTTGATTTAGTGATTTACTGTCGAATACTATTATGGATTGTGGAGTTGTGGACTATGGTAAGACTAAGATTTAATGAGCTTTTAACTGTTTAAGAGTAAATTTGAAGTTGGGAAGTATACCAAGAAATTGAATTTATGGACAATGAATTAGTAGGAAATTGATGTAGATTGTGGAATTTGAATCAAGTAGAATTTTTTATGCTTGATTGATTGGTTATGATTGGACAGTCGACGGGAAGTCGGTTTTCTGCAGAATGGAGGGAGTTATATTAGAGGATAGTAGATTAGTGTAAGGATAACCCTTTTTGTGGACAAATTGTACAAGTCTTTTTTCTGGAAATATTTAGTATGGAAATTAATAAGTAGCAATCACTCGAGGCAAGTTACTCTATAGTCCACACTCGAGTTAAGCTGTACATAAAAGATAGAACATCTTGAGCAAAATCGAGTTAAGCTGTACGTAATGATAGAACAAATTTTCACTTAATTTCTCTGTTGCAATAGGGACTTTGATTGTGAGACTCTATGAGAAATCAAAAGCAAATTTCTGGTTTCCCTATGCTGTGTATCTCCTCGTAATTCACTAATTTGTATATTTATTCACTCAATGGACATACATATCACTCCACTAAGCAAAAGATAAGTCTGGGAAGTGGGTATATATGCACTAATTTTAATCACCAATTCACTGCAAAAGTTAAAGTTACTATTTTCTAGAATATTTTTAAAAGATGGTATGTGACGGTCAACAAAAGTCAACAGGCATCTGTTGAGAGTAACTACGATGATGGTTTGTTCCATTGGAGGGCTTATTTGGTAAGGAAGATGGAATACAGCGTTTATGGACTTTGAACTATCATATACATGGTCTATTGCATTATATCTTATTGGTTTCTAGGTGCTTGTTTTCAGTGATTACCAGTCCTATACATGGTCTACTGCATCATATCTTGGTTTCTAGGTGCTTGTTTTCTCTCCTTTTTTAGTGTCTGATCTTTTGTTAATTTGTTATTACATTGCCCAGACTTTGGCAGAAAAACATTCAGTTGCAACTGAAATACTTGTTAATACATCAGTCTAAATGGTGTTTCAATCAATCTCTTTATTGTGCTTCATTTTGCTTTCTCATATATAACAATTTTGTCAAGGAATTGTTTCTTGCCAGGATAGTTTCTAAAATATTATATTAGTATATATTAAAATATTTTACTACGTTTTTCAAAAAAAAAAAAAAAAAAAAAATTTTACCACGTTAATTTTTCCAGTTGATATTATTGTAAATGCACTGATGAATATTTTCATAGGTTCAAGGAGGTGGTAATGCTGGAAATGCCTTGACATGTGCTGCTCGGCTGGGATTACATACAAGGCTAATATCCAAGGTCTTTAATGTGCTTTTGCTGCATTTCTCTCATTCAAACTGTTGTTTGTAATAGATTAGCTTAGCAGATGTTTTATCTTATCAATTTATCTTAATGCACTTGTAACATTTTTATTTTAGGTTGCTGATGATGCTCAAGGTAGAGGAATACTTGAAGAGCTTGAAGCTGATGGTGTTGATACTTCTTTCTTTGTTGTAAGCTTATTATTTTGCTACTTTTCAGTTTCTTAAATCGAGTGTTCTGGCAGTAAGATAACTGCTACATACGAGTATAAAGAAAGAGACCCATAAAAATAATGGGTGGTTGGATCATAGCTTAATAAGAAGGGTCAATGGGCGCATTTCGTTGTCTATACAGATTGAAGCTGATATAATTAAATGTTACTGCCTTTTATCTAATCACATTTTTGCTTGCTTAATTATGTATTTTGCTATTGTTGCATAATAATGAAGAATATAATCTGCATGAATATCTAAGTGTTTGATGTGAATCCAGACTGCTTCATTGATTTTCTTCCTCTTATGTTTGCCTCCCCCCTCTCCCCCCCCCCCCCAAAAAAAAACACACACACACACACACACTATATCTTTCTAAAACGATCAGTCTTTGGCTTACTATGCAAACAATTTTTTGCTATATTTATTTATCATTTCTTTCCCCTGTTATCCTTCTAAACTCAACTTAGATTAACATCAACATTGGCCAATAAGTCAGAAAAACTCTATAGAGGCTCCGTCAGGAGTGAGAAAAGGTGGGGGCTAGGGGGTTTTAAAGGGAGCCTTACCGCTTCAGTAATGGAGGTTTTTGTTTCTATGACATCCTAGATCTGACTTTTGACTTCTCTAATGCAACTAAATAATGCTTATTCACATTAACTAAGAAGTTCAAAACTTCAAATAGCTCAATGAGCCATTTTGAATTAGTCCACTAAAATTTGAAGCTGGAGTAAATATTTTGGGTCAATAGGAAATAGACTTGTATCATTCTCAATTCTGACTAAAAAGGCTCCTAATTCGACAGTGTTTCAAAATGTTAATATTTGATTTATGCAATATCCCAATGCACCTACTGTTGCTCTTCTTGATCAATGTTTGAAATGGCTCAAAGAGCTCTTGGGCAATAGGGGTCGTAGATACAAGGCGCAAATGCGCACTTAGGTGGTACATGCCTCATCAAAGATTCTGTGTAAGAGAAGCCTGGAGAAGTGGATTGGAGTGAAATTTATGCAGCCACTGTGCTTCTACACCTCATGAAAATGCCTCGCCAGGACTTTCTTAGTGCTTGGGCTTCAGAACTTGGGCATAAGTGTGCCTTCTCAAACACTGTTTCAATCTTTAAAAAATTAATAAAATAAATAAACAAAAAAAAATTTCTGTAAAGGGATGATGTTTTTTAAAAGTTCAATTTAATAGTTTGGGTGCCCTAGTTGTAAGGCTGAAACTATAGTGCTATCAATTGTCAAGGTATCAGTTTTTTAATGGTTTGGGTGAGAAGGGTGAATAAGCTAAAAGCCTGTGAAAATATGGTGCTATCAACTATTAGTGACCAACAAAGGATAAGCCTTAGATTCCATCTTCATCATATTTACTGTCAGTATACTTCACACAAAAGAATTGTCCTTTCAATCCCTCATGCATTTCTGTCCAATTTTGTTTTGGAACTTTTATTTATTTTATTTAGCTATAAGTATGCTTTCTTTCCAATCCTCTTCAGATAATTTGTCCAACTTGGTAGTATAATATATTCATTATCAGAGGAACTAAAAACTGTTTTCATTTGTGCTCAGTTGTTGAAACTCCCATTAGCCCTTTATATCTTGGGGTTTCAAAGTACAAGTACCAGCAGCTTACTTTGTTTTCTGATCCAGTATAGGTGTCAGTTCTAGTCTTATATATATATATATATATATATATATATATATATTAATTTTATTATCCCTCTGTTGAGGCGATCCAGGGAAAAAAGTAATGACATAATCATAAATCTAGGCACCATTTTATTTTTTTTATTTTTTTTTTTTTGGGGTGGGGGGTTGAAAAAGATCAGGTGTCTTTAAATTCCGGGTAAAGAAGTTCAGAGTAGTGTTTGTAGCTTCTCATGCATACAGAATCACAGAGATATCCTTGGATCGTCTTTTTCTAATGTAAAATGTGATAAGGATTTTCTTAAATTTCACTGTTCTAGAAACTGAAGAACTTTTGGTCCTTTGTTCTGTAACTCCCCTTCTCTTGAGTCTTGGCTGTTGGTAATGGTTCCTTAAATCATGATTATAATTTAAATCTACAATACTGTGCTATGCTTGTACAATGTCCTTAAGTTCATTATACTCCATATGAAAGTACTAAGAAAACTATGTAAGCCATTCTAATCTGTATCTGTTTTTCGTACCCCTTCTTTCTGCAGGTCTCCCCAGAGGGTAATTCACCATTTACCTATATCATTGTCGACAATGAAACGTGAGTTCTACTCATAACTTTTTAATCTGTTGGCAATGTTGTTTGCATATTAGGAGAAAAGAAAAGTTGACTTATTAAGAACAAGCTAATTTATATCTATAATCTGACATAGAACTTTGTAGCTTTATATTTATAAATTTATTTGGTAAAAAAGGAAAATCAGATTCTTCATTGCTTTCTGAATCCAAATATAATTCTGAATGTTCTATTGCCTACAGACTGTAAGTATAAAGTGATGATCAAAATTGAGCCATAACAAGACTATTTGCAGTTTTATTTTTTGTCTGATTATATAAACATAAATGACCGGGTCAGCAGAAAATCTTTGTATACGTTATACAGTATATATTAAAGTGCTTGTAAGTTGTAATAGTTACTCTTAAAAATATCTAAGTATCCAATATTTTGATATTTTTAGGAAGACTCGCACGTGCATTCATACTCCTGGGTACCCCCCATTGGTACCAGAAGAACTCTCCCGGTCAAAATTAGAATCTGCTATAGATGGAGCAGGGCTTGTATATTTTGATGTTAGGCTGCATGAAACTGCTTTAGTAGTTGCAAAAGAGGTAATTACAAAATTGTTTTGTTTCCATTCTGGAATGTGGATAGTCAGCCTTATGCTATTCAGTTACAGGGACAATGCATACTTTTACTGAAACTGAGGTCCTAAAAGAGTTTTTGGCTTGGTTTACTTCATACTAGTAATGTCTGTTCACAGTGTTTTTTATTCAGATGTTTATTTTATTTTATTCAATTTTTCTTTCTTTCTTTCTTTCTTTTTTCCCCTCCCACTGTTTATGGAAGTACAATGTGCTTTTTAAATCTTAAGGATATCTTTATTCTATTCCTAACAAATTTAGTGTTCCAAATGTTAAGATCATTGATATATTGGGCTCTACTCCTTCAAAAGCCTGTTTAAAATTTAATAATGGTAACTAAAAGGTCTTAGGATTTGTATTTCATAAACATATCTTTGTTTTCCATGCTGATGGAAAATTAACAACTTTCTGTGGCTTCTTAATAGACTGAACTACAAAAGATGGGGTCATATGTGTTTTTACTACTTTCTTGAGGATACTTGCTAAGTTCTACTGTAGAGCTCATTTTACTGTCATAGAAATAGACTATGGCAATTTAGGAGGGATATGGATTTGTTTATGTGCTACATCTTTCTGAAGTAGAATGTGATGTAAAGACTATCCTCTCTCATCCTCCAAACTCTCGAAAATTTCACATAAGATGAATGACATCAACATTTCATAGTGTCTGATCTGTTTCCAGCGCAGGCAACTAGTAGAAATATTCCTATTCTAGTAGATGCAGAAAAGAAAAGAGATGGGCTGGACGAGCTTTTGAGTTTTGCCACTTATGTGGTGTGCACTGCGAAATTTCCACAGGCAAGACTTGGGACTTCCTCCCCCCCCCCCCCCCCCCCCAAAAAAAAAAAAAAAATATTAGGATATATTCTGCTTGACAATGACATCTACTTTAAAGTTTATTGTTTGAGGTTATTAGATTATTTATCAGGAGATTTCCTGCATCAATTTTACAGGTATGGACAGAAGCTTCTTCTGTACCAACAGCCCTTCTTTCCATGCTGTTGAAATTACCTAAAGTTAAGTTTGTGATTGTGACTCTTGGTGAAGATGGATGTATCATGCTTGAAAGAAGTCACAACAGTGAGTCTTTTCTTTCTTACATTTAGAACAAATCTTTATCAATTGGGTTCATGAAAATGAATTCTGATGATATTAGTTTAACCAACATATAAGATTTAGACTTGTGGCTTTCAGCCTTAAACTTATACTATACATCATGCAGAAGCTTCAAATTCAGAGGAAATGTGTATTGACGAAGTTTTTGAATCTCTGAAGCAAAAGGCACCCAATGACGATTCCAAGCCAACATGTGTTTCATCGGTATAAATAATATTCCTGTTACACAAAACTTTATGCAATTGCTTGTCATGTCTTTTTATTTATTACTTCTTTCTTTTTTACTTACTGTTTCATTTATTACATTTGTCAATGCATAATTTCAAACATCAATATCTTTAATTTTCAATAAGTAAAAATTATATAATATATATATTATCAAAGTATTTATTGAGACGATTCTAGCAAGATCTCACTTAACAGTGTTTTTCCTTAACTATAACTAACAAAAGACGGTCAAAAGAGAACATGTGAATAGTGAAAAAGTCAAATTAGGTCAAGTAATAAAGTATGAATTATTTTGTTTGTATGGTTGATGCACATAGTATTGCCTGCCCGGCTGCCCCAGGTCCACCTTCAGACCTTGGCCACCTTGCTACTTGTTGAACTACCAAAAGTACGATATTTGCTCCTGCTATCTGTGGCATGACTTAAGTCTCAGCTTTGCACAATTTCCCTGCCCTTCCGGCAAACTTCCTGCGCTGGCTTAGTTTCCACCTGCTGAGTAAAGTTGGCAGTGTATTATCAAAGCTCCTTGATGATCTTAAGTTAACTTAATACGCTTTTACTCTTTTTTGCATGTAGATAATTTCAATTCAAGGCTGATATATTTGATAAGAACTCTTTTGTCCTCTGTTGTGTCAATGTCCAGTCTGTGGTCACATTGAAAGCAGATGGGATTGGGACACTATGTGGGAGGCTACACGTGGGGACAGCTGAAAAGATTCCACCCTCCGAACTCGTTGATACAACGGGCGCTGGAGATGCATTTATTGGAGCAGTTCTTTATGGTATATATCTGATACTCATACGTATTTCTCTATGACCAGCTTTTTTTAAGTTTCAAAATGTAAAGTAGGACATAAGCTGAACAAACATGTGTTATTGAGTCACTGAGGAACATTCTCCCCAAACCCCTAGCATACTGCAATTTGTCTCATTCATTATAATGCAATATGATTTAATACATTAATATGCGTTGTACTAATTTTTTTTTCACAAATTCACAGCTTCATGTGTGAAGTTGCCTCCAGAGAGGATGTTGCCGTTTGCTTCGCAAGTGGTAAGTAGAAAGACAGTTACTTGGACTCTTCATGTTGTCTCAACAATTTAATATCTGACTTGTTATTTTGTGTCAAAACATGTACCGACTATTAATAACATAGTAAGTTAGATTTACCAAATAGACAACTTACATGCTCACCCTGCATTCCATTTCTCTTACTAGGCTGCCTGTAGCTGTAGAGCATTGGGAGCTCGGTCAGGTCTTCCCCGTCACTCAGATACTCGTCTTGCACCATTTTTACACGAGGGTTCAGAAATTGCTGGTCTGGTGCCATGAATGTATATACCTTATTACCTTACAAGAAAATGTGCATTTCCACCCTGTATTATTTTGTAACTTGCCCCAACTTGGCATTTCCACCCTGTATAACTATGTTGTAACTTGCCCCAAATTGGCATTTCTAATTACTGACTTCTATTAATGCATCGGCTGATTTTGTATGGTGATCATCTGTGCTGCTGTTGTCAACTCTTTTACGTAATTTTTTATATTCTTATTTTGTTGTTCGTCATTTTTCATTGGAAGCACTACCAGTTCTCTTTTGAATTCTTGATAGGGATTATGTCAGACCTTTCTAGATCTACACCAGGTAGCTCTTTTGGTTTTTTTTTTTTCCTTGTTAGTATTGTGATTGTGATTTTGTGAGTTTCACTTGCATCTTAATGTATAAATTAGCCAATCTATTAAGACAGCATACTCATGTTGTCTCCCCCTTTATACTACTGGTAATTTCTATCTGCAATTCATTCGCTAAGGGCTTACATCAGAACTTAAAATTAGTCCTGCTGATGTTCTGTTATTGCTTGATTGCCTTCTATGTGACAGTCTGCTCATATCCTTCCTTTGCCTGGTAATTAAGGTGTGATTTCAACTCCTTCGTGGAACACTTTTGTAGTTACCCGGTTTGATATGTTCATCTCTGCATAATCCTAAGCGGGCTAAGCCAATATCTTTCTGAAACAGAATCACAGCAGTTGCAGTTGAGCATGCAACATTGCAACTGCCTGAGATAAAAATTATAAAATAGACGTCGCCTGCTAACAAAGTTCTTTGGTGAATTCAACATAATGAAGCAGAAAAATATACTGACAGTAATAATATATATAAACCAACTCCCAAATTGTTAGTAACACTAAAGTTACCACTTATCATACATGCACGAGAAGATGTCCAAAACTGATCAGTTCAGTTTTTTTTGGAATTACTTCTAATATGAAATTTATAGAAACATGAATTTTCTTGAGAACAGACCCATAAAACATTATCTGAAAGCACGGGAATATAGAAACACAATATATGTTGACTGAAAGATACGAAAGCTCAAATTCCAGCAAGCAAGCACAAGGGAGGGAATGGGGAGTAGCAGAAATCTGAATTGACAGCAAAACTCAAAACTGTAATACTAATACTACTGTCAATATGAAATCTTCAAAAATCAAACTCATATCAATGAAGGTCTACTTGTCATTTCCTCTACTTGCTCGGAATTAGATGCCTAATTCTTAGTTTAAGCACAACATTACCTTAAACCATACTTATAATTACATACAATATCTAGGCAATTAGTACATCATTAAACAAAAGCCAACACCAACATAACTAATTCTAATTACTGCCAAATTACAAAAGATAAATAATAGTCAGCTTTTACCCTCGTCTAAATTAAGCCTATATAATATCCAGATTACACATTACAAAACAGCTGAACATAATCAGTTAATTATCACCTAGCCAAATCTTCTCACAATAAGCTGTCTGCCTTGGAAGGCAGCCTTCTGAAGAAGCTGAAGACCTGCGGCGGCAGTTTGCTCCTGAACTTTGGTGGCCTGAGATAGTATATCCCCCACAATGCAACCACCGCCTTAATAGGAACCATGTAGAACCCGATGGCAGCAAACAAGCACAATATCACAAACAAGAAAGTAGCTCTTGGATCCCTCCAACTCAACAATCCCTGAAATCGCTCTCCTTGAGTTGCCATATCTCCCACCACAGTTTGTATCCTCCCTGCTACACTTCGAAGCCTGTCATACCTCATCCTCACGAGTTCTGAGTTTCTGGTTGAGGGGAAAGTATCGAACTCTTCATCGAGTTCATCAGGGTACACGTTTTCTGCATGTGAAAGCCTTGTGTCCATATGAGGAGGATGCCGAGGCCTAGACCTGTACCTCCAAATCCCTACAAGTGCCATGTAAATAAGCATTGTAGGGATGATGAGCTCCGGAAAAGTGACCAGCAGAAGGTACACCAACACAAATAAGGACGAGTAAACAGGTCTCTGCCAAGACCGGATTGCCTCAGCCCAACGAGCCATCCCAATCACACCTGAAAGCACATTCATAAGCCTAAAGAAGTTGGCCTTGCTCTTCCTCATGCTCCACATGTGAGAGTCATGATCAAGCATGTATTCCACCACCTCACGGCCCAGAGCAGGCTCTGCTCGGCTAAATCGAGCAGTTACAACATTCATAGCTTGGTACCGTAGACTCTCTAGTTGAGTCACTGATAAAGGGTTCACATAATGCATCTTAGGAAGCAAAGGCATTGCATACATATGAAGCATATTTCCCATATTTTCACATGAGAATCTCACAGCCAAGTGAAGCTCCCCCATTTTCTTCACTCCAGAAGCATGCAAAATCAAAAGAGGGTAAGAATGAGTATACACTCTATCAGTTTCCAGGGTAGAGAGCCTTATTCGAACCTTCCCAATACGCGAATCTCTTGCTCCTGTGGCAGCAGCAACGTTCTTATCAAGCCTGCAGTTATCAAACACACCAACTGTAATCACAGTACAAGGATCAAACACCTCCCAAGTGTACTGCTCATTCCATTTAGGTGAAAGCGAATCCACCACAGTCCTTGTCCGAACCCATTTCTGACCATATTTCGCCACACAATAAGCATCCGTCGATCCCCCTTTACCTTCCCTAATCTTCATTGGCATAAGCCCTGTTGCCCCTAATATCCCCATCTCAAGAACACCAATGTGAGGCTTCCAAAGCTGTTTTGCAGTAGGCCTAAGGTCACTGCTATACATCGTCGCCTCATCTAGAACATGGTACCCTCCATCCAACGTAGCTCGAATATGAATCCTCGACCCAAACCGACTCTTGGAAGGATCAGAAGGGTTACTGAATGCAAAATTCTGATTGTCAACATGGTACCACTTAGAGGGAACCGTCTTATCATCCCACCTCCTCTCAATAGCCCCCAACGGAAGAAGTAATCTCCCCACAACCTCCTCACGCCCCGGCATTATACGATCCTCAACCGATATCAACACATAATCCTCCAAAGGCTCAGGAACCACAAAGATCAAGTCCTCATTCCAAAAAGGGTTAGACACTGCTCTATTCGCACCAGCAGGCGAAACCTTAGTCCTCAAAACCTGATTCCCAACCTGAACCTTGACATAAAACTCCGGATACCTCATAATCGAACCACCCTTCTCCCCTAACACAATATCCTGCGCTTCAATCACATTCAACCTCAAGTACCACAGCTTAGGAGACAAGTATATCTTGGACTTAATCGAACCCAACCCATCAAGATGAACATTGGCCGCTTTCGAGTGCCACGCCTCAGCAAAAGCTTCATCAGCCTGTGTCCCAAACCAAATAGAAATCATAATCTCACCCGCCTTCGATTTATCCCCTCGTTTATCCTCCATCCTAAGCCATTGCGGCGCAAGCTGGCTATCCGGTGGCACCCTCTTCGGCACCTCATTCAAATCAAACCAAACCCGCCCTATATACTCATCCTTCTCCCTCTCCTTAACAAACACTTCCACCATTGATGACTGAATACAATCCTTAGAAAACGCGAATACTTGATCCCATTCAGCATGATTATAACTCACCCTTTTCGTAACCCCTTTATAATTCCCCAATTTAACCTCACAAATCACTTCACCTCCACCAAACAAACTCAACTCTCTTGCTTTCACAACCTTGACATACAAATACTGCATTTGCTCAACCAAATCATACGTCGAACTCGTCTTATCCTTACTCTGTAATCCCCCTCCTAAATGAGGTCTCGTCTCCTTCAACGAATACTCACTTGTCATCAACATCCCATTTGGGTAAATCCCCAAATTACCCCTCCCACCACCCCCAACCATTGGTGGATTCTGAAGGGTTGTTACGACAACCGGCTTCATCTCACTCATCTCCCCACCTTTCTGCTGAACTCCGCCATTGTTAACATTACTATCCCCCACTTGATTTTGCGCCGCCATTGAAGAATTTCCCCCTTTTTTCTTTCCCTTAATATGATTTCCATTATTGTTGTTGTTATTATTATTATTGTTCTTGACATTGTTACCCCCAACAATTTGCACGTTATTCTCGCCACCATTCTTCTTCATAGAATTGTTATCACTAGAATTGTTGTTGAAATGGACGAGTTGTTTGGTGTTAACAACAAGGTCATTACGACACGAAACGTAAAGCTTCAAACTAATCTCACCCCTAACATGAGAAAACAAACTCCGCTTATCAAGACTGTATAACTGTGCCATTTCTTCCCCTTCCTTGGCCACGCTCGAACCCGAAATCCGAACTTTACCCAGAAAATTCCTGCTATTACTGGACCTTTTCTCGTTGAAAACATTAACTTCCAACGTCCTATAAGGCAGATTAGCAGCATCATTGAGATGAAAAACAAGGGTTTCATTCCAAACAGGGTTTAAATCTTTGAATTTAACCTGGGTTTTTAGCCTCTGGTTTTCAAATTCTACTTCTACAAATGGAGATGATGAACCTTCTCCATCTTTTGGCATTAAATTATGGGCTCCAATTACTTCAACTATGAGTTTTTCTTTGTTGTTCATTTTTTTTTTTTTTTTGGGTGTTTTGTTTTAGGAGAGAGAAAATGAAATGGGGGTGTTTTTGTTGATGTAACAGAGGAGGAGAGAATGCTTGTGACAGTAGAGAGAGAAAGAGGATGGAGGGTAGGAGAGAGAAAATGGATGGGATTTTTGAAAAAAATATTTGGAGTTTAAACTGTTAAGTACACGCGTTTAGCGCGTGAGGAAATTGGAGGACCAATGGTAGAGGTAGAATTGGAAGTGTACGTTTTGTGTCATTGTGTGTGAATGTTGTTGACATTTTTTGTGGTTTGGTCTTTGGTCATAGTTACTGTTACTATGTTACTCGTATTAATTGCTGTGTTATTTATTTTTTTTTTTTTTTTTTTTTTGAGAAAAATTGTTGTGGTAGAAAAAACAAATTACACATTAATTATAACTAATGTGTAACAAACAAATTTTGTAATGGGCTTAAAAAAAAACAAATTTTGTAATGTAATATGTGATTGAATGTATTTTTCCATAATATCACCATTTTATAATTTATACGGTATAAAATTAAAGAATTAATGGTCAAGATTGTACAGCGACAAACTTATTTAGTCAAACTGTTACAATTAAAAACTAACGAGGGGAGT